TCCAACACGACCGATCACCGATGGCCAATCGTTCCTTCCTACTTTGCCACAGGTGGCTCAAAAGTGTCTTCCCTAGTCTGTCTATCCTAACGATATCCCTTCCCGCCTTTTCAACCCACTTCCTACTCCCCAGTACATCTACCGTCCTCTCCTCTCTATTCCATGCCTCAAACATCTCCCTGTACGTCCCTTGTATTTTTCCCAGCTCAGTCATGTACAATTCCCTCTCCTCTTCGTACCACGGACATTCCTGCGACTACATGAACACGGTCTTCGCATTCGAAGCCGCAATCACATTTGAACTTGTCGTCTTCGTCGTCTACCGTCCTATGCCTTCGTCGACGTTCTCGAAGGCCTATGTCCCCGGTCCTGAATTTGACCTTAAGCTTTGTCCCTGCATCCATTGGTCCATGTAGGTATTCCTTGAACCCTCTTCCTTCTTTCAACATTCCGTACACTTCTAGACCCTCCTTACCCTTGGTTTTTTTCCTTAGATTTTGTTCTTCTCTCTCGGCACAAGCAACAGATATCTTCTCCTTGAACCCCTGTAGACCCTCCGTTTCCAGCGTTTCATCTTCGTCCATGTCTAACCCCTTCCATACGTCCTCTACAACGTTGACCCATTCCGTGGTTGTCTACCCCTCTTTTTGTTTGTCCACTTCGCCTCCCATACTATTCTCGGCAACCTCTCCTCTCCCATAGTGGGGGGAGGGGAAAACTCTACCAGGGGGGGGAAACTCCGACGTTTCAGGTATTATGCTAGGCGCGCAATTCTTTTTAGATATGTATATATTCGACCGCTACATGAAGTAATTTTTAAGGAGACAGCTTTACGTCCGTGTCGTCGTATTGACTTTTACAGAGGCATCGTATAGTAATCATCGCCCCTCTCTTTTTCGAAGTCTTTTCTTTTTCCCCCGATCGTTGCCGTTCGTATTTCTAACCCTAACCTTAATCATATCAAATAGTAGGTCCATGTCTATGTTGCTTCGGTACTACATAATGATGACAAAATATACAGATTACACTCGCACTTAAGAATTTAGCGGTCAAGAAGTACGGCCTCAAAAAACATCAAATCAAAGAAATTGGCCATAAGAACACGTGCTCAGTCCCGACGTGGTGTTAAGAACAAGAACCCGCCTTCGTGGTGTAATAATGTGCTTGCCGATAAGAACAGAGCCCCAAAACGCGGCAGCTGCAAGAAGATAAGAACTCACGAAGGCGTGAGGGGCTACTCGCGGGCTGACCGGTGGGCAGTTACAGATCAGCGGCGAGGAGGGGGTTCCTTTGAAATAGTACTGGTGCGGAGGGGGGGGGGGCGTACTCTTATGTTTGCACGGTGTAGTCAACTAAAATCGGCCTTACAATGCCGGCACTTTTTTTGTAGCTGTTAAGGTATTTCTCTATTGCCGCGAATTCCAAATATATTGATTGGTGTGTACTCTGTGGACAACGGCGGGTAGTTTTCGCGACAAGGCATTGACATTCTTGGGCTTGGACAACCTCGCCTGTAACCTCGTACGGATACAGATGTCCCTTAACTGGGTTTAGGGCGGCGTTTCCGAACCTTGCCTGACCTTGGACGGTTGAGAACGGTGTGCCCGAGGGGGTTACGCAGATCGCACAACACCTAGGGGTTACAGGTCGCTTTAACCCCCCCGTAACGGTGCCCACTGGCCACCTGTGCAACGTCTTTTTCACAAGTTTTGTTAAACAATTTCGACTTCTTCGGCGCGTCAACTTTTTGGGAGGCTTTTCTTGTTTCAGATTGTTTTCCCGATACATTCACCATTCATGTTCTGCTAACGTTTCATCACTAGTAGTGCCGACGAGGAACCATACCACTCACCGCTCTGTTTGAATGTTTCCAAATTCTTCACAAGTTAGTTCGTGCTCTTGTTGCCTTCAAGTGACTCTTCTTCATATTCCTGAAAAAAATATAGGCGTTGCCATTCAAGTGTGCCCGGCCGGTTCCTGACATCAGCATTTCCTGTGCAAACAAAAACCATGACTGGTTATCAAAAAGGTACTGAATCAGATACAAGCTCTGGATCACAGTCTGGTTCAGACTGAAAAACTTTGTCTTCTCGAGGGAGGTGGTTGTGTTTCGTTGGGTCTTGTTTGGGTATTGCTATTGGACACCCTATCATCCTTTTCAAGGCTGGGAGGGGGGGAGAACTACTCTCGTACCTACTTCTTAAACACATTTCACATATTTGCTGAGGTTCGACGCGCGGGGGGGTGTTTCATGAGAGAGGTTGGACGGGTGCCACGGCCTACTGGTTTATGGAGGGTATCCTCGGAGCGCTTCATCTCCAGAGTTCCCGCATTATAAAACTCGACCCCCGCACTTTTGGGTCATACCCGGAGACAGTGGCTGGGCAAAACGAAACTCGTTTGTTATCCCCGAGGACTTTGCGCAAGAGAACATTCAGCTTGTTTGCGTTTCGTACATGCCAGTCGGGTCAAGCGCTTTTGTAAACACACACACACACAGAGAGGGAAACTGAGAGGGAGAAGAAGACGGGGAGCGCGGCGGTGAAGGTCTCAGATCCCAGATCGCGATCGCCCCGAAGTCTGCAGCTCTGGTGGGTTAGTTCCAGCTTGGTAACCGTGGTGCACGTTTGCACGTTTCGGCGGACTTACCATTTCGACATGACGATGAGATGAAGTTTTATCACAATACACGTCCGAGTTGCGTGGTTCGTCGCCTATTTCGAAGCTACTTTTCCAACCCACACGCCTCTTGAGCGACTGTCGTCCCACAAAACCAGTGAAAGGTAAAGGAACCAGTCGCAACCTGCGAACGGTTCGTGATACCTTAACTATATGTATATACCATGGTATGCATGATTGGGTGCTGCTTCGTTCTGAAAGCAGGTTGACCCCGTGAGCAGGATCGAGCACGAGCAGTCAGGATGTCCACCAAGGCGCTGAAACTTCGGTCAAGCTTTGTCCTCCTCGCCACCGCTTCGATTTTGCTGCAACACGCTGGCGCAACCTCTTCTTTGACCTCTGGCGTGTGCAGTGACGAATCTTTGGCTTGCATCTTTGACTCGGAGTGCGAGGAATGCTTGACAGACTACATCGGTTACACGGATGAGGTTGTGGAATGCTCTGCAAGTTTTGAGCCTGGTGATTGGGACATGTGCGACTTGTATTCAAGGGTCGCCTGCTGCCAAGACTCATATTCCGCCAACGACTGTATGGGAAACAGCGCTTTCGTTGAATATTATATATGCCTAGCTAATTATGTGTCCAGCCATGGGGAAGGCGGAGAATGTTCCACCTTGACATGCAATTTCGGAAGCGATGGCGGAGTTGTAGTTGACGATGACGCGGTAGGCAATGACGACGCGACGGTGACTGACGATGGTGGTGTCGGCAATTCCAACGCGGCGGCGACTGACGACGACGTGACGGCCACTGACGATGGGGGTGTCGGCAATTACAACGGGACGGCGACCGACGATGGCGCCATGGCCAACGACGACGATAATTTAGATAGCTCTGCCAACACGGGCGGGACCTCCGATGCCGGAAGATCGTCTCCGAGCGCCATGCTCACGTATGCTCTGGGGCTCGCTTTTCTCAGTGCAGCCCCCTTGTTTAATGTGCTTCTGTAAAGTTTAGTTGTGGTTTTACGCAGACAATCCGGTTCAAAACTTAGTTGGCTGCCTTATAGTAGATATGTAGTTGGTGTTCGTTCGGTTTATTACGTGGTATGTTTAAAGGGAGCGTGGGTGGGCGTTTGATCAAATATTTCGATGTCCCCGCGGTGGTGTAGGTGTTGGCTCTCATGTATGGTTCCACGTGTCTACCGTTGTCGCTCAACATGTATTGTGCATTGTGTACTATCCGATGGCACCTGCCGGTGCGCTGTTGAGAGCCCAGTGTCTGCATCTTGCCGAAATCAACTAATCAATGTTATACAGAGACCCTACGGACGCAGTGCATGGCCCTAGAATGTCAGATTGCATTACGAAGAGAGTCGATTCGTTGACTAGGCAACGTTTTCACCTGCTGGTCAACCTGCGGGGGGCGATCTGAGAGAATGTGAGGGTGTCCTACCCAGCGGAGCAGGCCTATACGGGCACCATGTTGAACGGATGTTATTCTTTTCATCCACAAGGCTATGTGGCACCCACGCTTGTCGTCAGGCGAACACACTCCCATTGGGGGCAGAAAAGTGATGCCGCCCACGAAACTTGTCGCATTGAATTATTTCAATATGGTTTGAGAAAAAGAACTCGCGCATGGCACGCCGGATCGTGGCCAGTCAGCTGCAGTGTGTGTACAGTAGTTTCCATGTGCTATAATACCTATTTTGGGGGGGGCTCAATAGCGCCGATGACCCTGTATTGCGCCGGTGAAATTGCTGGGCATAATCCCGAGACCTCCTTTGTACAGGTTTAGGGTGGTATGCACGGAGTCCGCCCAGAAGTATCGACTTGGTTATCATGATTTGAGGAGACAGTCGGTGTGTTTGCAGTTGTATATTTCACGTATACCGCTCGGTCCTTGGTGTGGATTTCGTTGTACATGCAAAAATTACGCGCTGGTCAGCTATTCCCAGACGTTCAGCCCCGTGTTGGTCGCGCTTCGGCCTGCCGTTCCGGCGGTAACAAGCTAAATCGTCCATCAAACGGGCACACCCGAACCAAAACCACAGCAGTGGCAAGCGCACCTCACTTCCTCCTGCTCTCACTTTCCGACGGAAATGGTTAAAGACAAGCCGTTTGGCCACAAATTTAGACTATGACCGTTAGGAAACAACCGCTTCGCTTCCGCTTGTTCATAAATTTACTCCGCAACCGTGGGACACGCCCGCTCTTGAAGCTAGCTACCGTAGCGCCACGCGCTTTTGTTCCCACGGAACGAGGAGGACGGGGTCCATCAACATGCATCTACCTGATGAAACGAGAAATGCAACCAAGGAGCACTCAACAACACAGCAGCTACACAAACGAGAAGGGAGACGCCTGCATTAATTTCCCTCATCGTGCAGAGAACCCGCTGGGCCTGTCCGTCTTCGCGGCGGCGTTGTACTTTCGCTTGCTGATGACGTTGACAGACTCCTTGTAGTTGGCATCGGGGGCTCTGTAGAGCCACTCTCCGTCGTCGGTCAGCAGGAAGACGCTCCTCTCGTCGAAACTAACGGCACCGCCCCCCTTCGCGCCCGCCATCTGTTAATTCCAACAGACAAGACACCCCAACACCAAAGGAATGACAGCACGCACAGAGGAGTGTGCGAATCAAAACAAGGGACACACGTGATAATCGTGAAAATTACAATCGCTGTGTGCCACGGACCGAAACAGCTGCACAGCAGGCGCTTTTTGTGCGCCACCATTGCAAAGCAATGTTCAGCACAAGAGATCCATTCCGAACGGCCAGTCCCATACCTCCCCAAGTCAAACGCAAGCCACGCTCTGAATGGTGCTTGTATAGCGCCGGTGTGCTTTCGTTGTCTCACCATGGCGGTGAAGTACACATACACCTTATCGGGCGTGTCTTGGTCTACCTCCGGCTGGCCCACTTCCAAACCGGTGAATCTGTTGCACACCACCACGGGAAAAACGGCAGTTTTCTTGGGGACGTCAGTGCTGTTTGTGCCTATGTAGATGTGCGGGCTGACGAAGGAGAAACTTCATGGGGGTGTACCCCGAGAGGCCATAAGATACTCGTATCCGGCAAACATTTCGTGTGCCTTCCAATGGCATATACAGCCTACCTCCCTACGTAGATGAAATGTTGACTGCGTACAGCGTTGATTCTGCCCTAGACCGTTCTTCTTTTTCGATCTCCACCATGTGCACGAACCCTTGCTCGCACCCACGGCATGAAAAAAAAAGTAACGTTTCGACGAACCGACGACAGCAAGTTCTGAAACGGTCCTGCACGTTTTCTGAGCATGAATCATGCCATACGGCAAGGTTGCGAGCTATGGCACAGGTTGGAGATGTAGCACAAGGGTGAGGCAAAAAAAGGAAGACATGTATGACGTAACTCGAATTTTGCACACGTATGAGAGGTATCGCACTGCGGTGCGACAACTCCTGGACAACCCCACTTCGGGCGAGTAACGTTGTGCATGGTGACACGAGGTCCGGGACGCCTTGTTCGGTTCTATTGGTTCTTGTCACCGTGCCTTACTACCGCTGTACTCGCCGTCATGGTTCCACTGCTGTATGTACGTAATGCGCGGCGACGGCGACCGTGCAAACGTGGCGATGAGTGAGGAAGAAACGAGCATGGACCGGCAAACGATGGCCACTCAGCCAAGACATGCACATACACTGACACACACACAAAGCCCTACCTCGCTACGGAAGATAATAACAGAAAAGGAAGCGTATTCGCCAAGAAAAAGCTGAAGGCACACCAACCTTGATGGGAACTTTGTATTTTCACCGCGTTCTTATATAGTTTTTGTAGTTAACCTAAGGTTTGCAGTACGCGGGTATTCAGCGGTACCATACAAGACCAATCAGATTTGGCCAGTATAAACCAGTACGTTATTACCGGCAACCACCTGTGATTCCTTCGGTACCGCAAAACGCCGAGTTGTACTTGTAGTACAACGGTGTGCGTTGTTCGGTGCATCTATCCGGGCGCGCGTCCACACGACTTTCGGTGAACATCATTGACGTATCAGCCGGAATCACACGAAGAAGGCCACACCTACCGTTGCTTCATTTCAGCTGCCGCACCTTTCCTCGCGCGGTGCTTACCATAGGTTTTATCACGAGAAGGGTTCAGCCGTACGTTTCCCTCGTTGACCGCGAAGTCGAAATTTATACGAAGTATAATTGTTGCCCGATACGCAGGCAGAGAGGCGCGAGGGAAGGCACGCGCTTGGCTCTGTCCGGGCAAACCTCGGCACCTACGGGTAGCATTACTCAGAGATTAAACTCATGCTCACTTGTAGTTGTTGCAAAAGACGAGAATGCTATCTCGCCAGCCCGACTTCGCAAAATCTTCGTGGTCGGGATGTGTGGTCTTCATGATGAACTGGGGCATGTTACTGCGTGGGCACAACGAAAGCAGCGCAAAAAACACAGCAGGCTCGGATGATCGTATGTAGCAACAGCAAACAGCAGTTGTTGCTACTGCAGCTGTTTGCGACACACACAATTTCTTGCCACAGCCGGGGTTGGAAAATACACACACAAAGAGGTGCGGCGATGACCGGCCAACACTGCTCTCACAAAAGCAACACTGAATTCGGGGTCGAACGAGGGAAAACCGACCCCACGCCCGACCTCATAAAACGGTTGACAACAGTTGCCGCCTCGACAGGCGTATGCAACTCGTTGTGGTCTGATTCTTACCATGCGTACGCCGCGTACCGCGCCCTCATGACCTGTACGGGTTGTGGGCTTTTCTCGCCGTCGTGGAAGGGCTTGCAGCAGTCCCCGTACGGGTTGCCGGAGAAGCAGGGGCAAGGTGCAGAAGCGGCGGGGGTTTTGTTCGTCTTTATCTTCGCCATCTTGTTGTCCTGGTTCTTTTTGGACGCCGGCTTGCTCCTGCTCTTGTCGGCACCGAAACCCTTGGCCAGTAGAACAGGTCCTTGCTGTCTGCAACAGCCGCAGTTCAGTAGTACCATGCATCATGTAGCAATGTTACATCACGCCACGATCTTCTACTACTGAATATAATGTGAACCTGAGATAGTGCAGCTACTCGTACCTACATACAGCGATTCAATTGCGATGACAGAGAGCTGGAACGTACACGTCGAAAGGTTGTTCATGTTTCACAGCAGCAGGGTACCGCCGTGGAACAGCAGCTGTGTTCACCCAGCCAAAACACCAATAAGACACACATGACACACGCACAGCAATAGAAGGATGAAATCGGCTGCGGCGGCGGTGCCTTGTTTCCGTACCTGTTCGTCGCACCACACTCTCGCTCACCTGGAAGTTGATGGGCCTTGGCCAGGCCACCGCTGCGTGGTGTGCAGTTGCGGTTGCATTCCAGCGGCAGCAGGCAGACCGGGAGACACAACGAAGGCCGCAGCCCTACCACACACGCCAGTAAGCAACCACACAGCCCCAAGCGCGAACCTCGACGACATGATATGAGGTGTGAGACTGCAAGTACGAAGGCTATCACGCACCGACGGTGAGACCGACCGCGGGCCGCGGCCGTGGACGTCGCCTGCGCTGTGCGGGAAGGACACCGAAAACAGAACCAAGGGAGTTCCATGGTTCGACAGGCTTCGCAAAGCGGTTCGCTTGTTGTTCCTGGTTCCTGCCCCTGCCCCTCTGCTGCTCCTTGCCCTCTCGCCCTGCCGCCCACTGCCGCTGGAGTGGTGCCCTCACAAGCTGTGGCGGCGTGACGAGGGTAAAAAGGAGGGCGGCACAGTAAAGGTGAAGGTATTTTGAGTTATATCCGTGTTTTTTTTGCCTACGAAAAGAAATAGGCCCTCTTCAACATCGTAGTGCAGGGCAGCAGGGTCGGTTTTCTCGAACGACGCCGTGGCAGCGTGGCAGGGAGCTGTTACCATGGCACACTGATGAAGACATAAAGATTGTTCTGTCTTCGGGTGATGCACACACGATTCGGGTCAAACTGCGGGCACGTTTTCTCTCTCTCTCACTGCGGGCACCTTTTCTCTCTCTCTCTAAATTACAAGAAATAATCCTCCCACTGCCGCAAAAAGGGTGTGCTCGTATGATGCGTTCGGTGAATTCGCTATGATGTTGATGTGATGTGTGTACCGATACACCGACTTTACAGCAGTAGTAGCTTGCACCACTCCCAAGCCACCATACCCTTCCCGCTTGTACTTGTTTTTAACACGGTAATGATGTTCGCAAGCTTTGTCGGACCGCTGCGCCTCTGCGTACACTGCCCAACAATCGACAGGCGAAGGAGAAAACGAGGTTTTGTAGACGGTCGACAAGAAACCACATGCTTGTATGGCGACCCAACAGACCATTCGTGTCGTGCGCTGGCGGGATGTGGGCTCCGAAGGCGTGATGTCATACATGGCCCCAAAGATGGCACAGAACCACCCGCTTCTTATGTCCGGGCACTGGGCGCACCAGGTTCTCAACAAAGACGCGGCACAGCGATGGAGCACCTTCACCGGAATCAAATCAGTCTTGGCAGCCCGGGGCCTGGACCAGCTGAGTGAGTGGATTACTGTAGCTGGAGATATAAAGGAGACCGTAGATATTCCTACAAGAACCGGCAATATACAGAGCCTCAAATATTCTAGGATGAGCATTGCTCAAGGGGAGGATGGAGTTACCTGCTCTTCCGAGTCCGCTTCTTTCCTTCAATCACTGACTCTTATTGAGATCTAGAGTACCTAAGCTTACCTGAGAGGGACTGGAGGGGGTTGGGGAGGCACCTCTTCCCGCGGATGCCACCGTTTGCGGTCTTGTGTGTCATCCTCCTGATCAGTATTCAACAGGCTGCGTCACGCCATGCACCACCAAGACGTGTCCCTTAGCTGCGGTCATCTTGCCTCACACCATTCCTGCAGGGGTGGATATTTCCTGCACCAAGAAAGGCGATTCGTTTCGTGGAGACAAGGCCAGCCGGCAGCAAGTGAACCTGAAGCTCATGGACATGGTGGAGATAGCCGAGGCCCAAGAGTTGGGACAACCGCACTGGGCATCATCGGACGTGAGTTTAGGGGTTTAGACGAATTTGCTTCAGATCAGTTCGAAGTCCCTTCCACGTGCGCAGAAAGCGTCAGCGCGACTTTCTTTCCACGTACTCGTTGAACTGCAATATGGTCTAAGGGTTGGAGGTGCCTGAGCAGCCACTGCCCGAGGGTGGTGGCATTTATGCTTGTGCTGGATGCGGGCAGCGTAGGGGCTTGGCGGCTGAAGTCCGCCGGTGAGAGTGTTGTCGACAGGAACCATCCAGCGATACCACGCTGAGGGCGCTTACAGGACGTATGGGGTCATTCTTCGGTCGCGTCACGCACCCTTGTGTTTATGCAGATGGCAACAGAGCCCGCCATCTACGAAGGTCAATGGTACCAAGCACCTCAGTCTGTGAGCAGCTCAACGCGCGAAGCGTCTATGGCGACACTCTCTTATCTCCCCCCATGAAGACGCGCATCCTGCGGACCCTACAGTTTATGTTCCTTCCCGGTATTTCGGCTTTGACATCCATCGATCACCATCGCTGTTGGGTTGCCTTCAACCCACCCCGCCCTACTTAACACAAACCTGTACGCAGGAGGTTGGGTTGGACTACTACTTGTGCCAGTGTCCAGTTGTTTCGAGGGAGGAGGGGAAGCCGGAAGTGCTTAGCGCCATCGCGGGCGAGTTCCGCACGTGAGTGTTAAGGGACAAATTCCGAAAAATATCCTAGACCTCGCTAATGACATCTCATGGTATCAAACGAAGACCAAGTCTTGCGCGTATATGCGCGTGCTTCTTGGTTGGTGGGTTCCCTAGGCACGAACCCGAATCAACCTCGAGGGTGTTTGTATTTGCCCCTGTTGACTCTCATTCTTGTTGTTATTGAAGCTGTTTCTGGTGTTCCTAATCTCTCTTTTCGTGTTGGTGCCACTGAGGTTTTCTCAGTGTATTCACGATACACCGGAAGACCTGAGTGCACTACCCAATCGCCTCTGGAATGTTTTGCACTCTCTCTCCGGTCGTCTGTTGTCTTTCTCCTTTGTCGTCTCTTTTGATACTCCTAATGCGCACGGTAAAACTCAACAAGCACCCGTACCATTCAAACCAACACCAGGCCTTCTTGTGTCTCGAAGGAAGACCTCCTCCAGATCAACCTGTGGATGGGGGCAATGGAGACAACGACCAACCTGCACTACGACGCCAACCACAACCTTCTCTTCGTTCTCAAGGGGAGCAAGCGGGTCGCTCTGCTGCCGCCGGATATGACAGCCGGTGTTCACGCCATGCCGGTGAGAGGCGAAGCCAACTTTTTTTCTTGGTCAGAGTCTTGATTCAGATTTAGGGATCGAACTAAGCGGTTGCCTAGAACTGGAGGGCATGAGTGGAGTAGAGACGGCTCTGCTGGGGTACAGGCCAGACATGCGCAAGTGAGAGACAGTTCTAAGGTTAATGGTTCAAAGCTTAGGTTAGACTCGATAATTTGTTGTAACGCAGTTCTCACCCCGCCAAGCAAATATGAGCCCGGTTTCTTTGCAACGAGAAATGCGGCTGTCCAACTGAACGATGTTTCTAACTAACGATGTTTGTACAAATGTTTCCAACTATACGATGGTAGCAAAGTGCTCCCCGCGTTATCCCGAAAAAGGCGTCGATAGGTCGGCTCACGGAGGCCTGGGTGTGTGTGTGATACTGCGCCACCTACGTAGACATGAGGGTCAGCCTACAAGAGTAGAATACGATGGAGAGGGTGCCGTGAATGCCCACCATGTGAGAGAACAGGGGAGGTCTCGTTTACTTGCGTAAATTGGCCATGTCAACAGTCTTTGCCTTCGTTCAGTGTTGTGCAGGCGTTCGGAATAACGTCTATTTTGATGTTTCTAGGGGAACCGGGGACGTAACGTGATTGGCTGCTTGGCCCCCTTTATTGGTTGGTCGTTTATTTCGATGAGAAATCGCTGCGGGACCAAGAGAACAGATGCCGAAGTGGTGTGGAGTGAGAGCTCAAAGAGAATTGTGTCCGACTAGAGTCTGCGTTTGGCGGATACCGATCGTTGGGGCTCAATAACATCACCTAGTGGTCATAGAGATCAAGACTTGGACTCGTCGCAGGACGCCAGTCACTTACACATGTGTATCCTACAAAGATTTTGGCTGGGCCTTTCACACGTTGGCTGGATGACACACAAGTCGTCGTGCGTACTGTGCCTTTTTTCACTCCAGGTGTTCTCCGAGTCCGCAAATCACTCCGGGCTACAGCCAGCCGAAACGGCCGCAGTTGTCGACGGCGACGAGGCCGCGCGGAAGGGAGCCGTATACGCCGATGTGGCCGAAGGGGGTATGTAAACGAAGGTGCAGGCCAGCAACGAAATTCACCTTGGCCTGATCTGAGAAAAGCAGTCGTTTTTGTGGGTGCATAAGCTGGGCGTAGTGCGGAATGCCAGCGGAATATAGAGATGATACGTGTGCAATTACGTTGTATTGAAAGACACTATATTTTCCTCTCTTGCTGCTGGCTGGCCCCCGTCCAACAACAGGCGGTAGTCCGGGTCTTCTTGATGTGCCCGAGACTAGAATGGCGCCTGCGCGTTGATTGTCGTATCATCTGGCGACCGGCACTTGGACACCGCTGGCAAACACGGATTTGCGAGATGTAGCACAAACAAGCGCTTCCTAACTTCAATCAACATACACGGGTCTTCGAGGTTACCCGCCAAACCAACTGGGAGACCGATTAGTCATGCCAGACCTTTCTCCCAGACGCTCGGTTGCCATGCTCGCTTTTCACGTCCCCCAATCTACGCCGCACGAGCCCTCCTCTGTTGCAGGGTATGTATAAGGGTCATCTACCTTTCGCCGTTCCCACCCAATACCTAGCAGGCAAACACACAGTAGTTTGGCCGGTGCTGGAGGGACCGTCACCGCCCTTCATTACCTCTGTCGTTTTCTCCAAGTGCATGTACTCGCGTTCATGACTCTTTCCACTGTTCACACCACATGCCAGAGGCGATCTTCATTCCGGAGGGGTGGTGGCACCAGGTGTTTTCGTCTCGCGGCACTGTCGCCGTCAACGTCTGGTTCAAGGTGATTGTCGTGGAAGTTTGGCACGAGGCGCGTGGTTCTAGGATACTTATCGAAGCAGCCGCGACAAATTTGTATGCGTGATTTTTAGTCTCCAAAAAGAAACGCGTGAGGGGTGACCTCCGGTCTTACGTGTTTTTGTTGCAACCAGCGGTGTTCAAAGGAGAGGCCAGAGCTGCGAATAGAGGTAGACGGGTTCGGCACATACGTGATTTCGATGGTGACCCTGAGAACTGTCGGCGGTGTATTTATTTGCGCGCCGGGCTGTGTCCGTTCTCCTCCTCCACCGTCTCTGTTTCGACAGGGTGCGCGACCGGCGCTGTGTGAAGGCCCCTCTAAACATATGAGGAATTACTACCTGAGGTGCCTAATCGAGTCTCTTCTTGCCGACCGGCTACGCGAGGCTACTGCTGGAGACGAAGATAGAAGAGGTAATCGCACTTCGCATGTCGTCGCACCAATATTGCTGGCGCAATGTCTTCCGCGCCGCGGTACACTTAATCAGTTTCGCGTTTCGCGCCGCAAAGCAGTATTGTAGATGTCAAGGGCACTACAGAAGCACCGCCATTCAACGTGGTTGGTGTTCTCGTTGTTGGCGCAGTTGATGTTGGTGCCGTTGCCGCTGTTGTCGCTGCTCCTGTTGCTTTGAAGCGGCACTGCACAGCATGCCGTCGCTTCTCGTCGAAACCTCGCGGCAAGTGATCGATCACGTGCGTGGCCCCTTACATCGACTACACCATTAACATCCTTCGCGCGACTGCGCATACATAACCGAACCCTGTAGCAATCATGGCCGCGGCCGACATCGAGGTGGCAACCGTGACGGGCGACCATGCGCCAAAGCCCGCCGCTGACACATCGGCTGCGGCGGCGGTAGAGCGTGAGTGGTCTCCCCTCCGCAGCCCAACCTCCACAGTCGAAGAGCGCAACTTGTACCTGAGAACCATTGGGACGGACAGTATGAAGGAGGTGAACGATATTGAGGGCAAATTTAGCCACACATGCGAATTTGCGCTTGGAAGGAATGCATCTTGGTAGTGTTGCTTCGCGTGTTGACATGGAATATCGAGCACGGCGGTCGTGCCTTACCGGAAAGGAGGTCAGAACGGGACAGAAATTCCAACGAAGATGACAAGAGAGAGGAAAGCCTCAACTGCAAGGGTGGCAAGGAAACATTGGCAACGAACAGAGAACGGACGCGGCGGACCTAAACGCTGGTTGCAGTATGGTATTGTAATACTGAGAAATCTTCGGTTCTTGTGTCATTGGGCAGAAGTTAGTGATAGTTGTGGAGAAAACAAAGTCCATCGGCGTCAACCGGCTCCCGCTTTTTCGTTTGTCGCTACGACCCTTGCCTCTGTAACAATACAGTACCATCATTATTCTCCGGCAGGTTGCGCTTGACTACCGGGACAAACCCGCTCGGTTCAAGCAATCTGCATCATACCATTTTCGTTTTGACATTTCCCTTGCTATAAAAGCGCCCGGGCTGACCGAGCCCGCGGCTGGGCGATGTAGATGGAGACACTTGACGCGCGTAGTAGACTTGGCGAAACAAGATGCTGACCATTTTACGTTTCTCCGGTGTTGTTTATAACTTCCAACTCTTGTCTTGCCGGCCGTGTTTGCCGCTGCCTACACCTTCATCTCGACACGGCACGAAAGGAGCTCCCTAGAGTAGCCCACGAGCGCCCGCAGGACTGGGCGCGGCTTGTTAGCGGCCTAGATCCCCTCACCGCGTACGTGGTCACCACCCAGTGGGAGGCAGCAGGGGGTGCCGCTGGCATGCCGGAATTCTACGCTGCCATTTTTGGGACTGGGGAGGAGATGGCCGCGACAGGTGGCGGGGAGGAGGATGGTCGAAATCGGGCACAGGCGGCGACGGCGGCGGCAACAGTAGAGGCAACGGAGACGAGCGGGACCGTTCAGCTCGCTGGGAGTGAGGGGATTGGCAGAGCGCAGCAGCCTGCTACTGGTGCTGCTTGTGATGGCGTAATTGTCGGTGCCGGTGGTGTGGGTGGGTTTGGTGTTGATGGCGGTACCGCCGGTCAGGCTAGTTATGGCAGCGGTTTGGCTAGTAGCGGCGAGGCAGCTGGCAGCGTAGCGTTATTAGCGGGGCACGTGGGAGCGGGAGAAGCAGCAGCAGCGGCAGCAGCAGCGATAGCGACGATGAACACCGCGGTTTGGGGAGGAGACGGTGCCCGTTGTGAAGCTTCCCTGCAAGCACAACAGCAACAACTGCAAGCGAGTCAGCAGCAGCGGAATGTTTCTCAACAAGATGTAGAAGCTGGTGCTGCTGGTGTTGCGTCGCAAGAGGTTAGCGGTGTTGCTCTGCAGGAGCGGCTGGTGCATTTGAGGGAGGCGTTCGCGAGGGAACAGTGTGGCGTCGTGTTGAACCGGGCGGTGGGGTGGTGAGAACATTACCCGTAGACAAATCTGCCAATGGTTTGGAGAAAACCCCCTCGGAGAGCAGTTCGCCTTCAATTTTCTGGAAACTACTCCGTTCACGAAGGATATGCTTTGAGACACGGACTCATCAATCTACATGGATTCGCTACTGCGGAAGAAGATCAACATCTAGACTAGTTGCTTCGGTTTGCGCATTGCTCCGACGCCCTTTAGTCACTCCTTACCCTCAGATAAACCCTCCTAACACGTGCGCATCGGCCCAAACATCACCCCAGCATCACTATTCAATACACGGGCTCGGCATTCGTGAGTAAACGCGGTTAATATGCCAAACATCACTCATCATTAACCGGCCCAAACGATAGCACTTCCCCAGAGTATGCCCCAATGCACAGGCCCACGGAAATGCGAGTGATCCTGCCATTTCCTTCCTCTTCTTTTGGAAGAGGGTTCGCTGCCGAAGGACGCTGCCCGGCCCGGGTCCCACGCTCCCGACATGGACATGTCAATAGGAAGAGCCCCGCTCCCGAGGGTCGAGCGCCGAGGCAAACAGAACTCTGCACTTACAGTCGCGGATGGAAAGGCCGTTATGTTGTGTGGGAAGGGGTTGCCCACGATAGCTAACGCCTCACGTAAAAAAACACGCAGTCCCTTAGTCTCTACGGCCCTGCGTTGTGAGGGCTGCTTCATATTAAGTCATGAGGGCGGGTTCATCCGCCTCAGCCAACCTCTTGGTGGCTAAGTAGCGCTCGGGAAGGTCGGCATCGGTCAAACCAAGGTCCTCGATGAATTTTTCTTCCAATTCCTGGGTGGGGAGGGGGGAATAGACGGTCGCAGTTTGGCGTGGCGGTGGCAGGGTCGACTTTGTTAAGGGATTGGTCCACACGCATGCTGTATTTTGCATGAGCGAACGAGCAAAACGACCCGTGCACATAAACTATTCTGCGGAAGTTCCTACTTTTCTCTACGTTTGCTGTTGTAGTAATCAAATGTGAACGAAAGGCCTGAGCCGTCAGTAGTCGAGATGCGAAAACTCTTCGAACATTAGTGTGGGCGCGAAAGTCGTGTAACACATGGGGGAAACCAATAGAGGCTAAGACGTACCGCGAGATGCGCCTTTTCGGCCTCTGTGAGCTCTTCCAGTGCCGGATCCGCAGCTGCTCGGTTTTTGTCTCCTGGATCATTTCAATAAGCGGGCGAAAGGAGAATGCATGGAAGGGGCCCGAAGTCTCGGATATTACCGTCAGATTGCTTGTGTGGACGAGTACGTACTATCTGTTTGTACCCTGTGACACGAGTTCCTGTAGAAGCTATTTTTGGCGCTATTAGAGCTCATTTATCGCCGGGGGAGATGGGTTGGGAAGGAAGGCATCAGTTCTCTCTCATCAATCTTCGGTCTCCAACGCCTGTGTCCACCTTTTGTTGTGGCGGTACCAACAGCACCACCTTCGTCCCCTCCAGCCGCCGGTTCCCCGGCTCCACCTTCCTCGGCAGCAGCAGCACCTGCAGCCCCATCTGGCGGCTGATTCAACGCGTTCTGCATTTCCTCTGCTTCCATCGCCTCGGCTTCGGCTGTTCGAATCTCGAGTCGCTCGGAGACGTGCTCCACACGCTTCGTCATGGTGTGTAGGGAAACAGAACACGAGAAAAATCTGAGGGTCGCGTTGGGTTTCAGTGTGATTGAGGTAGGGTTGATTGAGGTGGGTTGTGTGGGTCGCCAGTATTGTGACAGCCTGGCCTCCCCAAGCGGCTTCATCGCAGGCTGGATGTACCGTGTGGGGCAGGGCGATAAATGGTTCGACAAGTAGAATACGAGGGTGCCGATGGGGTTTATGTACATGTGCTTCAGCGCGCGATTGGTGGGCGACAGGAAACAACTGTCTCTGAAGTGGTGCCAGCCAGCCACACCGAGTAGAAACAACCAAAACAGGATATCACATCTCCATAGAGGTTGTTTTTCGTTGAACAGGTCATTCTCCGATGCCTCGATGCTGAGGTTTGCCGTGAATACCTTTATCTCTCTCTCGAGGAAGTACGACATGATGGCTCTCTCGTTGGCCAGGGGACGCCAAAGGTTCTGAGGCACGTCATAAACGTGGAGGTTCCCTGCCGCATCCCCCACGGTAAGCAGCTGCTGCTTGAGCTTTGCCGCTCCTCCAACCCCCTTGGGCTTCAAGAACTCCATACTAAGAACGAGAAAAAAAAAAAGAAACGAAGGATGAGCAGGCGCACGAGAGCGACAGGGAAGAGCGCGCACCTGGGTCGATAGAAATGCTCAAGGTTCGCACGGGCGAGGGTGTTGACCCGCAGTACATAAGATTGTGCGACACCGACAAATTTACTCGCGCCGCCGTACCGCGGCAATAACGTTTACAGGAACTCAAACCTACAGCTGTGAATTTTCGCGATACTTCGCGGCAGGCAGGAAATCCGAGTTCTGTTTCATTCAGTCCCGACCTTCACGGATCAAGTCCGTTAATCCACTCTGTAGCGCATTACCTTCGCAACCACACAAACATCAACCTTTCTATATCTTGCGTCTCACACACCTGGTAATTCTCGAGGGGCTGCTCATCAGGGTCACCGAAGGAGTGAAGCTGCTATCGGTGAAGTCCCACACGTCCATCGAGCCGTCCACCTTGCCGAGGAACAACATTCCCGGCCGTGTCGGAGACCATCGCCCGGTCGTAAGGTAGTTGGCCGCCATCGGCGAAGAGAAGACGGGTTTTCGAAGCCCCACCTTGGCCGACCAATCAAAAACAAACGGAAGGGAAGCCAAGAAGAGGAGCCCGAACAACAATTTCGGATTGGAGAAACGTGTGTTTCGGGAGCGAAGGCAAATCAGGCAGATGGGTACACGACGCAGATTGTTCCTCGAGATTGGGGGCAAATAATTTTGGGAGAATAATCGAGTTCCTTCATCACACGCAGAAGCTACTAGTCGAAAGCGCGCGCGTTTTGTTATCGGTTTCCACGCCAGAAATATATGCGACGGTTTATCGGTGAGCAGGTAACTGCGGGATTTTGAGCTCCATCCGAACAACAAAGACAAGCAAGGGGGTATTTCCGTTGGAGAAATGTCATCGTTTGGAACAGACACCAAATTCCAAACAGCAACCGATGAGCACTGACTTCAGCAGTAGGAATACTTCTGACTCTGACAACACATGTATTTATTACTTGTTCACCTTCCAAATCTGAAAGCTCCAATCGCCCACGCTGAGCAGTACACCCGGGAAAAAGGGTGACTTGTCCAGCGCCACGCACGGCCGGGTGTGGTCGCTCGAAACCCACTTTACGAACTCCGGGGCTACGTCCCCACCATCCCCCCCCTCGTTTCCGCCTCCCCCGGCTTCCTCGTCTCCCCCTCCTCGCCCACTATTGGCCCCCACTCTTGCCCGCCAATCCGCCAGGAGGATTTCCCCCTCTTCAGTCGTGCAGATGAGCTTGGATTGAAAGAGTGTCGCGCGACGTAAGGTGAAGGGTGGGGTTAAGTGTGGGCGACAACCATCAGAATTGCTACGGGGGCGCATGTATGTGGAAATTGTCGAAAATGAGTTGCACAATTACGCACGCCAGAGGGGGGGGCTTGGCATGTACATTCCGAAATATCCTTGGAGAAAACCTGCATTCCCGAGCGTTCTTAGGGGCAGGGGGATCAACGTCCCTCCAAACATGTTTCCCCAAGGTACTCAAAAGTGTTTCGGGTGTCACCGCCATGGTTATTTTATGGGGGAGGGGGTTTTCCACAACTGTTGCTAGAATCACACGCTTCTGCGACTGGGCCAAAAAAGCAAATCTAAAAGAAAAAGTTTCCCCGGAGCGTGCTGAAAGGTTTCGGGCTCCACCAGCGATGTACTGTTGGATGGGGGGGTGGGGGTTAGCAGACAGGAAGCTGGGATATTCTGACATGGAAGACGATCGCCTGGGACATCTGCTGCTTTGACACACCCGTGGTGTATATCTTCTTGCGCACCAAGCAACAGGCCATCCGACATGGCGTTGGTACAGATAGCCAGGAGAGGTCGCTGATGAAGAGCGGAGCGGCACGCTCTTGTCACGCCCAGGGCGAATGCTCATATTGCCTGAGTTGTGGCCTCACAAGGGCGCACGTTCATCCGTGGTCATGATGGAGAGACGTGAGCTCAGAAAGCCCAAGTTCCTCGCATTGCGGAATGTCGGGCGGGATCGACTACCAAGTTCGCAGCCAGCGTAGGTGAAAACGACCAGCACCTGTAGCATCTACCAAACCTTTGCTTCGGTTCTTGCATACCTGCGAACGCATGTCCACTTCCTCCGCCCCATCTTCGGCCTTGCTGTCGCTGGTGACGCCGTCCCCGGCGACGCCCAAGTCTAGCACAATCCGACAGAGACCCAACTCTCCCACGTCCTGCGTGAGCAAGAGGACACAGGAGGAAGCGCAGGAGAGAGAGCGAGAGATGTGGAGAGACACAGACGACTGTGGTGGTGATGGCAGCAAAAGTCAATAACAATCACGGCCGCCTCACGCCAGAAACTCTTCGTCGGTAATTTCGCCGTAGTCTTGGGAGCCGAACGGCATCCACGTCCTCACCTCTAATCGGTTAAGCTGCAGACGAAAGAGCGGCGTCCAGGGTGCCGGCGGCGGACGACCGTGTTCCTCTCTCTTCTTGTCATACGTTTGCCGAGGTTTCGCGATGTGTGGGAACAAGCCTTCGCTTATTTCCTGGCGATTTTACGGCGTGGACAACGACGAATGACAACGTCCGTGACTATAGCGGTGCCAAGAGTTGTTGCTGCAATGAACGCCCAGCAACGTGGGTAGCGTTGATACCAGAAATGGCCCTTGCACAGCACGTTTCTCGTGTGAATCTACTAGAATCGTAGCTTGCCGTTGCTAGGTCGATGATGTTTCTGTTACCGCATACCGCCATCTGCGTTCAACCCGCGCGACATATCCATGTTTTCCCCTATTGCGACATATAGGATCACCTCGGCCGCCCAACCGCGACAAACAACATCGGTTAACAACATCGGTTAGGACAAGCAATCCACTTAGACCGTCCGACCCAACCAGGCGGTCACGTCGGCTCTTACATATCTCCAGCGGAACGCCCCCAAGACAGTGTTCGATTCATTGCTGACGACGGTTAAGCATGAGCGCCAACAACAACGGGAATCTATTTCTCCGGTCTTATATTGCGGCGTTTCAACGACGCTCGTCCTTGGTGGAGGTGGTGGCGAAGTCCGGCTATCGATTCCACGATCAACCCAAACACCCACAGACATACACAGACAAGCGTCTGTTTTTTATGCCTGTGTTGACTGGCACCTGATATCTTGTGTCCCAGATAAGGCACTGCCCATCGCTGGCGACAGTGATGAATTGGTGCGTGTGTTCCGTGATGTATTCGCTTCCCAGGAGCTGGCCCTTCGAGTTGACCTTGGTTTGGTAGTATCGACAGCCGCGGTTTAAGGGGTCGGTCGGAAAACATGCTAAGGGACAGCTCAACGTCCGTTGTAGGTTGCAAAAAACAAATAGGACGACCAACCAGTTTCACATACTCCGAGTATCATCAAGAGATCAATACGATTTTGAAGGCACAGTGCGCGTGATTCTCTGTGAGAACCCCAAGCTCGGTAAGAACGAGAAGAATGCGAAATTTGACAGTGAACCATCCGAGTCTGAAAGTGCATTCACCGCCACGGACCAACGTTGTCTTCCGTGACACTCTGACGTAGAGTTGTCTACCATTCGTAACCTCCGGGGCAACGCAAACTGAGACGAAAGATTTATGCACGGCAGCACCATCCATCCCTTCTTCTCACTTGAGTGGTTGTCGGCAGCCACGCCAGGTCCGCCACGAGCCTGCGGTGGCTCATGTCGATGTGGCTAACGGCGTGTGGCGTGATAGGGGGTAGCGCCGCTACGACTTCGTCTTCGTCCCCGACACCCAGACCAGGCTTCCCGATGTGCCGCACGCTTTGCTTGCGCTTCTTCTGGTCTATCGACGTCAGGGCTTTGGCGATGTCCCACATTACTACCTGGCCGTTGATGGCGCCCCCCACAACAGTCTGTGTTCCGAAACGGGTGGGGGTGGGACACGAAAGTAGCTGAAGATTGACCACAAGCCACGTAGGGGTGACAGCTATTTTGGTCGTGTGTGTGGGGTCATCGGTGTTGCCGACGTGCACAGTGAGTATGGGAGAACAGGAAGATCACAGTGGCATACGAGGAAACGTTTCTTCCGGTGTCGCTGTGTCACCAGGGAAGAGACAAAGTGGGGTCGATGAGAATATGGGCAACTTCGCAGGCTGGCGGCACCCGGCGTATCGACATTGCCTGTGACCATGCGTGAAGCAGTACAGAGAGGTTTTCAACCGCGGAGGTTCAAGCGGTTGCACTCTCTACGCTTCTAAGAACCAAGCGTGGCCTGTTGGTGGCAAATACGGGCTTCCACCTACTATCGTCGACAACTCACTCCAGGGATCGACGGGTTGAACCTGAAGCAGAAAATCTCGTGAGGTGACTCCAGCTTGAGCATGGGATGGATCAAATCCGCGAAGTCCCAAAGCAGCACGTACGCGTTGTCCACCTGAAAAGAGACCACGAAACTATTAATAAGGCAATTTTGGACGTGAAGCTTCGTGAAGCCGGTCGGATACATAGGCCTGCACACGTACAATAGCGGACCGGCCACGTATGAACAGAACAGAAACGATTTAAGTATGTGTAGCAGTCAAGGCGAAAATATTAGCGCTTTTTCAGTCCGTAGGATGCGATGTTTTGCGCCCCTCTTGCCTGGCCGGAGAGCTGGACCCTCTCCTCGAAGTTGACGTTTTTCACCGCTGAGACCGCCACGCAACCGTTCCGCTTGGGAAGCCAGTCGATCGCCGACATTACCTTCGCCGTGTCGAAACAAATACAACGGTACATTTCACATCATCGCAAACAAGTTTCAAAGTGCAAAAAGTAGTAACGAACGCTTATCTTCGGGAAAATGGAGTTGGTCAGGCAGAGAACGAACCGCAGAAGTTCTTTTTATTTTTCTTCAGCAAGGAGACCCTACTTATCTACACCACCGCGACAAATGACGCTTACGACGGTGGCACAGAGGGACAAGAGGAAAATATGAAGATAAACGTAGAAATTACCACGGCGTGACGAGAAGAACGGAGAATCGCGGGTGCAGGGTATGTAGCTCCTACTGGCAACAGCTTGTGTTTTGACCCCCGAGTCAATCAACACGGTCACAACACGCGAAGGTAACAGAGGGCAAATAATACTAATTGTCTACTACAGAGGCTACAACCCCTGCCAAACTTGTGCTTCAACTCTCAATTGATCCGAATCATATTTATCTTGACGTGAACGCGGTCCATATCCGAGATAATGTACGAGTTCCCTCTTGAAGCGTTTGCCATCGGTGCTCTCAAAACATCCTAAATTGCGCTCGGACAGTAATTTTTCTTCATAGTCTTCTTTGACATGCTTGAACGCGTCTTCCCCCCCCCGTTTCTTCACCATGCCGCGATAAACTTCACATTTACCTTGTTCTTTGAGTGTACAAGGTCTGTGAAGGTGCGTAGCTCTTTCAGTTCGTCCTCGTTTTCATTGGTCTTGGTCAGGGGAGCGTCGTCTTCACCGATGCCGTTGAAGGCATCCTGTGACGTTGTAGCAAGCAGAGCATTAAGTAGTGCATTGGCGGAATGTAGACTTTAACATTGGACTTTGGGCAGATACGCGGACAACCCGTTCTTCGACGTCAACATGGTTCGCGAATCAGATGCAGAGAGACGATCATCCTAGAGATCAAAACCCGGAGGGTGTGCGTGCGTCCAATGAGTTGCCACAAGAGCAACTATTTTTTTCAATGCTCTTGCCTCGACACGCCCTTCATAAAGGAGGCAAAGTGACATGTTCGTATCGAGAATGCTTTCAACGTTCCTCCTCTGAGAATTGAGAACTGAAACCTTCAAGTACTTCGCCACCGACGCCCCTGGTCCGTCACATCAAAGGTATTAAAGGTTCACCATTTTCTTGTTCACGGTTCCCCTCGAAGTCCCGTGATACGGTAGGAACTTGCCTGGAAGATATCGACAGTCTCGTTCTGTTGTAGAGACTGCTCGACTCCCGGTGCCACCTTGCGGAGGAACGACACCATGGCCTCGCTTGACATCATGCTAGCCGCCTGTTCACGTTTGTTCGTGGTGACAAGAAGGGACCCGTGGTGTCTAGCGTTATCAATGAGTCACCTCCCATTGGACCCGGGGTGGAGCAGGTGCATCTGTCATGCTTACACCACCTGCCCCTTGAATACTTGCCCAGATTTTAAGGGGCACGCATTGACGATATTTAACTGCGCCAACCGTTCGTATCGTAGCTTTTGGTGAGGCATGAGCGGCTTTAGCTGTGCGAACAACAGAGGAAGGGTGCAAAATTGATACTGGGATCGAACGAAGAGCGAGAGCTTTCCACGGCAGTCAAGACGACACAGTAAAAAATGGCAGCACCTCTTGTTGCTCAAGGTGCATGGTGGAGTATTGCACCGAGGCGTTCACGCTGCGGAACCAGGTGGTCTGCGACGAGGCCGGGACGCTCTCGGCCGCGGCTTGACAGGGTGAATCCATCAGCTTCCGGTCGGGGTTGGAGGGGTCGAAGGCGGTGAAGCCGGTCGCCAGGTACTTGCGAATACCCATCTGGATGTTTTGGCGGCGCGTCGTCGTTGAAGGTTCAGACCGGGCGGTATGTAGGTGCGCGACAGCGGGAAGAGTACAGGGTCGACACAGGTTAAGGTAGAAATGGGGGGCACTTGTTTGATGAGTGTTTGTCCAGGTGCCGCCCGCATGAAAAAAACAGAATACAGATCAAGCTGCTGTACTAGCCACAGAAACAACAACGTGGGGGTAAGAACACATAATCAGTGAGAAACCGCCCATAACGAAGAGGGAAGTTGGAAACATTAATGTAAGCACTACCTTGACCGCCATGAGTCTCCGGCTACGAGTGTTCATGAATGCGAACATCATTTAGGGAGAAAGGATGGGGCGAGAGTGGCACACGGGATGTATTTGGGACTTGTCGTCCTGTTTACGACCGCAGAAAACACCACTACAGGGACAACAAAACTAGTTTCGCGATAAGTACACAGTCCACCTCATCGACAGCACTGGCTCTAACAGGGAGGTACCCCGTTACTTGTTCCGAGCGCATGGCGCGTCCCTTCACCCCTTCCTTCCTCTCGCCTAGTGGATGTACACCGGAGGTTCTGCCCTCTCCCGGTTGGCAGTTAGTGATAGGGACCGTTGGTGAAGACTATCGCATTGATGATTCCGTTGCAAGGCCAAATACCCCCGCCCCTTCCATGCCAGTGGTATTCACCGCGGGCAATGCATGAAAGTGGGCAACACCGTTTATTCCCCTTTGTCCTTCCTTCCCCCCCTCACTTTGGCCATGTAGTCGTCCGTAAGCCAGTCGTATGCATCCCTGTCCACGAGCTTGCAAGGCAGGCCAAAGCTCCGTCTGGGACGGGTCATGGACATGACCACAAGTGGTCGCTCCGGCCTTATCGTCAAACTCTCCACCTTGACATCAAGCCAACGACGGGAAAAAATGAAACCGACGATGCGTCATGGGGACACTCCCACCGGTGACGATCTAAGCACCGTTGTTTGCATCGAATCTAGTGCTCGCGCGTAGGTAAGCACAACCGACAAGCAGTATCTTCAACTCCGTAGCAATCACAAACGTCTCATTTGTTGCAATGCCAGACGTGCGCACTACGGGAGTGCCCTCAAAGTCACGGGCGATCTTTGTCCCCCACGTATGAGTTATTAGGCACATCGTGCAAGAGGAGAGAATCTTGCGTGTTGTTGCGCATCCACCAGCAAGCTGTTGCGGTCTTGCACGGTCATCTGGGCAAAGGGGGCTCCATCCCGTCAAGAGCACCCACATGTTTAAGATAATTCTGGTGTTGAATGGCGGGTTTACTTTATGATCGAACACACCTCCCGAGCTGTATCTGCTGCAGTTTCCGATTTCCAACCTCTGGCGATGATCGGCTTGTCTTCGTACACCGGTGTGCGATTCGCTTCTTCCTCGGCCAGCCTCGCCGCCTGTGAGCGTCCCATTTCAGGGTTTGTGGATATCGGTACCCGGCGGCATGAAACGAGACGTTTTCGGTGTATCACAAAATATTGTGCATGGTACCGGAAGAGGGAGGGAGGGGTTTGCAATACCTCAAGTGTTACGCCGGAGCTATGTGGTACTCGAGGTGAGGGCTCCGTTGGTGGTTGTACACTGATCTCCCGGCTCAAGATGATCGATGCGTGACCTGAATCTCACGGAGATATCTCACCTCTGCCTCCGCTTCTAACCGCGCTTTCTCCGCTTCCGCCTCCGCCGTTTGTAGCTTGAGCTGGGTCTCGAATGCTTCTGCCGTGAACGTAAAGTACCACTGCTCCCCGTACACTTTGTTTGGGTCTGCCACCAGCAAAATTTCTTCAGTCGGACAAGCCTCGAGGTCGGCCTGAATATGGTGTTCGTGGGGCGATGTGAGAGCACGCTAGGCTTGGCGCTCAAAGATGCGAGAGCAGGCTATGCTCGGCACTCAAAGAGTAGCGGATATCGCCTGGTTCTGCTCAGAATAGATTTTTCCAGAGAAACCGTCCGTCCTCGTGACGATTGCATGTACCCTGGACAAAGATTGCGTGGTTCGGCCATATGGTGGCAGCACCGCGGGAGTGGGGTTCTACCCTGTACAAATACGATGGTGATTTACCGAAGGTACCGTGGACGCTGAACGTTGACATAGATATATGCACATTCTGTTTGCGGGGACTACAGTAGTGATGAAGCGCGAACGTTTAAGTTTGAGGGGTAGCCGATGAGTGGAACGAACACCGAAGGGTCTCAAGTCACTGAGCAAACTCTCAAAACCAAACAATGTGAAGTCGTGAGAGCCTGCAGCTCTCCGATTGCCAAAATCGTACTTACAGTCTGCTCATCAATGGCGAAGGTCTCTCCTCACCGCGTGGACATCCACAATCACGGTCATTCGTCCTTGCGAAAAGGCTATAATGCGCACTGCGCGAGGGATTCTCAATAAGCAGCATCTATGCCGATAGTCTGGTCTTCGAGTTGTAGTTCGGCATTCCGCATTACTATCGCACGTTCGTTAATTGTTCGTTCAAAATACACCGTGCTGGGCCGAACGCTGGATACGGTAGAGGCGGAGAGATGGAAGCCCCGTACAGCAGACCGATGTTCAAAAGTCGATTACTCAACAATCTAGTTTCGTCACCACGAAAGGGTGATGTTGGATATATGCCGTTGAGGGCTTCCCGCAGATGTATCGGGCTCTTTCCGCACCCACTTGGTTGTGGAGCAATCGACCTTTGAAAGTCGGTCTGCGGGGGAGGGGTGCCAGCTCTCCGCCTCTTAATTGTGCGGAGCCCTTGCACAGTTTTTTCAGAGCGTGCACGGTCTGATGATGATGAGTAACGGCGGCTGAAACGTTCTGCACCTGTACAGAGCATTTACAAGGCCATAACACTTCGTATCGTCTTGCGACGGCCTCCGTGGTGCCAATACTACATGTAGTGCTGCTGAGCATGTAATGTAGTCTAGACGGTTGGACGAAGTAGTACAGTGGGCTAGAAGACGTTATCTACAGAGACAAAGACGAACCGCGAATACGCACACCCACCTTGAAGTCGTTCCAGTCACACATGAAGCCAAACTTTCCGACCTCTTCAAGCAGCCGTGCCCGATCCAGAAGCGTGTACTGCTTTAGGGCGGTCATGTTGCCCGCCTCAGCCCCCTCCTCCCGTAGCTGGTACAGGTCGTAGTTCTTCATCTGGATCCATATCGGCCGACACCCCGGAGGTGGAACTTCCTTTTCTTCTCCCATCGCAGACTCGAGAACGACCAGCAACTGGGCGTGCGCTGGGAGAACCTGATGGTTGACGAAAGGCCCGCTTCTCGCCTGCCCTCCTCCCTGCCCTCTTCTTTGCGAGCTCAATAAGATATCATTGGTGCCAGGCTCCGCAGGGGCCCGCACAGAGATATTACCACAGGGACGGGGTCATCGCGAGCGTTACAGATATCCTTCGACGTCTGTACAAACCCACGCGCGACAGATTTTTTTCTGGAGGACCCACAGCTATGGCTACACACTAACACACCGTAGACTTGCAGCTGAGAGCTAAGAGCCCCCAGTTGCACTTGAAGGACCCGAGGCCTGTTCTCCTTGCAAAGCCTGCAGGTGCAAGGATGGGTAAGCTCATCGCAGATGCTGCCCAGAAGAATGGCAGAACCCCGATTCGCCTCAAGTTTTGGAAAGTCTTGCGCCCATTCTTCACAGTAAATGAGGATCGAAAGACGGCATGGGGCTGGTTGGTGCTGATGTTGGCGCTGCTCGTCCTTGAGAGTGGGGTGCTGGTAGCCTTCAGCTACACCCAGGTGCGATATGGCATAGTGTGATGTATTGATCGTGGTGCTGCTGTGGGTAGAAGGGGCGGGGGGCGGTGGGACCAGCGGGACCGAGTTGCAGCTCTTAGGAACATCCATGCGTGACGCATGACGCACCGCGTCACTCGCAGCCTTGATCCCCAGACGCTGGACGGAGAGGTAAGAGGGGGGTAGGGTGGGAAGATGCTGACCGCCTCCGCTTTGGGCTGCTGGGTGACGATGCCCTGTTGCTGGACTCAGATTCCTCGTGTATTCCCCTGTTCGAAGGCTGCTCTGCTTCTTGTGATATCTGTGTACAGCAAGTGCTGCTGTGAGATTTGAAATCCCGCAACGTGTCAGTGACAAACGACCGCCTGGTCTCGCGCCGCAGCGGTGCCTTGCGCCTTTTCACATGCCTGGTCTATTCTCGCTTACCGAGCATGGTGTTATTTCTCCGTCTCGGTGCTGATTACGGCGTGACAGCGGGACTTCTCGACAGCCATGAGCAACAAGGACCAGGATGGGTTCTACCGCGGCACTCGGCGCTACGTCGTCATCCTCCTGGCTGCGGCTCCCCTCTTTGCCCTCTCAAAGTACGTCTGCGATCGGGGTACCGTAGGTTGCATAAGATATCACACTTATTACATACGATGCCACACCACCTTCGAAAAGTTATTCAATACCATACCCCTTGTGCTACTTGTTATAGCCCCAAGAAAATCGAAGAAGAACGTCATTTTTTCAGCGGATGACGTAAGATACCGCACCCCCTAAGGTTGAGCCGCATATTTTCGACGGAGTCCCCCCTTATCACACAGAAGTGAACAACCGTTGTAGCACGTCGCCTTTTATTTTTTCGAGGGCAGGTACACACTGAGTCCCTCACGTTTCGTCGTGGGCTCTGGGGTGCAAGCTCAAGCCGAGGAACCCCGTGGAGAACCGCTAGCGTATGAACAAACTTGCACGAAGCAATTCCAACAGTGGTGCGATTCACGCTTCGTTTTCTGTGCTCTTGATTTTGTCGGCCGCCTTTTCTATGTATGTGTTTGCGTGTGTGCCAACCAGGTTTGTCCAAGGGAAGCTTGGTCTGGACTGGCGGCGCTGGCTTACGGAGCACCTCTGCGGCCTGTACTTCCAGAACCGCTCATTCTACGCTCTTAAGATCGGGTACCTTTCCTCCAGCAAGACGGTCGCGAGCAGCCCGGGAATCAAAGGGCAGCAGCAGGACGGCGCTGAAGGCGACGGCAATGCTGCCGCTAATAGCTTCGGCGCTAGGGAGGAGGAGCAGCAGCGAGGCGGGATCGACAACCCCGTCAGCGCGGTGAGTTGCGCGCCCCGTCCGTTACGGGCCGGCAGGGCGGAAGTCCGTTTTGTGGTCTATATGCCTTGTTGGGAACCGACAGCGGTGGAGGTTATGCAGTTTTCTGTTGGGATGGGCTATGCACAGCAGTGCTCGTGCTGCTGTTTTGGCCGGGCTGAAGGCACACACGCCCCCCCGCCCGCCCGTCTTGTGTGCCGGTGACACCCGCCCTTCACTGCCAATCTCGAACATCGGAAAGTGTGCTAGTGGTTTCGCTAGTCTGATACTTGGACCCCCTTCCAATTTCGGAGGCAATTTTTCGAGAATAAGATAGAAACCAGAATGTGGTAAACACCAACGCCAAAGGGCAACAGGCAAAGGAGATCATACCGGAGCTTTACTGGGTAGCGTACTGTAGTCTGGTCCGAAATAAACGGGAGATTTGGACATACAGCTCAATATCTCGCGCAATTTTTACTTTTTTTTTTAAGCGGTTTCTTCCATCGTTTTCGGGTCTTCGAGCGGGGCTGTCAAAACCGCTTCTTTTCTAGATTCGTCATCAACATGTTGCCTATAGCAGCGCTTGAAGCAAGGGCACTCAGAGCTCGAAGAGTATTGTCTCTGGTAAAGTGCCTTCCCATACTCTAATTACCGTGTCCATTGCTGGAGGCGCTACCGGGACACGCAGAAAAAAACTGAAAGAAAATTTGAGACGCGCTTTGATGGACGAGCTCCTTGAGGGCAGCAACAACGGCCAGGTTGATCCATGGCAACGTCAAGCGAGTCTCGCAGTAGTATGGTTGCATGCACAGAAGATGACATCAAATCATCTCCCACCCCAAGAGATGTCTGTCGACCACTCCCTTAGCATCGCTGCATCATTCTGACGCGTTTTTGACAGCATTCTTGCACTCTAAGGCGTGTGTACAACCAATTACCCCCCTTACAATTCGGTGTTTCCAAATCTCCCTTATATTGCGGACCAGACGGTAGCAGTTATTGACCCCCTGTAACGATTCTGAATACAATACGTGGCGCGGATTTGTCATAACGGCAACCTACCCTCTAGCTCGACGCGTGCGCAGCTCTTGGGGGCCTTGAAAAGCATTAACGTGCCGCTGAGTGTCTCGGAATATAACATGACCATCGTGGAGGAGACCTCGTGGCGCCCCCTCACACGGTGTATCTTCCTTTCACAAGGCCATTCTTGAAATACCCCCCCTAGGAGCTGTTGGGTTTCTTATTCGCGTGCGATCAGCACTCGAGTTTTGTTGCGCCTCCGGCAAGTTTTGTTGTCTTTTTTGTTCTTGATCCCATCGCCGTGCGAGCTCCAAGCTGCCCTCCTGCTATATTGACAAACGAGTACGATCTACCGTTATTATTGTACGTGTCACATTGTTGGGTTAGTGCATGCTGCCGGCAAACGCTTTCAGACATTGGAGAGCTTTTTTCTGCAAAGCTGGATGCGCGAACGCGCACCTACTCGGCGGACCGCCAACTAGCAGGCCGGGTGACTTTGCGCTTTGTCCCCCCCCTCTCCCCCCCTCCTAGAGTACGCCGGAGAATTATGGGAAGGAAACAAGAAGGTAGTGAAAGAACTCGAGGCGGCGCAAATGAAAGCAGCGAAATTCATCCTAGGATGCTCCAATCCTAGGATGCTCCAAGCGCACAAGTAATGCAGCCGTCAGGGCAGAATTTGGGATCCAATCCCTACGGTCGGGAAGAGACGCAACGAAGCTGACACGGCTGTATCGCATGTGCGGAGAGATTGCCGAGAATAGTATGGGAGGCGAAGTGGGCAAACGAAAAGAGGGGTAGACAACCCACGGAATGGGTCAAGGTTGTAGAGGACGTATGGACGGGGTTCGAAATCGACGAAGATGAAACGCTGGAAATGGAGGGTCTACAGGGGTTCAAGGAGAAGATATCTGTTGCTTGTGCCGAGAGAGAAGAACAGAACCGAAGGAACGATACCCAAGGATAAGGAGGGTCTAGAAGTGTACGGAATGTTGTAAGAAGGAATAGGGTTCAAGGATTACCTACATATGGACCAATGGGTGCAGGGACAAAGCTTAAGGTCAAATTCAGGACCGGGGACATAGGCCTTCGAGATTGTCGACGAAGACATAGGACGGTAGACGACGAAGACGACGAGTTCAAAGGTAATTGCGGCTTCGAATGCGAAGACCGTGTTCATCTAGTCGCGGAATGTCAGTTGTACGCAAAGGAGAGGGAAGTGTACATGACTGAGCTGGGAAAAATACAAGGGGGGATAAGGGAGATGTTTGAAGCATGGAATAGAGAGGAGAAGACCGTAGCTGTACTGGGGAGTGTTAAGTTGTTTGAAAAGGCGGGAAGGGATATCGTTAGGATAGATAGACTAGGGAAGACAATGTTGAGCCACCTTTGGCAAAGCAGGAAGGAACGATCGGCCATCGGTGATCGGTCCTGTGGGAACAATGCTCCGTCCTCTCGAGGACGCGTGGTCAATGGTCTAACCGCTAAGGCATCAAAACATAAGAGTACGCCCCCCCCCGCTGCGACAGATTGAACATCCTCTGTGATTTTGGTAGGTCAGCGCTGCTGTGATTTTAGGTTGTGTAGGCTTACCCCTGTTGCTTTTTGTGTTATTTACTTTTTTCCAGATGCAGAAGTGAGTACCCAAACACGGCATCCTGCCCACCCGGATTGATCAAATAAACGCAGGTGGACAACCCCGACCAGAGGATCGGAGAAGACATCTCCACCTTCACCAAGAACTGCATCGACGTCGTGGTGGTGTTCGTGGGGTCGGTGCTCAAGGTGGGCTCGTTCGTCGGGGTGCTGCTGTCCATATCCCCCCGCCTCACCGCCTTCGTGGTGGCGTACTCCGTGGCGGGCACCCTGAGCACCACCGCCCTCTTCGGCGCCCGCCTGAAGCACCTCATCTTTGAAGGTGCCAAGCGAGAGGCGAACTTGAGGTGGGCGTTCGTGCGTGCGTGTGTGTGTGGGTGTGTGTTTCTATTTATTTGTAGGGACCGCGATGTTTACCCGCCTGACAATGAAAATACGTGCAAAATGTGTGTGTTTGTTTTTATTATTAGCATCGACCGCGCTAACCGGCGTACCAATGAAAAGACGTCAGTCTCAGGGCGGTTGAAAACAAAAAGTGCGTGTGTGTGTTCGATTATGTTGTTTTGCATTGACCGTGCTAACGGGTAGACACAAAGACAATACGTCAAGTCTTGTGCGCATGTTGAGGCAGTTCTACGAATGCGTATTGTTGCGAACACCTTTACTAGGTCTGCGACGAACGGCTGCTTCCTGGTACCTTTGAAACCATGGCGGCGTTGTAGCGACCGTTACTTTGACGACATGTGCCATGGTGTCGTCGGAATGGCGCGTGTGTCATTTTGTGGTAGCGATATGAAGTGATCATCCAGGGCGCTCACGTGCAGCCATTCCGAGCCCGGCTATATTATTTGCGTGCTTGCTGCAGGTGTGTGTACAGCCAACCCCGCTTTTGTGTCAAACCCAACCGGATGCTGGTGGTTTGAGATGACTGCCACCTTTGCTTTGAATGATGGTCAACACCGTGCCATGAGTGATGGCTGCCCTCCTCCCCTTGCGACGATCGTGACGGTGCCATGTGCTACTTCTGTACCGTGGCTTCATTATTTGGTTGTTTGTTTTTTTTGTCACGGCGGTGGCAGGTTCGGCCTGGTGCGTGTCCGCGAGCACGCGGAGGAGATTGCGTTCTACCGGGGGGAGAAGGGGGAAAAGGAAGTGGTCAAGGGCCTGCTCGAGAAGGTGCCGGCAGGCACAATTTTGTTTTGTGTTGGCGTTCGACGTCTACAGCAGTTTTTATGTATCCCGTCTTTTCTGTGTGCTTGGCGCCGGCGCTATCTATTTAGGGGCTATTTCGTCTCGCACGACCCCCGCCCCCCCCCCCCCCCCAGTCTCTACAGTCCGCCACCGACCCCGCCATTCCCTTGATGGTCGTTGCCACCGCCGCCGCCCTCGCTTCGGTTTGCTGCCTTCGTCGGTTCTGCCTTGTGTTGCATGGCGCGGTTGGGTCATACGTAGGTGGTGGGCAACATCCATCTCAGGCTGTGGTGCGACGCTCAGCTGGCGGTGTTTTCGAACAGCTTCATGTGGCTCACGGCGGTCCTCCCTTACCTTGTCGTGGCGGAGCGGTACTTCGCCGGGGAGATCGAATTCGGAGTGATCTCGCAGGTGTGATGTTCAGAGGGCGACACCAAAACCATGCTCCAAAAGGGGGCGGCGAACGTACACGCGAAAATGACGCCTTTTTCGCGTGCTATCTTGTTCTCGTCTCGACTTTGTTCTTGCTGAGATGACATCCCGGCGTTCCTGTTTTAGCGATTTCGTGGTGATTGTGATTGCAGCTGTGCTGAGCGTGATCAGCGACGTAAGCTGAATCCTGTTGTGTCTGATTCGGCCACACAGTTTGCCTGCAACTCCCTACCCGCGCCTTTCTACCAACAAACAGCCCATTCAACGTGCAAACGTCGACGGCCATGGCCTCCCGAGTGACCCAGCGGGGCACAGAGCGAGATGCTCACCTTTGTCGAGTGATGTTTGTCGTGCATGGCACGCCCGCGTGTCGCGTTTGGTATTCTCCATGGAAAACGACCGCGCCACGTCTTCCGAGTCCACGCGGGTTTTATGTCCTGTAAGAATCATCCGTACCGTGTCTTCTTTCGCGTCGAACGACTCGGTTTTCCGCAGACGGCCATGGCCTTCCGGGTGATCCAGGGGGCCCTGAGCGTCATCGTGACGCAGATCCGTACCCTGGCCAGCCTGGCATCCGAGGTCGACCGCCTTCACTTCCTGGTGGTGTGCATGGAGAGCATGGCGGAGGAGAATCCGGGCGGCAACCCTCCCGCCGGCAGCAACGGCACGACGGCGGCAGCAACGCCCCTGTCTTCCCTCGACGACGGCTATATCGCGGTCCCCTCGAGTGACGGCGGTGGTGACAAGGGCAGTGGCGTTATGGTGCAAAAGGACGGCGACGGGGAAGGAGAGGAGGGCGACGACGAGGAAGAGGCCGTGCTGCTGGACGTGACGGAAGCGGTGGACGGGAGCGGCAACGGAAACGGAGGACGAAACGGCGACGGGGCAGGAGCAGCAGCTGGGAGGCGGATAACTACAGTGGTGACGGAGAGAGGCCCAGCCGCCGGAAAGGGGCAGAAAGAAGTGATACTGAAAATGTGAGCTTAGGGCTCTGCTCTGTGTGAATCCAAGGCCGCCGGGGCAATGCGAATATGCCCGGAGTTTCTCAAGGCGTTTCGAAAACCCATGTTTTGGGGAGAAGATTCCCTCGCGTGTTTCCCGGAATGGTTTCGTGCCTGTGCTTCTCTTTGCCCCGAATTTTTTGCTGCTTCGCCTTTCCTCGTGCGACGGCTATTATAGCTAATATTTTGCCCACCTTCGAACCTCGGACGTATTCGCAACACCGTTGGTCACGTTCCTGTTGGGCGTAGCTTCCAGTTTCCTGGACCCCCTCGATGGTTTCTCGCCTACGATCCTTGAGTCGCACTCTCTTTGTGGTCCCTCTCGGTTGTTCCCAATTCAAGTCTCTGATGTGTTTGTTGCCGTTGCTAGTACCAACTGGCTTTGCCGTTGTCGCCGTTGCTGCTGCCTATTCTACCGGTTTTGTAGGCTGTGACCGCCGTCTCCTTGTTGTTGCTCCTGCTACGGCTGTTGATGCCATTGGTGACGGCGAGCGGTGATGATAATGTCCCTGCCAGCGCTGCCGCTGACCCCCATCCCCATGCTGCTGCTGCTGTTTTTTTGTTGGCGAAACGTCCAGAGAGGACTTGACGCTCTTCACCCCGGACAGAAAGCAAGCGATCTGCCGAAAGCTGTCCTTCGAGGTGAAGAGGGGACGGTCCGTTCTCATATTCGGTCCTTCCGGCTGCGGCAAGTCATCTCTCCTGCGGTGAGACACAGCAGTTTCGTGGTTGGTGCCAAGGAGAGTTTGGAACGTTTGCCACCAGGGGATACCTCTTTACACAGCTCCGCCTCTGGCGTTGCAGCATGCGTGAGCCTTGTTCTTGCATGCGTCGATAAACGAGAAGAGGGCATGGGTGGCACGCCAGCCCCGCACGTTTGTGCTGTTGATGCTCACACACACCAGGGGGAGAAAACCCGCACTGTTTTTTTTCAGTGCGAAGAATGTTCTGGGCTGTTGACACGGTGTTCCCCCGGGTTCCCCCGCCGGGAACAAGGCTGGTTGTGGCACGCCGAAAACATGGACGAGATTTTGAACTTGTTGGTTATTTCTTAGCAACGCAGCCATGTACGAAGTACGATTGTTCGATCGGTATGTACCGAGCGAATGCAGACAAGAATATCTTGATCCGTTGTTGGCTGGTCCATTGCGTTGCAGCAATTGTCTGTCGTGTGTTGGCTGCTTAGCTTTGAGAGACTTTTATTTCGTGGCCACAATCTCGGCACTTACCTCAGGCCGAACTTTTTCAGGTAAAAACAGCTTGCTTGGGAAGGAAGAATGATCATGCGCGCCGGTATTGCTGCGCTCTATTTTGGCTCGACGTGCTTCAACCATGTACCAGCTTTCTATATTTTCCGTGAAAACTCAACAAGGATGATATGTAACAAGAAAGTGATCGCGCGCCCCAGGCGGTTTGCTCCCCCCAACGACACGTCCAATGCAACCTACTGAGTAGCTTTAAGAGGAGCCTATGAAAGAAGTGTTGATCCGCCCCTCCAATGTATCCCAGCGTATTTAGGGGCCGTGCGAACACGGTCACATGTAGCTACAGATAGTTTGCGTTGCAACGTGCAGCGTGTTCGACGAGCGGACCCGGGAGACATACACGCATGCGGCGCGATTAGAAGTGCTTTCCTGTGCTCGGGTGTTGTTGTGTATATTGTTTCGTTTTGCCTGTACGAGCGACTGAGGGACGTTCGTGTTATTTTCGGTACTGGTTTCGTTGCGGCTGCCCTTGTTTCAGGGGCATTTCTGGGCTTTGGTCGGCTGGACACGGAAGCATTTCCCGGCACTCGGATGACGAGACGATGTTCATCCCGCAGGTGGTTACGGTGTTCAATGTACGATGACCCGCTTTGCTTGAGACAAGCTGGTTTGATAACGTAACATTACCGGTATACGGAACTCTCTACTCGCGTCCCGTTTGCCGCCCAATCTAGTGGCGATTGGACGCATGGCTGTCGTAGGAACGAGTGACAGGAGAGAATCAGGAGATAAACCGAGCTCGTAAGCAAGGCGTCGCATGCCTTGTTCACTTGGGTTATTTTACTTCCTTGTTCAACTGTCGCCCTCCGCGGCAGCTGGCTAGCTACCCCAGGTGTCACGTCTTCGTGTTGTTGTATCGTGTGGTAGCTGCGATTCTCTTGGAGCCATGCGTCTTGCTGTTGGCTGCAGCAAGGCAGACTCCGCTGCGTCCACCCTCGGTGTCTTGTTGTGTCCACAAGCTCTCCGCCATTTTCTCACCCCGGCACGCCCCTCCCCTCCCGCCGCGCGCCACCCCGCCGATTACCCTAGAAACCCTACCTTCCGCTGGGGTCGCTGCGCGCCCAGATGCTGTACCCGCACTCTGAAGACGAAGTGATGTTGACCCCGGCATCCATGGAAGGCATTCTTGAGCAGGTTCAGCTTGGATACCTCTGTTCCAGGTCCGGAGGACTCGGTGCGGTCCGGGACTGGCAGGACGAGCTCAGCCTGGGAGAGCAGCAGGTCAGAGGGTGGGGAACGGTGTGGGGGAACTAGTGTGGCAGCGAACGCTAGTCTCGTGGTTGTTTCGCTTGCCACCGCTGGTTTTCAAGGCGAATATGCCCCCCCGGCAAGTGGTGTGTGGCCATTGCTATCTGCGTTTGCCCCTCTTGATTATTCGCCTCGCTTCTCTGCGCGTCGTTTGGATTGAAGTACGTCCGTTGTGTGTTCGCTTGTGAACTTTTTTGTCTCCCGCCTTCCGTGCGCGTTTCGCTTGATCGTAATATGTCGCGTTTTGTTTCTTCCAAATTAACCACCCCTTGCACGCGCCATCAAACCAGCGCCTGGCGTTCTCTCGGCTGCTGACCAACACGCCTTCGACGGTGTTTCTGGACGAGGCCACATCCGCCCTCGACGAGGAGAACGAGGCCAAGGTGTACTCCTGGTTAAGGACGGCGGCGCTCGACGCCTTCATCAGCGTGGGCCACCGGGCCTCGCTCTTTCGGTGAGGGAGATGAGAGAGGGAGAGAGAGAGAAAGAGAGAGAGACACACACACCCAGACAGAGGGAGAGACAAACACAGCGACGGAACTGGGTGGTCGCTCTCCCTGCGTACTGCTTCTCGTCCGTGTCGGAAGAGATACAGTACGCAGGAAGAGCCATAGGAAGAACAGAGTGAAGACAAGACGTGGTGGTCCTCGGCCGGTTTCGCAGTTTGTTTGTCTGGTTGCACCGGTTGATTGCCTGTTTTTTATTTTTCTGTGTGTCCCCTTGCTGCCGCCTCCTTCGTGAACTAACAATGCCTCTCCTGTCTGAGCGGCCCCCGCTAAGGTTTGATTGCTTGGACGTGGTTCTTGCGTGCCGGTTTCATTGTCGCGCCTGTTGGTTTTTGTTTCCTTGCACAACCCCTCAATGCTTGAGATGAAAAGGAAGGTGGGTTGCACTTTCGAAATCAAGCACCGTTAGTCGAGAACGTCGCCGTCGTCCCGTTTCATCCACTCAAGAGGGCTGAATACGGTCGCGCAGTTCTTGGCACAATAGCACGATGTTTGAAAGTGCAATCTGACTTTACCGCGCTGTGTCTTTTTAGGCCGGGGGCACGAAACCTGGGATAGAATTCCCCACCATACTTAAATCGCATGGGCATATTCATACCTCCTTTGTTGGATCGCGCGCTTTGACTGTCGCGGCTGCGCGCCAACGCCAGCGTGAAACCCCTTAACGAAAATCGGTTGGGTATTTCTTGACGGTGGTGACTGAAAATTTCCCAAATGTTGACGGATGAAAATTACGCAGGTACCACACGCACGTCTTGAGAGGCCAGAGCGACGGCAAATGGTTCTTTCACACCATGAAGGACTTCCTGGACAACCACTACTCCCCCGCGCTGCTGGGGCCGGACAAGTGAAGGCGGTCGGTGGTACCGCCGGCGATCGTTTGGTTGATCCATGCTACATGTGCCAACGAGCATGGTTTTTGGAGAGCACGGGACTCCTACGTTTGGGTTCGCTCGTTTCTTGTACCCTTTTTTGGGGGGGCGGAGGAGGCACCGGTGGTGTGATCGAGTGCGCCATGATGGTCCATGGTAGTGTGTCGTGTCATGCCGACAAAAATGTTCGAGCGCCGAGTAATCATAGATTATGGACGTGGTTTTCGGCCTTGATCTTACGGGGGCGGGGCAAGGGGACTTGGTCTGCTTCTCGCCGGTGGTCGATCTGTGCCTGCGGAGGAGGAAACGACGGGGTGACACCAGGTAAAGTTACTACCCGTTCGCTCATTGTACATAGGACCATGAAGGAGCCACAAATGTACAGTTCGTGGAAAGGCTGAGGAGGTGAAGTGGTACCGATTTGTGTATGTATAGCGTGGACGTGTGTGAAACCAATCACATTTGAGAAAAGTCTGAGGCGAGAGTCCCGCTGCATTGGATCCGATTACGCCGAAGTTTGAGTTCAGGCTCCCTTGGGGATATGCGTTTCGTGTCTTCGGAATGACTGTTAAGGCTTTCACAGGTGGCGCGCGTTGGGGGCATGGGGTGCTTCCATATGTGGTGGGCAATCACAAGCCATATGCGAGTCTTGGTAGCGTTTGTACGCGGTTTGCTTGTATGTTCTGCGACTACCGCCTTGCTTGGTGCGTGCTAGCTGCAGTCCAGCAGCAGCGGCAGCAGCAGCGTGCGTGCTCACCTCTTGGCACACGCCTTCCCTGAAGCATCTGTAGTGGTTGAGGGGGCGGCCTCTCGATGCACTCGGCTACTGCGTTTGAGTCCTCGGGGGGAACGTTATATAGTTCGAGCACGCACCGCTTTGGTGGGCCAGTCACCTAGTGGTCTACCGCATGAGCATTCTAGCGGCGGCTACCTAGGTTGGCGGTTTGCGTCTCGGCGGCGAGTGTTCATTCGGCCCTGCGTACCTGGAAGTAGGGCGGGTTGTTTCGTGCCTGCGCTGAACCGGGACCTGGTGAAACGTTCTCGCGGTAACAACGAAGACAAACAGGCCTACGAGTTACCCGAACGCGGAAGGTAGGCAGAAACTGTGGAGTGGCGGCTATTGGCTGACGATGACGATAGAGCAAAGCTGAAGAACGGTCCGAGAGTTTTTGCCCGTTTTAGTAGCACGAATGGTGGGTAAGGTCGTAATTTTCTTTGGTCCGTATTTTTCGGGAGAAGTTTGGGGCGGGCGTGCATAGCCTATGCAAGAGTGAGGAGTCTCAGGCAAGAAATGGGGGGGGGGGGGAGATCAAATCGGGCCGGCGGGTTCCTCTCGGGTGTAAATATGGACAGCGGGGGCAGGGAATCGAAATAACGAAATAACTTTTTTAGTGACTTGAAGTTGTGTGTCCTACAACATGGGAATCGGGGTGAGTGGAGCTTGCCAGGAAAACGGTAGTAGTGCCAGACATGGCACATCCCCTAATCCGAAATGCCTCGATTGCTCCACGAACAAGAGGTTAGCAATGCCGAGAAGGGTGGGTGTGGAATATCTCGCCCAAAGATGAATGGAATATTGTACTTGGTACCTATCAGTAGAAATTTTAGACGCATGTGTCCCTTTAATGGCGTAGGCGGGACGAATGTTCCGGAATCAACAACACTGCACCGCAAGCACACAAACTAACTGGTACAGTTTTTCGACATTTTGCACTTTCGATCCTGGTGCAGCTAAGCGCTCTCAACAAGCGAACCTGGCTCAACCTGTCAAACAACCAGCGGTGAGAGACGATGGATAGATTTGGATATAAACTGGGGTACTTTTTTCTTTCTGGAGCTTTTGGATGTGTGCGTGGGACACACGCATTTTCTCCAGAATCAAAAACAGGGTACTCCAGTAAATATCCAAATATAAACATCGTCTCTCACCGCTGAGCTGGTTGTTCGACAGGTTGAGCCAAGCTAGCTTGTTGAGAGCGCCGAGCTACACCGGGATCGCATATGCAAAGATATCGAAATACTAGTTAGTTTGTGTTTGCGGTGCAGTGTTTTCGATTAAAATAGGGCATTGCCCGCCTACGCATGGGCGGGATTCATGCGTGTTGCTTCTACAGAAGTCGAAATTTGTTGTTTGGCTGTCAACCTCATGGGTTCACCATACAACTCGTTCCTGTCGACTTCGCGGTGCTCCAAGGCGCAATATTTCCTAGCTGCTCACTTGGTTTTCGCTATAATTTTGCAGCAATCGAGCTTGAAAATCGATCTATGCGGCTGCTTTGGATGTGAAATGAATTTTGGGGAGGATTGCAACCTTCCTATCACCGCCAATTCCCTGCAAGCGATGTACGTGCAGGATGTCGTCAACCAAGTGCCATCATTATCGCTTCGGAAAAGGTTCCACCACAGCCGATTTCGGAAGTTGTGTGGCAGAAGTTTGGGGGTGCGGTATTTGCGGCTGAAGCATCTGATGGCAAAGTTGTGTGGCAAGAGCAGTGCTGAATGTTTACCCCCAAAAAGGTGAAACCAGCTTTCGTGACAAACGCATACTGTTCTTCCAGGCCTGCGCAGCGCAACAGCCGGAAGCGGCCCCAGAGGTAACGGTAGCGACATCCACTCAGACCCAACCATACCAGGCGGTTACCTTGTATACTTCTGACTCTATCCAGAGGAAGGACAGCAAACTCACAGGTACTGCAGACCATGTCACTACTACAATCCTATACCGTGACCGATCATCGACACTAGTTAGCAAATGGGCATGGGGACGATGGGGACGTTGTTCTCCGCCTGGCGACGGTCGATCCTCTCGACCATCTCCCGCTCGTACGCCTCGCACAGCTCGCGTGGAAGAGGTCGATCGGCTTGAGCCTTCCTCATGATAATGGCGTGCACATGGGTGCCCTCGCCCTCTCCAGCAGCAGCAGCAGATTCCCACATCTCCTTGAGGCTCGGTATGTGCCGGGGGGCGTACGTGGAACTCTCTTCTGATGCCGCCGTGCCACCTCTACTCAGCGTTGACAAGCTACCGCTCAGGTCGTCCACGGCGGCGTCGCAGGTGTTCAGCCGCCATCGGTTGAAAGCCTTTGCGAGCTTCGAGCGGCCGCTGTCATCGCCGGCCACCTGGTGTCGTTGGAGTACTAATTTACTGTTATTTTTTATGCTCGCAAGTACTTGCCTACACGGTTGATTGTTCTCGTTCCCCGTGTCGGTTGACATCGAGTATGCATACATGAAGCTAAAAGCATGACGGACGGAAATGTGGTCGGTGCATACTCCAGTACACGGTAGTGTGAAGCTTTGAGGTCTGCTTGCCACGAGAAGCATGCATGGTGCCAATTCTTCACAATTCTTTCGTGGGGTCTCAACCGCTCGGCCTCGAGAAACACCTTGACAAGGCGGCACACGCCAATAACCGTCTTGAAGACACGGCAAAAGGCCCAACTTGCCTGCCACAACGTAATGAAACGTAAATACACATTCGCCGCCTTTTTCGACGCGCTTGATCGCCGCTTCCGTCGGTACTGGATCTCTCTTTCTCCTTGGCTGCCACGCATGTTAGCCGCGCACCATAGTTTCGGGAAGTCCGCCGAGAAGTCGTATCTTTTTTCGTACACGGAACGTAATAAAGAGAGGCACGGGGGGTCACATTCAACCATTGTTTCTTGCCAACAATCCCGCTCAAGATTGAGTATTTCCTGCCAATTGGGCGTTGGACATGATGGCCACTCGTCCCGGGTAAACCCGCGAGAAAAGTGGATTAACTTTAGTGAAGTCTCTCTAGCACCAGAGGCACTACAAGCATCCCAGCACATTTCGTTGAGATACAACAGCTCAGGACCTAGGACAAAGAGAATGAAGTTTGTTTGATACGTCAAGCAACAATTGTCATCAGAGCTTTTTTGTCGACATCGCTCGATAGTGTAAGTACTTTAGTCTATGCCACCAGGACGGAAATGGGGTTGAGGAGATGTGTCCGGTCAAATCATCGTACTTCGTTTTGGCCATGGTTCGACAGATCTTTCAAACGCGCCCGTCGGCTTGACGTGTGAAGACGTTACCGGGTATATGCGCGCATATACCGCGCTGCGTGCAATGTGTGTACTGGTGCGTCGGCAACTGCATTTCATCCTATTGTCCGTAACGTTGTGTGTGGTTGAATGCCTGTGCCCGTCGTTGCTAACCTGTTCACCACAGGTAACGTTTGTGGCGTGGCCAAGTCACTCCGAGAATGTACCAATTCAAAGATTCTCCGTGGGCGAATAAATATTTCGTGTGATAACTGTCTCAGTGATCTGAAACTACATGTAATGGAGGGCTTCGAAGCTAGTCGATATTCCATCGTGAAATACGACGTATTGTTCAGCCACAACCACGTCATCAAGAGCATATTCCGAATGGTTGCTGTGATGCTTCGAGAATATGGCCTTGAATACGTTTGTTTGCGGCGTACGAGTGGTGTATTGTAAAATGGAATATCGTAGCTTTCTTTTTGAAATTAACAAAACCCACCCTTTCTCCTTGGTTCTTTTCTCTTCGAGTCTCTCCGACGCAGTGACAAGGTTTGCGTAAAACTTCTCCGTTACTGCCCAGTGTCGCTCCTGGAACATTTTCACCTCCGCCTTAGCTTTAGCATCGGTCAGGATATCCCAGGGTTTTTCTACCGCCGTCGCCGGCACCTCGCTCTCGAAATCCTCTCTAGCTCGCTGTGAATCCTCGCTATCCTCGTCTTCACCAAGCAGCATCCCGTCTCCACTGTCGGCAACGTTTGGGTCACCGCCCTCCTCGATATTTCCGTTTCCCACCCCAACCATCGCGATCATTAGAAAACAGGAAGCATAGCGTACTGCTTTGTGCGGTAGCCTTGCACCAAAAAATCAACAGCGGGTATTTCTTTCGACGATGCCGATCGACATTTTACTTCAAAGATACAGTAAATTCACTGGACGGCAGGGAGAGGCACAGAATCAAACGGTCACTACCTTAGATATCTTGCTTTGTCTAAAGTCGCACAGAAAAATGCTGGGTTCAGACAACGACAGTCAGTAGCCGAAGCCACATTTAGGGGCATAGTCAGAACATGGACAGAAGCGACAAGAATCCTCACCAGGTTGGCACTGGTAGGGCGTTGCTGATCGTGCCGTCGCAGTTCTCCTCGTGCAGGGTCTGGGCCGGCCTCGCTGAAGTATCTCGCGGCGGTGATGGCGACGAAGGACCGCCTGAGAGCTGAGAGGGCCTTTTCGCCACCGACCTTGGCAGCCTCGCCCACCCGCTTGCCGGTGTTCCGGGCAGTCTCGCCGTCCGGTCGCTGGTTGAGGCGAACCGGAGACAAATAACATCCGAACGGGGGTTACCTTGGCCCACCACCCCTTCCTCTACTCTTCTGCGGGTGCTCGTGATTGTTTGACACGATGATTCGGACACAAACCCGGTGTCAATATCCTTGCACGGTGAGGATTATTGGTACCGCGCTGTACGCGGTGGGAAACACCCGTGACACAGAACTAGAAACGTGAGCTATTGTACAAACGAGTCTCCGCCTGGTATCTCGATGGTGGTTGCGGCGAAGAGAAAAGGCGCTTGCAACTTTCACATAGCCCCACCTCTTTGGTTGTGGTTTGATCTGCTTGGTTGGCAAGCAGGACTACCTGGCCGGAGCCCGCAAATGAGTGAGAGTTTGAATGTGGTTTCTGAACACTCTACAATGGATGGCGAGCTTTTCGTCAAAGAAGAAAGGACTCGGGGGCTCGACGTGCCCCTACTTCGACTCATATTTGCGCTTCGCCTGTCTCGCCTGTCTCGCCGCTTCAGCCAGGGCCCGCATCCGATTGACCGCAACAGCAACGGTAACAGTTGCTTTGAGCCTCCCGAACTTCTCCAAGTCCCTGGCCGCACCCTTGGCTGCTTCGGTCAGCATTTCAGACTCAACTTTGAGCCAGTCCCGCGTGTCCGCCATCTTTCGGGCCGACAGCTCCCGAATAGCGCCTCCGCTTTGGGAGATGTCGCGCGCACTCTCCGCAAGGTGTTTAGTCTCGCGCTTGCTGGCGATTTTCACGGGAGAGGAGAGCTCCGCTGGGCTCATTGATCGTGCCCAGCGAGCCCGGGCGCTTGTAGGACCGTCCTTTAACTGTTGGAGACCGTGAAAAGATAGGCATCGCCATCGAGAGAACGAGGGTCAACAAGCGGTATTGGCGCGGTAACTGAGTTTGAACGGTGCGGTATTATGTACATCGGTGCTGGCAGAGCGCCCGAAAGCGTTCAGAAAACGTTGAGGCCAAGAAATACAACGCAGCGAAACGCAACAGCTGCTACATACGCTGCCAACGGTTGATTGGAATAGCCTTTTACTTGATATGTCGGGCGTAAGGAAATCGTGAGCACCACAGGAAGGTATCCACGATCTGCATACGAACCTTTGCTGATCTCTCAGACTTTCCGATATTTCCCAAATCGGAGTCAGATACGACTCTTCGAAGCGTCGCTCTCGCTTTTTCCACGCGTGTCGTTAAGGGTCGGTCGTTGTCTACGGCACTTGTTGCTGCTGTCCACAACTTCAGTCGCTTCATGATGACGTCTCCAGGTTTAGCAACTGCTGGTCGTTCGTTGCCCTGTGCATTTACGTGCGCAAAAAGTAGCCAACAAGAAATTCCAATGTTGATCTCAGATGAGCAATGGCAGGCAACAGTGACCCGTTCTGATGTGGTGGCGACTGATCTAGCCAGTACGCGAACTCCAGGAGGTTTACACGATCTGCTATTCGAACAGGGGCTAAAAGCACACAATGATGCCGACACCGGCAGTGCGCACTGAGCGGCGCCGACAGACGAACCAGTTCACGCCAACCCAGTTTACTTCTAGAAGTCAATTCTTGTCGAATCAAACACCTCTAACCTGTACGTGCGTCGCACTCCACCTTCTTGTCCAAACCTTGTTGACTCACCCCTGATTTCAGATGACGCCCGATACTAGATTTGGACACGACCCTCTGGTTTTTTTTTTCTGTTGTGTTTCCCATTGAGCTCATGCCGTGCAACATTTGCCTCTTTCTGCTGGCTGCAGCCAAGACCATCGTTTGGAATTGACGCTGCGCGGCTGCAGCAACCCGTCGGTTAACCGCCGTGACCAACCCGCCTGCGCCTGTGTCCCCGCCATCTATGCCTGTCTGATACTCCAGACGAGTGGGCAGCGAATTGACAGATTGATCGGCGGACGACAATGATCGTCTTGTGCCTCATGCAATTTCCTTGCGTATCACATTTGGGCATGTCGGGGCTAGGAATCGCAAGAGGGGGCAACTTATGTCGGACTTGTCTGGCACGCTGGCCCGTTGGACTATCAAGCGGTGCGGTGGAAGGGGGGGCGATGCTATTCGAAGTTCCGCCGATTAAGTGCGCTTGATAGCGGTAGATGCACTATCATGACAGGGAGTTGTGGGAGCAAGTACCGTGGGCCGGGAACAATATATGTTTTTTTTCCGTGCAATGAGAAAGTTGGTTGGAAGCTGCACCACATCGTCCCTAGTTCGCAGCAACGAAGTCACACATATCCAGAAGAGCTTCCGTCACACCTGCGATGAGCAGAATATCTCACGCTGCACTGGTTTGTCGAACGTCCTCGCCGCTTTGGTGAAGTCTTGCCAATAACGTTCGCCGAAAAAAGTATGTCGCATGGACTGAAGTGTCTCCTGCACTGCCGTTAGGAAAACAGGGTTCCTGCAAACAAGGGGGTGTGGAGTGGCACAGACACTCGATCTCTCAGGACACCTAGAATCGCTGTCCAGCCAATCGCACGGCTATCCGTTTCAAGTGCCGTTGCCGAAAAAGCCAACCATCTATTGTAGGTGTGAGTGCGAGGATGTTGACGAGATCGTCTATTAGCGTTCGTCTCCGTTCTTGGCCCGACGAGCTCAAAGCCTTCACGATTGATCGTACTTGCGCCTTCGTTGTAGAGATGGTGAAGTATCCTGCCGGATTGGACGAAAAAGAGACGAGGAATCGCGGATCCCATGTACGGATACCACTCTGGGTGGCAAAGAATGGCAGACTGGGTTCACTTCTCACGTCTTGCAGAAGTGCTCGAATTCGTCGATGCTTACACCACCAGAACAATCATTATCCAGATGCGCTAAGATCTCCAGCGCACGGTGCAGGGTATGCTTTCGATCCAGTGTCGGGTACCTGCAGGATTTCGATTGTTTTGCACAGACAGGTGTCGCACCGGTTATTTGGTAAAGCGAGCTTACCTCACCGGCAATACGGAAGTCGTTGTCAAGCCAAAAATAGGGCCTCACGAGAAAGCAGGCGATTCATGCTAGCTGTTGCATTTTAAACAATAGGAGAGTGTTCTGTGTAATTTGTTTTATTCTCACCGCTCTTCGACGAACAGTCGGATGTCTTTCTCGTCTAAGACCGACTTATCCGGGTCCCAGGTGGATCCTCTGCGGCTGCACATCCGGAATGCCACTTCTACCGCATTGGCACGGTCGAACACCAGAAATCGTGGTAGCGAGCTAAAGAAGGTGAAGAAATCAACACACCCTGAGAAAAAAAAAGTAGAGGCAGAGGCGGAACTTTCGACACTCCGTGGTAGTACGTCTCTCATCTGGTACGATGCCGTGCGGTAGATATATATTCTCAAAAGCCAATAGTCACCCGTGATGTCGTACATCGGGTATTACGCACTCTGCAATTGAGATGAGCGACGCTCGGCCACTAGTCGGAGGAACTCAAAATATGAATTCGGCGGACTACTATTCTTGCATTCATCGCGCGGCTTAAACCCCTTGAGAACTTTCGTTTACGTTAACTAGAACTTACAGTAGCACCACAGCAGTTTTATAAGGTACCAGGTACAGGATACTGAGCCGCTGCCTGCTGTTATCGTCGGGCAACACAATAGAAGACGCACCTACAAAGTTCTTGTCGAGGAGGTTGAACATCCGCCAGCTCCACATGTTATCGCGGAGCTCGCACGCCTGCAGAAACTCGGGGTAGTCTAGAAGGTTGGAGCCATCTTCATCCATGGACTGCCATCGTTGAAGCCAGGACAGACGCATGTCCGGAGATACGTTCATTGTCTTGAAAGTGGCTTCAAGCGATCCTCTTGAGACGTTTCGCACGGTACAGGTAGGTGCGGAGAAGTGCAAAGCGTCAAAGCAGTAACAACACGAATATCGGTCACCAATAGTCGTTTCCGCAGTAGATTGCAGGTAGTTCGATGCAAAGTGATAGCGCTGCAACGCGACGACGCCGTTTTGCACACGGCGGAGCCACCCCCCTACATCACATTGTAGTATGTGAACTCCCTTTCGACATAGCCCGTCGCCGCGGCCTTCCTCTCTCCTCGATAGTCTCCAAGGGGTTGTTCTCTCAACTCCCGTCAGCACATGGATAGATGGAAGAGAGACGAAGGATTTAAGGGTCAACATCGGCAAGTTCATACAGTAGGGGGACCTGTTTAGTGCCGGTTGATTAGTGCCAGGTGCCCGATATAGCGCCGGTAAAATCTCTGGACACAGGCGGTGCTCTCAATAGTGCCAGAGTGCCAGACCGGCACTATTGAGAGCTTGCCCGGTATAGTGCCGGTTCGGCGCCGCTTTCACCCCCAATAGTGCCGGTTACCCCGCGCGCGCGAACACACACACACACACACCAGGCAGAGAAGACAGACTCCACACAGAGAAATAGGGTACACGTGCTGCGTCAGGCAGACATGAGAGAGTTTGTTGCTGCTACGGAGTAAGGGCGGGGGGTACAGCTGTGGTTGTGATGGTTGTTTGATTTGTTGCGGTGCGCTGCCTGTCGTTCTTCTCGTTTTTTTTGCTTTTTTTTGCTTTTTCTTGCAACATCGAAGCGGGTGCGCCAGGCAGACAGGAGATAATTTGTCCCGACGTAGTGAGGGCGGGGGTTACAGCTGTTTTTTTTTTGTTGTCTTGGTGCCCTTTTTTTTTTGGAGTTTCTTCATTTTCATTCTGCAACATCGAAGTAGGCAACGAGCAGTGATATTTTGTACGAGCGAGAGCTTTACAAGCAGTTTGTCCCGTCACAGCTTACTCGAGTACATGACGTGCCTTCTTTCCCCGTCGACTAGTCCTGGTTAGGCTGCAGCCCGAAACTACTGTATCTTATTTTACAACAAAACTCTTGTGGGCTCCACAGGATCGAACCACACGTGTCGCAGGAAAGAAAGTCTGCCCACGCCGACGCTGGAACTGCACTCAACAGGATTGTCGATCCATTTCGTACTATGTTGACCCTGCAAGCGTGGGCGCTACACCATAAAAGTCGAACACAACCTCAATAGTGCCAGACCGGCACTAATGAGGGATACACCGTATAAGTCGAACGCAACCTCATTAGTGCCAGACCGGCAAAAATGAGGGATTGGCCAGCCCTCAATAGTGCCGTTTTAGCACTATTCGCAATAGTGCCGGGTGCCCGGTTTAGTGCCGGTGAAATCTCTGGACACGTACCGGCACAAACAAACAGGTTCCCCTACCGTAGTGTACATATATATATATATATATTTTTCTCTCGTCTTTGGACTCTGTCGTCTGCTCCTCTGGTCCCTATCCTCCACTTCTGCTAGCTAGACGACCCAACCGGGGCCGCAGAGGAGGGGGGGGTTGGACCCCCCTTGCGGTTCCTGCCTAAGATATTTTTATCGCGATAAGGGTTCTTACAGCAATCCGTTCCCTCGCGACTTATGAAGTCGATCTAGTTTACTCACAACGAGCTTTCTTTGCAGCGCGTCGCTTCCAACTTAGACCAGCATTCATTATGTGAGAAAAGGATTCACTTTGCCAGGAATCGAACCCATGACTGGCCCTTAGTAGGCTGCGGGGGTACCCAATAGACCACCCGCGGGTACATGTTGTAGACAATTCCCTACGTAACTCGGCAAACTGCTGTTCACTCACTTTGCGTCTGCATACTGTAGCAAAAGCGCATTTGTCTTTTTCTTGCGCTGCGCCAGATGAACGGCCGTAGAAGCAGCGGACCCCATCTTAGATATACAAGTGCAAGTACTGAAAAACGTTTTGGGCGGTACGAACTTCGACGAGGGCAAGGGTCTTGGCTCGGGAAGGCAGAAGGCAAGCCGCAAGCAGCAAAGAGCGGCGGGTTTACAGCTATACATTTACCCCGCGATCGGGATTGGACGAGATTGCGGGGTCCCACAGTCCCGTGAATAAAAAAACGGCCAGCAGGTCGGCGTGTATGCATAGGTGATGTAGTCTCGCCGCTCTGTTGAGTCTCTCACCTCTCAACTCCCCAACCTCTTGTGTGTCCGTCTAGCCTTGTTAAGTCCAGCTCTGGCCTGCTGGGCTCGTAGAGAGCCTAGCTGGATGAACAGCTGTAGCTTGTGCACATAGCGGTATACGTGAGCTCCGCACAGCAGTGAGCAGGGAATAGTACTGGACGGAACATGTAGGGAGATTTGCTGCTGCCGACACGCGTGACATGGAGCATGAAGCTACCCGATCGGCGCCTGAGCCCTGGGTTCCGTCAACTTTACGATCGATGCCGTCCCTGCCATCAAGAGGAGGGGTGGAGATTCGAACGAAAGCTCGTCATCAGTTCATCAGGAGGTAATGCTGTTGTATAGAGAAGTTTGGTGACGTTTTCTTGTCTTCCCGCTGCTCTGCTGCTGCAGAAGAACCGGAGCTATGCTACATGTTTGTACACTACAAAGGTATATGTAGATATGCTACAGATTACACAACGAACCCATCTCTATCTATAGAAAAGAGTCTAACGTAGGTTAGCAATGAATCCATAGCGTCAGCGAAGACTACCTGTATTTCCACGATTTCCCGAGCGGCACACAACGATATCTCCCAAGTGGGTAACAACGGTCAACAAGACAATTTGGTACATGCTCGTGCTGGGAAGGTGTAGAAGAAAGGTGTTGGGTAGTTGGTTCGTCATGGGTAATCGGTTATAGCAACGCAGAGGGACGAACAATGGTCGGGACATACGGAGCCTAATGCCACGAGAAGAGGGTCCTCCGGCAAGTGCCTCATGCATAGTATCCTGAAGGGTCCTCCTGTACACGCTTTCTGCGCGGTTTCATCGTCCTTCACGTTCTTGTTCTTGTTCGCAAGGTTCCTATACTCTGACTTGCAGCCTTTGACGGAGCTTGGCGTAGCGCCAGACCCTTACCCGGAAGGACCAAGCTCACTCCCGGCTGAGCCTCCTGCTGACATTCGAAAGGAGCTAGCGCATGAACGGCGACGAGAAGGGCTGAGGAAGGCCGCGGTTTCAACGCGCCTTCCACGTTTGACCAAGGTATACGCATGAGATTGCTCAAGTTCTGGCCTGGCGCCAGGTTTGCCTCTAGTTTCAGGAAGTAGTATGTAAGCCTTCCCAAGCAACTGAACCCGCGCGTGTTAGTACCGCTGTCACACACTCCAAGATGTCCTTCGGTCTATGATGCTGATTCACCTGTGTTGCTCGTATTGCCATAGCCAAACACAGTTTACGGAATCTAGAACTATATTTCTTAGCACACAAGGCGTTGGCTGCTGCTTTCGAGAACATATATCTTGTACTGTCGATAATGTTAGAGACTAGAAAAAGGCGTGCCATAACAAACGTTGCACATATTGAGATTATCATGCTCGTGGTTGCGGATCGTGTGCGACCCTCTCTAAAATAATGCCACCCAGGCAGCTGCTTCACGGGACGCGTTCCTCAGGGCAGCTGGACACACTACCCAGGGGTCGCAGTCCCTCCGCATATGCGAGGAAAACGCCTTGGCGAAGTCCTTGCGGGATGGCGAAGTCCTCTCCTCCGTTTTAGAAGAGCAACGGCGAGTTATTATTCTGCACGGTACTTTTACTCGTAGCGCCTACAATCCCTTTTAAACGCACCAACTCAAGACCTTAGAGAGGGGCGAAGCCAGGGGGAGGTAGACGAAGGCAACGCAAGAAAAAGAACCACCGGTTCCTAGTGTGGCAAGTCAACAGCGGTACATGTACTGGCCGCGGCGGGTGTCTAAGCTTGTATCACGACCCCACAACAGCACAGCAAGTATCGCACCAGGACAAGTGAGGACGGAAAAAAGCAGCAGCAGCGCATATAACCAGGAAGCCGTATCGTCACCTCTCAGACTACTGCACAACTTCTGTGTTAGGAAGGCAAAATCGATTGTCGTAACGCGTCGGTTTCTCGCGGTAACATGTGTACCGGAAATCGTGCCTGCGTTTTTTCGATTGGTCTTTTCAGAGAATCGGTTGAGAGCTGTTGGGAAAAAGCGAATGGCAATTCAAGCAAAACCAACACATAATAGCCAGCAAAGAACAATATGTGTTCTAAGTATGGAGTTCAATCGCGGAACCTGGTTTGCATCACCTCACTTGTTCCTGGTGGCATATCATTGTCGTGATGCCTCAGCCGCGATCTAGACTATAGGCACGGGTTGTCTGGCTGCAATAAATGACGAACTGCCGAGACCTAGACAGAACAATATCGAGAAGAAAGGGCGTACCAGGGTAAATACTTGATTGCCCCCACCCCCTGTTGCATGCTGCACATCGTGAACCTTGCTTGTGGGGTTGCGTTGCGTAAAGAAGAATCTCTCCCTGGCTGAAATCTAAACATCATGAACCCTCCGTATGGCAAAACGTTCCCAACCTCACGGTGATAGGCGTGATCTTTGGTTCGACCGTGCGAAGACCGAAAGAGACGACCTCGGGCGAGAAACGAGAATGCTAACCGAGGCGATGCGAATCATTCGAGATCACCCAGACGTCGTGAGCCCGTCGGCCATCCCGAAAGGTCGAGGCCCTAGGCAGGAAGCCAGAGAAGTTTCAGTTTTTGACCATGTCTACTGTTCACCCTGTGCTGTTGTGTGGATGTGGGCTTTCTTTCCTCGGCTTACATATTCCCGTGGGACCCATGGCTGCTCGGCGTTGTGCTCCTCCATCCTAATTTCCGTGTGTCACTGCTGACAAACATAGTGGTCCGACATTGAGCAATCCTAAAGACCCGTGCGCTTTGTTGCACCTGGACGTTGTAATATATCACAGCAATCCGTGGGAACGAACGGACTGTCTCCTCGTCCGTACCGCAGGACGGACGTTGCTACAGGTGTATTGGAAAACAAGTATCCCTGTCTCACAAAGTCGTCCTCTTCGTCTCTTTCGCCCCATCTCTCGCTTTCCTTACTGTGTTTTTCACTACCCCCACAGCAAGCAGCGACAACAGCAACCAGAATCGTGAGTTGAGGCCGCACGAACATGCTCTTTCAGACCAAGCCCCTGAATTCGATAAGCGACCATCGCTGGATGCTGTCCGGGACAATGGAAGCATTCATGAGAGCAGCAGCACCAGCGTCCCCACAGTCCCAAGCGGTGTCTCAAATCACGAAAAAAGCGCTTCTACTGATCCGTCGCAGCCTAGGGCATCGTTGCGGTCAAGGGGTTCCTCGTCCGTCCGCACCACCGAAAGCAAGATAGACGAAATATTTGAGCGTCAGACTCAGGTCCAGCAAGTCGCGGAAGCACAGGTACGTGATATGTGACTTACGAGTAGGCACATGCGCTTTGCTTGAGGCGGAGCCTCCTCGGTGTGTCAACTTGTCCAAAGACAACTAACTGTTCCGGGACCGCTTCTCGTAAAATGTTTTTTCCTGGGCACAAGCAAAGCTACTGCTCAATATGGGCTAGTACATCTAGCACAGAATTGTCTGGAGCAGCTGCACATACACAAACGGGTGGACCACCACCCCTCGAGACCAACGATGATTGTGCCCGCCGGGTACAACGATCCTGCTCATGGAGGGTTCTAAACTGACCCGCCCAAAACAGTGTAACGTCACGTGCCTTGCTCACATTCTCAAAGGGTTAGACTATCCATTCCACCCTCGTGAGGCTTACAGTCGAGGCTACCATTTTTTCCCCGGTACTACCATAGTAGTTCAGCACCAGGTCTGCTTTGTGCACCCGAATAACCCCCCCGACAGGATCGACTGACGCAAGCCAAGAAGACGGCCATGGACCTAATGTTCCTGGCTGACAAAGCGGAACAGGAGGCGAGCAAGGAGTCCAAGAAGCTGCAGGACATGCAGCGGGCGCCTTCTCACTCAGAGGAAGCCAGGTTCGACAGCCGAGTCGGACAGCGTCGGGTGTGGATGACCAAGAACGAGGTGGCTTTGCAGGTATTCGGGTGACGCGTAAAGCATACAAAGCATGGTTGTTCGACGAAAGAGAATTTGCAGGTTAGAAGTCAACAGGGCGTACTTTTCCCCTCTCAGGTACTATCAAACGCCCTCCCAGACCTTCGATAGTGCATGTGTAGAATGCTCAAGTTGAGTAGAGTGAGAGAAGACCTGAGCTCTATTTGATATTCGACCAGTACCTAAAGGGCTACTTTCAATAATTTATAAAGGGAATCACTCCCGTGCTCACTCTCTCATCTATCGTTGTCAGAGAAACACCCGTTTCCGCCCCAACCTTCCCATTCGTTCTCACTATTAATCCAAAGTGGCCGTGTTGATTCCACCCACAATGTTGTTGGCCGCTGTACAGAGCCGACTGAGGTATCAGGAGGCCGTGGAGGCCCTACACCGAGTTCAGGCAGAGTGGGGGCCAGCTCTCGGTCTCGAGGTTTCATCGTCAAAGTCGAGCTGTACATCATCGAGAGAGGGGAGTGTGGGGATGAAGCAAGACGGAGCACTGCCGGAGGATTACGCAACAATTGGTAGCGGGGCTGTGGCAGGGGGGGTGACTGCCGTGCGAGATGAGGTGCGCACCATAGGTATTCTATCATTCCAATGAGGGTTGGTGCAGGAAATGATTGTCATGGACAGGTAGGGTGTCTTCACCCGTACGCTTGGAAATATTTCAATATTTTCCTTTTTCAAATGATGGGGATAGATAGATGCCAGTAGAGCCCACTTCTGTCCTGAAGATACGTCGTGTTTCGTCTCACGTTCGTCCGTCCTACCGTGTCTAGTTCCCATGCTCTACCCAACCACCACAAACCATTTTGACCACCACTCTCTCGCACGCCAACATGACCGATCCCGCGTGCTGTACGGCGTACCCGACATAAAACGAAATGTGAATTGGACACAAGACGGTTTGTCTTTGGGTTATCGGGACGATCACTGTCAACATCACCGGCGAGACCCTCAGCCGCGCGTACTACGGCAGTTTTTCGGAAGCAACCACGGTACCCTCGAGCGCTTGGATGGCCTTTGATGAGGGCTCCGGGGGAATCAGCGTCAGCTGCGTGGTTCCTAAAACAACGGCGAGTTTTAGTTTTAGTCGAGGTTCATCTGTGAGCACGACCGCTACTCAATTGGCACGTCGGTAGCCACATATCAGCCATGTTATGACTTGTTGTGGAGCACTGTTACCATGCAAGACAGTATCTCGCTCAATAACACGCCTTTTGCGAATATCACAATTGTCGATTAAAACCTGCCAAAGGTAAAGAAATCCACAATCCCATACGATCCATCGGCTCAGCCGCGCAACGGATTAGGAAATTGGCTGCCCTCCTGCACAAATCTGTTGAACGGGGGATGATTGTTGCGGTCATCATTGTTCGGCAACTCCCTACTGTCCTTGCGCTATCCATACAAATGAGCAGTCGCGGGTGGTCAAGCAAAAGCGAGTGGACACGTGGGTGGTGGACGGCGCGCCGTTCCCCGAAGTAAATGGACGGTTAGTGCCCAAAGAGTGGAAGAGCAGTCGAAGGGGGGGAAGGGGGGGGAGGATATGCTGCTGTTCCGTTTCTTATCTGCCAAGTTTTAAAGGACGTCTTGGCCGCAGAGATGTGCTACTTCGTCGGTATTCATTTACCACCCCATTCGAGGGGCACATCCTTTACAACACCAATATTCCATTCTTGCAGCCCCCCCTCAACTTCTCAGTTTGTTCAGCCACATTTCGACGTATTTCGTGCGCGTACGGACGATAGTCGCAATGCGCAGCCGCCCTTTCTTGCTGCGCCGCTTGGTTCCTCTCCGCTGAACCTGCACGCTACGCTGTCACAACAAAACAAAAAAGGTACATGGAACGCGGTGTCTATGGCGGCGCCCCACGCTACCGCAACCCGAACAATATCTTCCTATTCCGGCACACGCTGCGCCGCTCGGAGGAGCTGGGGATAACCCGCCAAACATGTCTTCCAGAGAGCGAGCTACTCGGCGAGGAAGTCGAGTCCGCCGCGACGACGGCGGCGCTGTCGCTGGGGCGGGAGGTCTCTGGGAAAATCGGGATGGACTTCTCGCGCCTGGTGAAGACGAGCTTACAGTCCATCAACATTGATCGCCAGGCAAGCGAATGGGGGACAAGGAAATAGATTCAGCCTTTCCATCTCATTCAGTCTCCCTGTTTGTCACCATTTGTCTTTGTCTCGGTTTCTCTATCTCACTTTTTCTTCAACGTTCTCCTTGTCTTCGTACTAAGTTTTGTGTCTCTGTCACCTATTCTGCCCATCGTTTTGTGTTTACGATAAACGCACGCACACGAGCGGGGCGGTGGTGCTGAGTGTAACACTGAGGCGCACACGAAGCGCACGGTACGGGGATAAGACTCTATACATGCCAGCAAGACGTGAGGGTGGGTTTGCATTTCGGGCATTGAATATTTTGTGCGCTACTTTCCGTAATCGGGCTCTCCTTTCGAGTATCGCCGTATCTCACCTCCCTCCTCCCTCCCCTCCTCGCGTGATTCGCGCCCATCGCAGGAAAAAGTAAGGCGAAACCACCAACGCATCGCGCGTGCTGTGGCCAAGGTGGACGCACAGTTCCAGGAACAGATGAGCGTCGCGTCAGCCACGTTGAATGGAGTCGACAGGGCTGAGAAGAGCGGGGGTGACGCGGGCAGTGGTGCTGGCGCTGGGGATAGGGTAACCTCGGCAGTCGGAGGGGGAGCAGAAAAAAGCAGGGACTTGGCGGTCATGGCAGCGTCTGACGGCCCTAAGGTATACCATTGGGTATCGCTGGCATTGTCGTGTCTATGTCGTTCCTCAGAGAATCATCGCCCGGTGTATGTTGTTTCGCCCGCTGTGTACAGTTCGCTCGCAGTTTTCAAAGGGCTTACAACCATCAACCGTTTAGTCCTATCTTGCAAACGTTCTCCTGGTGTTCGTTATTTCGTTCAGCTCACCTTTCAGGACAACACCAGCGATGGAGACCGGGTGATCCCTTGCGAAGAGCACGGGGTCGCTCCGCTGTGCAAGAGATGGGTCGCACGCGCGTGCCCAAAAAGCCAGATACATTGCCGGTGAGCCAAACAGCAATGAAGTTTGAAATTTAGCCGCCATCGCCAAGAGAGAGAGCGTCAGTTTAGTTTAAGCAGCTTCATGCTATCCATACGATTGGGTGACGTAAACAGTACCCTTCTTTCACGGCGTGACCTATTCAACTGCGTTCATACGAGAATGCTGGGGTCATAGAAACCAGTGGAGATGGCACATCGTATCCTATAGTTCAGGAGAGCGGAAATGGCAGTAGAAGAGAAACTTGGATACAAGATCAGACGACCTGGTTGAGTCGCCCGAGGGACTTAAGGTTTTCCACTTCAGGTTTCGACATCTTGCAACCGCCGCCAAGCCACTTGGTTTCAGGGGAGGGGGCAGCAAATTCGATGTACACTTGTCGACGCCCCACACAAACTCCCGACTCAATGTCCCGTACTGCTTTCCTAGAGGGCTTGGTCGAAGATTGATTGTTCCCCATTACGGCGGGAGATCATAACGGGGAGGTTGCTTCAGCTGCAGCGACCAAGCCTTCGCCTTCAGAACCAGATTTCACGCTCCCCTTTTCTCCAACAAAGCAGGTGTCGGCACTATTTCATCAGCATCGCAGAAAAGGATCGAATGGTAGCATGGAGGGAGGGGAACTGCGCCAAGACAGAGCTGGAAGTCCTTGCGTGAGTCGAATATATTACGCTGACTTCTACCCGCGGTGTGCAGAGAGATCGCAAGAAAAATAGAATGCTGTCACCCAACTTATCCTTTTTTTAGTTGTGGTTTTCCCTACGCTACTGTCCCGTGATACTGCTGTGAACATTTCATTTTTAGTTTTGCAGTTTCATGCCACACCTACAGTCTCCGAATTACCGCCACGCGGATCGATCGTGTAGAAAGTAAGAGCTTGCGCTATGAAGACTTGGTATGGCGCTCGACCAAACTCCTCACATTCGTCTAAGAGCACGTAGAAAGTGTCTACTTCAAAACCCACCTCGTAGTCGGAAACGTCTTGGAAACCACAACTTCCCTCCAACATCTCAAACCAACCCTGCTTGTAGGTAGATAGGCCGTCGTGTATTTTGCGCAGCAGGGGTTTCAGTTTTGGTGGTGGGAAAGGGTTGCGCCCGTTTTGCTTTGCTTGTGGTGAACAATGAAATGCGCTGTTTTTCATGACTGCGCCACGAATGTAAAGAACGTGCCTCGAACTTGATCGGAAACCGCAAGGTGTATTGCCAAGAGAGAGGGCCTTCTTTCCACGGCGGAGCGGGAGGGCGTCGCCTGCAGCAGGAATTTCTTGTCGGAATCGAGGACCAATGTGGAAGAATCAGACGTGATCTCTTTGCTGCGCCTATTAGATCAGGTGTGGATGTTATCCTGCCGCCGCTTTCACGCGTGTCTCCTACTCAGCATTTCTCTGCCTACGGCCAAAAGCAGAGAGCGATAGTCTTCGTCCTGAGCGTACTCTTTTAACTAACATCAACATAGAATCGTGTCTCGTGCTCTGTTGGACAACGTGCTCACGAGACTCTTGAATATGAGTCGTATCGGTGCTGTCTGGGCTACGGCAGTAGGTTCTCTATTGAATGTCCCTGGTCTCTCAAGTCTGAGCCCGTTGTTCGTCGGACGTTGCCAATCACTCCTCGCTCACTTCACTCACAGCTCCGTCTCGCATCAGTCAGAGTGGTCGAGGCTGTTTGCCTCTGGCGGGAAGACACGCAGGCGCAAAGGGTGAAGTCGGCGTTGTCTAGCAACGGCAACATCTCCTCGGAACCAAGAACGCAAGATGGGAAAATACCCAAGGTCAACGCAGGGAAAGGGGAACCGTCGGGCGCTTTGGAGGCGGAGGAGCCAACACCGTCCTCGCTTGCGTCTTCCGACCGCCGGCAAGGGGGGGGAAATAACGGGGAATATTCGGGAGTGGAGTCACGTTGTCCCATGGACGACCAATGTGGAGACCTCGACGAAAATAGCAGTGGGAATACAGATCTCCGCATCAAGCCCCCCAAGGCGCCGGTTGCTCTTGGCAGCCATTCCGAACGCGGCGGCGGCGGGGGCGGTCAGTCCGCAAAGGGGAGATGGGTCGCTACGATGATGGTTCCCGGACGCAAGCTGTGGGACTCGTCGCCGGCGATGATGTCCCAGTACAAGCGGTTCCGCAGGAGCAGGCAGGACCCCAAGATCGCCAGAGATCAGGTGCGCGATATTCCCGTTCAACCTTTGGTTTTTGACACGCACCCCTTTCATTTCAGTGCAACTCGGATAAATTCCTGTAGGTTTCTTTTCACAGAGTGTTTACCGTCCTTCATCAGAAGAACAACAGGGGGCACCCGCACATGGCACGTGAATCAAGCTGAATACCACTTGCTGTTACGGACGGCGTATATCCCGAAGGTCCTATTTAGAGTGTTACAGCGAGATGCAAGGGAGAGAGATTAGAGTCGACTTTGTTTCACTCACCGGTCGTGCACGTTTCAGCTGTATCTGGGGGTGTTCGAGACCAAGAACGAAGCCATGGAGGCCTACGATGATGCTCTTTGTCGCGAGGCGGTGAAGCAGAGATCGTCCGTGCTTCGAATGCCCAAGAAACGGTGAGAATACGAGAGAAGGAGACAGAATCAGAAAGAAGAAGGGGATCAAGGTGTGCCGAGAGACGTTAGAATCGCTCCTCTACAGTTATTAAACGGATACGCCCCTCTTTAACCCGATGAAAACACAGCTCCATTTTCATGAAAATACGGTTCCATTTGCACCGGCACGATCACAATCCGTGGAATCCCAATAAGCACGGGAACAACCAACTCGATGCATCAATTGTTTTCGGTGTTCGTCTCCTACGCGGACTTTCGCCAAAAACGAATCAGCATCGTCACCCGTACCTGCGGCAAGCACATGGCGATCCAATCGGACGACACCCCGTCGGGGCGACCATGCGAGCAGTGCGCCGCCGAGGCCCTGAACGGCGGCGTCAAGCACTCGCCGCCGTACATCTGGAACAACTCGAACTACCTCCTCAAGATGACCTGGGACCTGGAATTCTTGGCTAGCGTGGACCCGCTCGTAAGCTGGTTGGGGGCTGGTGGTGGTAAGGCTTTCGACCTCAAGGGCAACCCCTTCCTACTGGCTACTGCTGGACACGACGACGAAGAGGAGATCGTGGAGGTGGGGTGAAACGCTTTGGTAGATCCCCTGAGAATGGATGGGCCTGCTTGGGGTGTGGTTTGGCGTCGGTGTTCGTTCGAGGCAAACCTTTTTACGCAAAGTTGCTTCCATGGAGGAGCACGACGGGGCCGTGATTCGAGAAACCTCGGGGTCGAGGATAGGTGCTGAGAGTCAGTTCTGGCGACTTCGGAGAAAAACTGTTGTGTTGGGTGGTGCGAACATGTGTGAAGTTGCCCCCGCGCGAGCGCTACTGCCAGTCGCGATCCTCACCAAGCGTTAACCCTCGTTGAAGGTGTACCCGGAAAGTGTTGCAAACGCGCCGACGGGCGGCCCTGGAGTGCGATTTCTCGCCATGCACCGAGCTTTCCGATCCCGTTTGCCTCCCTGCCCCGCTGCCTCCTCCAAAACGTTTGCCGATGCACCCTTTCTGTCACAGGGCCTAGGGAGAGCAAGCCTGGCGTCAGGCGAGCCGTCCGCCGGCATTGGTTTGCCTAGAGTGCCTTCAGCACTACCCTTGGCAAACCGCACCGACGTCGTCGTTCACCCGGGCAACTCCCCCCTCCCTAGCACCGCCCCGTCTTCTCTCCCGGCCCCATTTTCGCGGTGCCTAGGAAACAACCAGGCAGAGGAGGATCTCGTTGTCGCCCCACCCCCCCCTCAACAGCAGCAGCATGAGCAGCAGCGCTCATGGACGACCCCTGCGTCGATCTCTCACCACGCGGGTGACGGTGACATCAACGACGACGACAACACAGTCTCGGCGAGGACGTCGTGTGCGATGTCGGCAATTACTACCCCGAGGGCCGCGTGGGCGGATGAGGGACACCCGGATCTGGACGATGTTGCCTTCGGAGGAAGTAGTGGCCTGGACGACAATAGAAGCGTTGCTTCCGGCAGCGCTCCTCGCAGCGACGCGGATGGTAGTTTCCAGGGGGAACGAGAGGATGCGTTGGCGACGGTTCCAGAAGTCAGTGCTGCTCGGCGGCCGAGGCAAGCCGCCTTCGGAAGACCTACAACGAAGGTATGGCATTTCGCCCGAATAGGCGTGGAGCGCCATTAAAAAGGATGGTTCATGCGCGGCTCCAAGTACTGCCTTAACGTTTCCCACCGACCCTACTCCCCCGTTTACCCCTCAACACTCCCCCTACAACCCTCCGACGGAATGATGCCATCAAAGCGAGTTACAACAGTATCTTCCCGTCCTGGACATGGTCGCTACGGTTTCGTCTTTCGCCCTGTAGGAGCATGCGAGAACCGGTGAGTGTCTCTGTTTCCTTCGACGCACACCTCACTCACGCCCATATTAAACCCACAACCACCTCCAGGTGACGAGGTTCTCGAACGGTGTGCAGGAATGGTACGGAGAGATTGCCAAAGAGGGGTGCTTTATTTTCCCTTTCTCCCCCGCGATCAACGACAACAACAACTTATCGCTTAGCCGCCAACAGCGAGTACCAGAGGGGGTAGGACCAGGGTTCCCACCTCGCCAAGAGACAGGGACGTCCGTCGAAGTCTTAGACATGAAAAGGGTTGAGGCCGCCCTGGCGACTCTCCACGAAGAGGAAGACATTGCAGACGCCATGTCCGGGAAGCCTCCTCGAGAGCGACGACGTATACCCCCAGCTACAGCGGCAGCAGCAGCAGAACAAGGCGGTGGCCAGGGGGAGGGCGTAGGACAGAGCAGCACGGCAGCAAGCGGGAAAAGGCCAGAACGCACGGGTAGCGCAAGTGTTGCGGCATCATGTGGTGGTGAAGACGGAGAATCAGCAACTGCAAGCGAGACGCGCGATGCCCAGGCCGTAACGGGAGCAGGGATAGCAGCGGATGAAAGCCACCAAGCCTCGGGAGGTGGTACTGTCGAGGCGACAAGCAGGAAGCGGAGAATGAGGGACGTGTTAGCGGTTTACAGACACAGGGGCGCACAGCTCGTGCTGGAACAGAGCCGAAAGCGGCACCCATTTCGACAGGACGGGGTTTTCTGCCGCCAGGATAGGGGAGAGTGGGCCGGTCAGGTGACATTGGACGTGTTGTTCCCTTGTTTTCTTGGTGGGAACGCCCCGGCCGTACTTTGAGTGACGCAGGCGGGCGTGCATTTAGTTCACAACAAATGTCTCTAGACGAGGCCGCATTTTTCGCCTGATAATTATGAGGTGAATCTTGGATGCGCTCCTGGAAAGAGTGCGTGTGAGGGCCTGCGTGTTCATGTGTTCGTTCATTTTGTTTGTGTGGTTCATCATCACGAGCCATGCTTAGTCGACGAAAGCTATGGCAGGTCGATCATTAATTGCACCTTGTCACCATGCTCGAGAGTTGTCTCCGGCGACTCTGTGTGCAGCGTAGATTGAAAGGTGGCACTCGCTAGAATCCCGATCGATCAGGAAGGCTTCCTTCCAAAGTTACCGGTGTGTACGCTGCCAGTGAGCTCTGTCTCAAAGGATTTCCTCCCGATTCCGACACCGCAGGTGCACATGTCTGTGAACGCTAAGAAATTCGTCGCCAGGAGGTTGTTGGACAAGGTCCTCGAGAGGTATGACTGTTCCGCGAATACATGCCGTGACTCGTAGGAGGTAGCTCTAACTCACGCATGTGAGACAACGTTTCCACGGTCGCATGTGCACACAGGTATAGATTTACCGAATGGCATATGTGACTGTTAGACCGATACAAGTATGTATTTTCGATCCTGGCCAGAAAATAAAAAATCGATGCTATAACCTTTCCCAAGCACGCCCCAGTCGATTCTTCCTCACGCTGTTGCCGCTCTATTATATTCGCTTCCGCGTGTGTTTCTAGGAGGAACGAGCAGCGAGGGCGAGTCGGCAGGATGATGCACAAACTGATTGAACAGGTGAGCATGGGGAAGCATGAGGCTTGGCGAGTGCGGGTGGACGGGGCAACGGTGCTTTTTTCAATAGAGAGCTTCTGTTTTGGTGACGTTGAAAGCAACAAATCGGGCCAGAGAAGAATCACGGTTTCATTCGTCTTCAGATTTAGTTTCGGCGAATATGTCTCTTTTCTCGGGCAACAAAGCGCGCCGTGTCTTCTGAGCTGCACGTCGGATGGGCAGCATCATATCGAATACGTGACGGCTAATGTTTACGAGTCTTGGGTCAAGTTCTTGCGGCCGCGACAAACAAAAAATGAACTAGCTACACTCCATTCCCGCTTCTTCGTGTGTGTGTGGAAATGGCAAACGGCAGGGCCAGCCGATCCATCGCTTAGCGGGCCCTCGCCTTCGCGTACTGCTGGCCAAAGCCCGCGGCCTCGGCGGGGACCGCTTGACGATAGATATCGCGGAAGCCGAGGCGGCTCTTCGACTGTTTGGCCGAGTGGAGAAGAGCGCCACCGTTATTCAGGTTTGCATGTCAGCCTTGCTGTCAGGCTAAATGCGACAGAACAACCCGTCGGATGTCACGGGGACGCCCATGGGTAGTTATGACACTCCGCTCGCTCGTCGTAGTACGTCGTCTTTAGCCTAGCCTTTCGGCCATGTCATTGGTGCTCACCGGCTCAATTTCGATGTACCACCAGATACAGGAACAAACATTCCGTCTGCATTTCGTACATACATGTGCCGAGCGTTTGTTTGCTGACGCGGTTCAAACGCACCGAATAGCGCGGGCAAAGGCGCATGAATGCGTGATCATTTTTTAGGTCAATTGCTCCGCCAAGTGGGTGAAACACCTGACCAACACATGCAAGGGGAGCTCTGGACGAAACATTCCCAAAACCACCCCTTGTGGAAATTTGAAGCCTCTTGGTCGCAGAGAAAGTGGGCTTAAAACGTCTACCACACACCTGCGCGTTCACCCGCTATGTTACGAGGTTGTTTGCATACCTTACCTCTAGTATACGATACACGACAAAACTGTATGTATATCGCAGCCCTGTTTTTCAACCTACAGACAAGGATAGCCCACTACAGATACAGTTGTCTATCTCTGCGATGGATACCTCCACTTTGGTTGTCTGACGAACGCACAATCTCCCCTCTCCCCCCTCAAACACGAAGGCGTTTGTGAGAGGTGTCTTCGGTCGAGAGGCGTCCAAGCGATTCGTAGCCATGAGGAGAAGAGAAGCCAGGCTCAAGAGGATTACAATGACGGCTGCTGGTGTCGTGGCCGAAGAGGCTGTAGGCGAGATGCTTCACAGGTCCTTACGAAGGGCGACACGAATTATCAGGTACACGAAACCCTCCCTCGTAGAGACATGTTCCTCGTCAGGCGATACATCGGGTGCAATATGTAGCTGGGAGTTGGGGTGTTCTATTGAAGGAGCCCAACATGCAGCAAGAGTTTTAGACGAAAAGGACGCAACATCTCTCTTTGTTGCGACCACGCCTGCCTTGTTCAATTTTGTCTTCCTTGACCCGGCGGGGGTCCATATTGCTGCTCTTTCTTGAATGCACCGCTAACCTATCCCTAAGAGCAAACTTTTTCGATCATGACCGACGGTCTGTTTCTTTTCCACCTATCAGGAGACCGGTAACGGCAAGCGTGGGCGTGTTCCAGCAAGGACGTAGGATGATCGTCAGCGCCTGTCCCCTCGAGCAACGGGACATTGCTGGAGGTGCCCCAAAGGCCGCCACAGAATGGCGTCAGTTGTGCAGCGCGTGCCAAGGAAGGTGCGCACGCCACGGCAAGCACCACACTACCCCGCTGACCACGCTAAAAACAAGAAAACGTGTATTGACTGCTGACCCAGCAGATCGGCGTGCCACAGGAACGCACCGCAACAATCTCAACCTCCCAATCCCTGGATAGGTATTCTCGTTTTTGGTTGGCTTGTCGCCACAGTCGAATATCGTCAAGATGAGCGGGTTCAATCACATGAGTATACTCAGCCTTCGCCCCCACCCATTCGTCGATTTCAACAAATCATGTGACTACAGTCGCTCACACATTTTCGTTCGCGACAGGTGTACGAATACAGGCGCCAGACACATGACCAACATAACATACCTTGTACAAGCTACACTCACACGAGCACATATCTAGATGCGTTTCACGCTGATGTGCTGCCGACCCCAACACCTGCAAATCCTCAATCTGCCCCCGAGAATTGCAACGCGGACACGAACAAATTACGAATGTACAGGAGATGCCCACGGTTGGTGTTTGTAATATTCCGAGCAGGTCGGCTCACCGTGTTTGGAGCTGCAAGCGCGACGTCGAGGAGATATTCAGAGGAGTGTGCACCTGTAGAACCGTCAGGCCTCCGGAGTCCGTGAGGCTAACTGCTTACGATCCCATCACCGGCGAACAGGTACACCTCCCTACTGCTGTTGAGGGATACTTTCACAGCCAATGTCAGTCGAAGAACAACCCGCTTCTTCGCCCACGACCCTACAGCCACTACCACATGATCTTCGTGAAAAATGCTCACCAGCGGTTGTTTCGTGCAGAAGTCGCTGCTGTGGCCCCCATTCCTGCCTCGACACCTAATCGACCGTAGAGGGGACGTGTGTCGATGCCGGATGTCAAAAAAGGCAGTGATGGGTGGCGTTGAAAGGAGATATGTCGTAGCCATGAGACCAATCAATTGGGTGCAAGAGCAGCAACCGCTCGAACATCCCATCCGTACCAAGTTGAGGTACGTAAATCACCATGGAGTTGAATTCATTCCCCAGCTCTAGCCCTTCCATAACAAAATGGTACTGAACCAAAAGTCAACAACCAACGTTCACGTTCGTCCGTCAGATGAGACTCTCCCAAGCGAAAGCCCGACCAAATATGCCTCAAATATTCCGTGGGATCATGAACCGACGGAGTTCATCCCCTAATTGTGACCATATGCAAACCTTCGTACGTGGTAGGTGCAAATGACCGTTCCGGGGAAACATCTCACCAAGTATCTCTTGGTGAAGAGGGCATTTGAAGGGGCTGATGAGAGATGCGTAGCACGAAGCGGCAGCAACAACAATGTCGACATCAAGAATGCATCAGAAGCGAAAGGACTTGTGATGGCGGCAGCTAAGCTCTGGCCTCTGCCTTGGGGTACCGTCCTCGGATACGGGAACCCCAGGAGGGAGGTAGGAGGAACGACAAAGCTCTCCCGTTCTCGGTTATTTTGCCTGAAAAAACAAAGTCGACGTCTGTTTTCTTGGGGGCCTTCTGGTGGTACTAAAGGCCGGCACTTCGCTCGCTGCCCGGAACATGTTCGAGTGCATGGTACCATTTAGGATGTTCCTTGGCGTGTCCTAAGTATATTTGGCGATGCCACAATATAACCCAATCGATCAGCACTGTGATCGACATGCGCCCTCCCTGCCCCCTTCTCACCGGTTCACTGCGCCTTACCTTCCTGACTCTTGGGCAGGCCGGTATGGTTGTTCGGTCATTCTGGGAGCCTTGCCACGAGGCCAGGAAGGTGCAACAGAGTGCCGAGAATGCACGCCTTGATCTGCAGCAATTGAGCGAGGCCGCGGTGATAGCGCGACGAGCTGCCACAGAGGTGAGAAACAAAAAATACGGGACACAGGTCCATGGGCAACTAGGTGAGTCGAAAAAGGAGGTGGTTTCCAGGCTAGCAGCAACGATATAAGAGAGAAACGTGATCACAAGCAATGAACATATCCCCAAAACAAGCTACAGCGAGATGCCCAGCCTTCCGTGCCAGCCAACCAAACGCAACCGATCCACCGACACTCTCTCTTTTTTCTTTCTCTCCGTCTCTCTCCCCCTGTGTTGGTGGCTGTCTCTATGCCTATCTCTCTGTCTCGCTCTTCGATATCTATCTTGGTCTGTGGTCACTACTGCCGTAGAATGTTTTCTAGAGTATTCCCCCTCTCCCTTATTCTTGCACCAAAACCCCTTGCCAACCATTGAACCCCACAACGATAGGCTGCTGCCGTGGAAGAGAGTTCCCGAGCCTGGCACGAGATGTGGCAGATGAACGCCGAACACGTGGCCGGCCGGCGACGGGACCTGGTGCTCAAGTTCCTGTCTGAGAGCGAGAAGAGCAGGGAAGCCCTGGCGTTCAGCTGGAGGAGCGTGCAGCAGATGGAGAATAGAGACACGGAAGATTGGACTCAGGTATCGTTTAGTATTCGTTGGTTAAGCCTTTTCGTCACTGAAAAATACTCTTTGGTTGTATCCGGTTGCGAGAGTAAATAAATGACATCTTTCGGGATGGTGCCACAGTTCGGCCTGTTGCAAGTGAAGCGTTACCATTCACCACCTACTGCTGTGTGATTTCAAAGCTGGAGAAACGTGCCGTTCGTACACAAGAAGCGGACACAAGAGAGACACCAACAGTTCTAAACTCAAGCGCACTTCTTGCTGACCTCACTCCTCTGATCGGGATTGTTCTGTAGCGCTGTTGATACAGACAGAGTGCCCTCGGCGTTCGTTCTACAGATCGGTTCACAAGTCCCCCATTATGACGACACCCACCCGTTCCGTTTTTCTGTGCTAAATGGCAGGCGTGGGACCCCTTCGAGAACGGCAACAACTGGAGGCAGCTAATCAAACGGAGGGCGACCGATCGAGCCCTCACTTCATCCCTAAAGGTATGGTACATAGTCTCGCTATCCACGGGGAGCAAGTTGACGTATTAAGGACACAGTCAACGACATCGCCCCTTGCAAAACATATTCCAAATTGTTGCCAATACCGCTCTCTCGATAGGCGTGGCGGGCCCCGTTGCCCGCGAAAGGGGGATGGGGTAGTCCAGCACTTTGATCAGGTAGTCCTCGGGCAGTGTCTTCTTTCGAAAGTTGGTTAACAAGTCTCCTGTTGCCTCTGTAGACTGGTAAATAAGTAAGAGTGACGGAGAACATCACTTGCAAGCAGGCCCGGCTCTTTGCGCGAGATGCCGTGTACCGTGCCCGAGAAGACCGGGCAGCTTCGAAGCACCGGGCTAACGAAGCCAGGGCCAAGGCAGAGAGGGCCGGCAAGGCGTTGGGAGAGGGCACCACACTAGTGGAAAGCTTGGAAAAGAAGGCCAAGGAGGTGGGTTTTCGTCGCATCGGGCTGGGTCGGGTCGCGTACGGATCCTGTATAGGCACGTGAAATCAGTTTTGGCGTGTTTCAGGCAATGTTGCTCAGTATGAAGTTGATCAAGGACGGAAGGGCAAGGCTGATGCATACTGTTCCATTTTGTGGTAGACGTTGGAGAATTCTTCCATTTGTGCCATTGTTTCCTCACTATCCACCCAATGCGTCAAGAATCGGACGAACCCGGGACACAGACGATCTCCGGTCGACACCTGTTGTGCGAAGAACAAGGTACCGGTGATTGCTCCCTAGCAACTAAGTTTGAATTGTTTTTGGTCTTCCGTTTGACGTGACATGGGCTGTGTCAAAAATGAATGCCGGTATTTCAACCATACATCGTTTTTACGGCACAGCACAACGGCTAAGGCACTTTTGTGGTAATCAGGTCGAAAGCCACTCATGGTCGCAGCAGCTCCTTAACCTTTCGGTGTGCATGGGCGGGGTTGGGGCGGATCGATGGTGCGCGCAACCCTTACAATTCGACGAACAGGCGATCGACACAGCTACTAGGGCTCTGAAGCTGCTGACTATCCTCTCGAGGCCAACCGTGAAGGCCGCCGGGCGGCTGCAGAAGCGACTGGTGATCGAAGAAGGGGGACACGACCGCGAGCAGGTGATATACCCGGCAGCAATGCTTTTTGTTTCTCGCAAGGAATCGGGATCTTGTTCCCCGAGACCCCGAATATTCGGCACCACGGACGAAACCGCAAGGTGAAGAAACCGAACACATCTCCAAAGATCTTGTTGGGTGTCCTACTCGGCCTTCTTCGACGTGGGAGCTTACCCCAGCGCAACGTTGTCGAAAGCATTAGGGCACGGGGTAAAGCAGTCTCTCGAGTTAGTCTTGTCCATTGATGGTGAAGGTCTGTCGCTCTCGTGCATCCGCTGCAGTGGCGGTTTTCCATGCGCTTCCCTCGTTTATCTCTCTTCCCTTGCACAGGATGCAGCCACTTGCCGACCGCAAAAATATGATAGTACGTCCTTCCCGGGTGTACCTGTGGAGCCACACCGCTCACATTTGCAGTATATGTAGTTCACGGCACGGCTAGAGACCACGCCGGCCGTTGCTCCCTCATTTTTTCCTCCCCCCCTTGCCTCCCCTGTTCGACCGAAATGATGCCCTACCACCCAAATTGCAGTGGGATGCCCTTTTTCGAGGAGGCATGGTGCTGGAAACGCCGGAGCTGAGTTACGTCAGCGTTATAGAGTCGAAGCGAAAGTTTTGCGTTGCGACGATCAGAAGGGATGCAAGGACAGGGACGGTCAGGGTAACCGCTGCAGGTGAATTCTCCACAAAGCGCCACTGCTGAGTTGGTCATGCTTGTGTGAAGCCGGGGACAGTATCATGGTCATGTGAACGCGGTGGCGCCAGCGTTGTACATGGAGAATTTATTTTCCTGGTCAAGTATGAGCAAAACCGCTACGGTGCTCCAACATACATCTCGTTCATAATTTTCCCACCTCTTGTGCAGCTGCCCGCCGTCGTCTTTGTCAATTCTATCGTTGTTAACACGATCGAAGTGGGTTTGGACCACGATTCTTGACAATGCGCCCGATACACCGAAAACCCTACTGGCATATGCCCCAAACACTAACGAAACACACCCAACCATTCATTTGAACAACCAATCTGTATTCCCTTCACTCTTGCTAACGTTGACACAGTTGTCCACCACTGCCTGCCGCCTGTAGGAGGAGCTGTTGGCCGACCAACACCATCATGATGAGTCTCTCGTTTAAGTCATGTGGATTAAATGGACGTGACTGCACGTCGGTTCTCTGCTGATCGACATAATGAATCACTCATTGCTAGTTTTCGTGTTCGTATTTTCGTCCTTCGCCGTAACCAGGAGATGACAAGGCCGTGGACCTTTTCTCCGTCACCATGAGCGCAGCTGAGGTAAAAGCAGACAGCAGTGCATACAAGTGGCAGGCCTTGTCGATGAGTGCGAGGCGCTTTTCTTCGTAGTACCCCGCCCCGATCCTCTCAAATAGTTTCCCGGACGAGGCGGGGGCGCAGTGCTACGAAGGACGCCGAAACGAACAAATGTAGGGAATGTACTAGATTGTCCGCATATCAGCGGCAAAAAAGAAATCTATTTATCCATGTTTTTCCTCGTCTGTTTTACTCTTCGCGTGGGGTAATATTCTAATGCATTCGTACATTCTCTATTGTTTGCTTTTCCTTTCGGCGGTGGGGCTGGCCTGCGGGCGGGACTCACTTCAGGTGATGTCGGTGGTGTCGGAGAAGGTCGGGGGTCGTCGGGGAAAGGAGCTGGTGGCGCCCATAGTTATGGAGGGCGGCTACGCCGCCATCGGCCGCGTGCAGGAGGCGAGGAGGAAGGAGATCTTGCAGGTACGGTTGGGGTTAGATGGCGAGGGTAAGGAGGCCTCGCAGGGGTGTTGGGGTTAGGTGAAGAAAGCGATGTATATAACGAGTACGGAAGAAGTTGAGAGGTAGGACGCAAGGAGGAACTCGCCCTAGAGGGAGTGGACAACAACTTCGTAATTTAGTTCAATAGTACAGAATACGTAGTGTGAACTACAGTGTTCTTAAAGGCGTCGTCCAGTTCAATTTTCTCATTGCTACATCTAATGACGAGCAGCCCACCGCCAGTACTTAGCCTGGTTAGAGCGATGACAAACCTTGTATTCCCCCCCAGTGTTCACAATTTTTACTTACATCAGCAAAGGCGTGTCGTATCTAGGTTTGGTACAAGTTAGTATTTTGTATACGCTTGGATCACTGGCGATGAGTACACCTCACACGCACAACTTTCCTGCCTCCGTCATACTCACCTGCATCCCGCAGGTGTTCGTAGAGTCTTTAAAGCTGGACATCTACCAACACGAGTTGGCAATCGGAAAGCTCTTCCTGATCCGCCGAAGCGCCGGTGAGGACAACAACAAGGAAGCGACAGGATTGCACGCGTTACTCCACGTCCTTTTCGGACACATTCCGGCCGCGACCTGCGGTGCACGTCAGACTACAACAGCCAAACACAAAAATCGCATCTTACAGTATTTGGCGACACCACAAAGTAAATCGTATTTCGAAAGCAATTCTTGGTTACCTTTCACTGTTTCCTGACTCTGCTTCCATACACTGCACGGCCAAAACAACAGAGCTTAAATCTCGGTTGTTAGAGAGCCTGTGGCACCAAGACGCTGTCATCGGCCGTTCAAGTGGCCGAGGGACGGAGATCTTCCGGCAATTCCGCCGCCTGGGCACGGGCTGGGCAGCAGTGGCGGTGTACGAGACGTGGGGCGACCTCTTCTTCGAGGCGTATGACCCCACCACGACTTCCACCATGACTTTGGAGGTAAATGTCAGCAGCACCCATCTACTGTGCCATCGCAAGAAAAATATCTTCCCCATCGTAGTCGTCCCTGTTGTCGCTTCGTTCTGCTTCCACGTTCGGGGCTTTTGTCAGCGGGTGCTCGACAAGAAAAAAATCTCTCCGTGAAGGACCCACCTAAAAGGGCTGTCGTACGGGTCTCATCACGGAGGGGAATTTTTCCCTTTTGACCACTTTCTGTTGGTTTTCGGTAGAGGTGGTAGGGCTAGCGTTGCTCGTGCTCTTACTTGTAATCGTGGTTGTGGTGACAGTGGCGATGGTGGAGTGTTTGTGGTTGCATTCGTGCACTACAGTGAGTGATAGCCACGTCAAGATGCCAAAACAAACAACGAATAGACCCGAAGTCAAACCCTCGTCGTTTCGCCTTGCTTTCCCTGCTCATCAATTCACCCTTCATCCACCGACCAATACACGTGCTTACCCACCCATCAACCCATCCATTTCATGAGCAGACGAGTGTGCGTGAGGTACTCGGGAGCCTGCTGCCTTCTGACCGAGCGGCGGCGGCGGCCTACTTGCTCGCTGTCAGGACGGGCACGTTCCCTAGGAAGCTCATGCGGCAGGTGCAACAATTTGTGTTTATCGGTGCAGATCAACGTAATAGTGTTGAGCATACATTTCCTGTTGTCTCAGGGGCTCCGTCCTCTGTGACACTCCTCAGGATGTCGGTTGGTTCGGCAGGCTCGCAGACTTTGCGGAGTGCCAGGCGAACAGGACGGAAAACTGCCTGGGACGCAGAAACGTGTCCTCCCCAAAGGCCCTCTGGTACCATTGCCGTAGGCTATGTCGAAGACTCCGCTCCCGCCATACACATCTCCGCCTGTCTCTCTGCCGCGGCCAACCCGCACTAGATCATGGCACCACCAGGCCCCCACTCATCCGCAAGAGTCGATCTGGACATCGCCAATCACAACAAACAGGTCTTGAACCGTCTGGATGTGATCCTTCCGGGTGAGAGTGGCCGCTGGTGGCGGCGTCCCATCGACGGAGAAATGCCGCACCTGGCTCTCATCTCGACCGAAGCTCCACACAGCACCGCTAGCAACGGCAGAAACGCCTGCCAACAGTACCGCGGGCCAGTCTGGACGGAGGAGCGTTTCTCTTCGGGAAAGGCGGTGACGGCAAGAGTGCTCGTGTCCGCGAGGGGGGACTACCTGGTTGAGATGGAAGCAAGAGACGCGAAGAAACAGAAGCGGAGACTGGGGTCGGGGTCGGAGGAGGACACGGGGCGGGCGGCGAAGCATGGGCAAAGCCATGCGCCATCTCGTCCTCCTTCGTGTTTGGCCACAAGCGATAGAGGTGTGCTCCGCTTGGAGGTGAAAGATCAGGAGTTGCGGTCGGTGCTTCGCGCTGTGGACAGGGAGCGGCGGCAGCAACAGCCCGAGGAAGGACCGGAGAGGAAGGACATGGAAAACCTCCTGGCTCCTGATCGTCGGGCAGAGCTTTGTCGGTGAGGGTGAACGGGGCCTAGAAAAGGGAACGCTTTTCAGGGCTGACTGCCGAAAGGATATAAGAGTATGTACCAGGGGTTCTCCAGGAGCGCCAAAGCAATTGTTTATATGAGAGCAGTTTTGAAGTGCGCGGCGTGGTACCGCCGAAAATTGTCTCCTGGCGGCTGCTTTTCCGGGTAGCGAGGTCGTTGGCACTACAAGGTGGGTGTCTCAACAACCACGTGAGCGCTCGATTCATACAGGAGGCCAGCAGCCGGGCGCCTTAACGCCGTCGTCTCGACCGCATGCACCCCACAAGAACACCTCCGTCTGAGAAACGTACCTACTCCCCGTTGAAACTCGAACGTGTTTATTTGTTCGATATTCCTCGATACCCCTTGGGATGCCCCCCTGTGAGGGTGTGATGCCACTGCTTACTAGCTCCCAAACAACGGGGGCCCTTCTTCAAAATCTCAATATTGGTCGTACCAACAAGGACATCAATATTGGTCGTGCCAACAAGGCTTCCACGTTACCATAATCGCACTCAACAGGTATCTACTAGACCATATAGCCCTCGAAGATGTGCGCCCCAGCACGACGGCGCCCGCCAGCAACGACGATACCCCTTCGAAGGGTTTAGAAGTGGTGGCGGCGGGCAATGTTGGGATTGAGGTCGAGCTCCGGGCGGCGTACAAGTCATACAAGGTGTGATAACGTTTCGCCTGTGCAAGACCATGGAATGCAATGGTGTTGTCTATTTTCATGAGGAAAACATCTCTGGTAGGTAGTTGGTAGGGGAACTCTGCAAAACACCAGCGCCCGAACCGTCGACCCTTGCCGTGGCGCTTCCAGACTAACACCGCCGAACGGAGCAGCAGTCTAAAGCGTGTCGAGGGCGACGGTCCTGCAAAAAGTATCCTCCAGTTTGCGATTGGTTTGTGCTGGCTCCTTTTCGAGTGCTCGAGCGTAGGGGGGTGGCTTCTACTGCCGTGTGGAAGGTCATGATACCTCACCTCACAGCTAGTGCCGTGGTGAACTGAAATATATAGGTGCAGGGAGGTAAATGGTTACCTCTTTGTAACCTGAACAGTATCAGAAAGACTCCCGCCATGAATACCTCCCCACGCAACGTACAACCAAATGCCGAACTCGACCCAGGCTTGGGCGGCAGCGATCAACGCTCCGGTGGATCGCGACCCTCTCCGAGGAACACTACAACAGCAGCATTCTCCGGAGCTCTCGCCGTCCGACTTCGTCCTCGTCTTGCGGCCGGACATCGACAGCGATGAACACTTGCTGCCCATCCACGAGAGCCCGTGGACCCCGGACGGAAAAACGTGGTTTCAGGCAAAGGTTAGCTTGCTTCAGGGTGCTCCAGCGGCATCGGCGCCGGTAGCGGCGGTGACCGCCGTCGGGCCTCGTGGGAGTCACACGAACGGTGAGAGAGGCCGCGGCGCCGGCTTGCTGCCCCTAGGAAGAAACCACACTTGCAGCAGCGTTGGGGAGGGCTCAAAGCCATTGAAAAATGAAGAACTCGGAGAAAAAAGTGGGGGGCTGTCGGTTACGCTGAGGCCGGAGGGGGCGGGGCAGAGGAGAGCGCGCCTGGAGAGAGAGGCGATTGCGGCGATGGCCCATGAAGACCAAAGGTCGAGGCTGGTCGGCCGGGGTGTGTCCAGACTGGACAAGGAGGCGGCGGGGAGAGCGGCGGCGGTCGAAGAGGCTCGCCGGTCATCGAGGCTTGCGGCGGCCGTGTTTACCACGAGAGTAAGTGTGATGCGGTACAGGTCGGCGCCAGTTTCACTGCTGAAGAACAATATAGTATTTGTTCAGGTTGAGAAAATGCGCGAGCCCGATTTCGCCGCCTGACTCGGCACGTTCAGCCGACTTTATCTAGCACGAGAGGGGCGTCTGTCGTAGTCCAAACAAACGAGGAAGCGAAGGGCCTTTAGGTACCATAGTTCGGTGTCTTCCGGAGAGGAGCAGCACATTGAAAAACGTGGAACCCAGAATGAAACGCTATCTTCGTGCTCTCCCGCACACGATCAGAGTCTTCCTGCATAGTCGACACACGTGCTGCTACGGACGGGTTCAACACGGCAAGTGCAATTTCCGTTCTAAACACAACATCACTACTAGCTTTCCCCCTTTTGAATCGCTGACCCTCATACCCTACCTTCATGGTCGTCGTTGTGTGCTCGTCCGATCCAATCAAAGACTCGCAACCAAAACCGCGTCGAAGCGCTTCTCCGCCAGGAACAGGCGCAAGCCAAGATTTGGGCAGAACAAGACCTCGTGTCCGCGCGACAAGCCGCCGGGGAAATGCTGCCCCTCCTGCGATTGGAGACCCGCCCCAACGAAGGTGGTGAACAAGGGGCCCTCCCGCTGCTACAAATGATGGACGCTACCACGTCCAACGACGACAACCGAGGTAGAAAAGGCGCTTCCACACTCCGGCGGTTTCACGTTCTGGATGGAGCGGAGGAGCCAACAACAACGGCAACGCCGGTGGCAAAAAGGTCGCTGGCGAAAACCAAGTTGGGCCGGTCGTTTGTGCTGCAGAGGGGACGGGAGGTAGTCGCACCACCGGGGGAAGCCAAGGGCGGCACGGGAACCGCGGTAGGGAGGACGAGAGATGAAGAGGTATTGCCCGCACCTTTGCGGGGTGTTTGTGTTTCTCGCTTGCCGGAAGGGCTAGAGAAGGGGTTGGTGCCGTCAGAGCGTCGGTATCGAGGAGAAGGCTTCCTCGAGCGGCATGGAGCAAGATCTGGATCAGGATCAGGATCAGCATCCTTCGCGTGCTATGCTGGCGTTATGCAACGGCGACCAAACGGCGACAGCCGGCCCACGCCTCTAGTGCAACAAGTGCTGCGACTAGAGCGAGGATGTGGGAGGGTGGATGATAAGAACAGGAATGGCAGCAGTGCGGGTACGACGACGGTGACGACGAGGGCGACTTCGGTTGTAGCCGTAGTGAGAGCGGTCCTCGAACCGGCCGCCGCGAACACGTGCGACTGCGATGGCACCGCCGGGCACGAGCAGGACGATCGTGATGCGGGGCGGTGCGAGGTACGCACCGTTATTCGAGTGGAGGCGTACCTCCCTGACTCTTCGACGACCGTAGCTCTCCACGTCAAGGTTCCCCCATCCCCTTCCACTTCCCCAAAGACTACCGTTGAGGGTGACGGCACACTACCAACAGAAGTCCACAAGAATGAGGGCGGAGAAGACCAGGCAACGTTGCCTCTACGGATAAATGTTGCCACTAGTTCTTGTATCAAGGGTGGTGCACCTGTTGCAGCAGATACGGAATGTAAGGAGCGACGGGAATCGCTCTATGTGGACGCGGAACACAAGCAAGAGTGCCGATTGCGGAAGAAACGACGGCGAGCGTGTCGGGATGCTCGCTACGCGGAAGCGAGGAGGGGGGACGCGGAAATGTTTGCCGTGGTCCAAGAAGCCATCGGCGACGCCTCCAAGCGCACTTCCTCCCACACCAGGTCGCAAAAGGGGGGGATGGACACCTTCGAGGAGACTCCCAATACGAATGAGGGTCTCTATAACCCACCGGACGGGGAGGGACATCAACGACATAAACACAACAATGCATTCAGTATGCTGCTTGTTCGGGCGAACGTGGTCGTGCCGGTGAGGCGCCTCCATCTCGGGTCAGGGTCATGGAGGGAGACGATCGGGAAACTGGTGGGCTGCCCTGCCGGCCAGGAACTGCGTGCGGTAAGTATGACTTGTTGAAGCATCATGGTTCTCATATATACATGTACTGGAATGCGGCAAGTACGTCCTCGAAGAACTACGACGACCATTGGTCAAGGGACGAGTCGCTTACATAGAACTCTATTGATATTTCCTGTGGAAAGATAAACGTTTGAGTGATGCCCGATCGACAATTCCACATGAACTGGTATTTGCCTACAAACTGTGATCATAGCTAGGAAGCAATGTACTTTCCTCGAGTGTTGACTTGAAGCCGAGAAGTACCGCAGGGGGCTACGGCTACAGGATTTGCCTGACTGCATCTTTCTTCCCAAACCCCTCGTGTCTCGTCGTGCCGCCGATCCACCAGCTCAACGTCAACGGTCCTCTAGTCTATGCCCTAGACTCGTCGTGCCCGGCTCCTTTCAACGTTAAGGCTGAAAAGCTTTTCGGCATCAGGTGACGTCCATTTCGAAAGGGCAACTACTGCACATGCACGCTGTTACTTCGTGAGGGTTCTGTCGATCATGAGCTTGTTTCTGTGCGAGGTTTTTCAACAAATGGTATGTAATTGAGACAAACCGTCAACTTCTTCAATCGCCTGCACGCATGTGGGGTTATTCATCTCGGTATATCCCACAATATTCCTAAGGTTCAAGGAAAATGTCGGTCTCATCACCCCGCACTCCGCGCGTATTTGAGCCTGGTTACTTAGACATATTGGTCATGCGTGCACCACAGGGTGCAAGGCGACATTGTGTGGGTGCAGGCTCGTGCGGAAGAGAGAGTCTTGGCTCTGCTTGAGGCGGATGGGCAGCTAATGGGCGAGGAAAGTGAAGCTGTCAACCACCTAGGCTGCGATCAGTAAGTGGTCGCTCGTAATATCGAGGGGCAGCAGCCCTGGAGTTCATGATAAATGGCAAAGGAGATTATGCGAACGCCCACACTCCACTGCGTGGAGGGTGGCGAAGACTCATTCGACTTGCCTGTGCTTGAGCTCGCCAATCAAAAGGTTCTGAGACGCCAGGAATACACATGTGAAGAGAGCGTCAGATATTTTCTTCTGTAGTTATCCAGCCCTGCGCTTGCGATCTAATACATACGTGCCATTGAGTGCCTATGTCATGCCGCGCGTTGGTAGAGTTTGCTGCGGTAACGAATATCATTGATATTTTTTGCTGCCATACGCTGGTTGTTCATTCGATGGAGAATTTTCCAACCCGCACGCTGATTCTTTAAATGACTTGCTACCCATCTACGTCGCCCCGCCACCTGCGCCTGCTTCCCGTCGCCGCGGGGTTCGTAGGGTTGGGGAGGCAAAAAATGTGGAACAACGGCGTCGCCGGTGAGTGAATCCGATGTTTCCTGGGTGTCCAATCACGGACATCAGGACGGAACCCATCGCAGCACAAAAAATGATAAAAGAAAAAGTGGATCATGTTTCTGCACTGCTGTCATAAAATTATGAAATACGAAGCGGATGTTGGGTAGCCTGTAGATAATGTTCCATTGAACATGAATGTACGTACGTGGACAAACTATCGTAGTTCGGGAAGAGTCCGCATATTGCCTATCTTCTTTTAAAACTTACTATCTAACTGCTGTAGGATCACGCAGCTGCATACCGTGATCAAACACGGGTGCCAAGGTCCTCCCTTGCAAGTATGTAGTCACAGTACCTTTCCGATCTCGAGTACCCTCTCCTCATCAGTAGTAGTAATGCCAACAACGATGTTGTTGAGTAACTGGTGGACGTGTGCCACCAAATGCACTCGTGACATCTAGCAATACATACATATTACCGCCGTTTGATGGCTCCATCCCGACGTGGCCCCTAAGAAAACAAGGGACTACGCGGTAACCCCAACTTCCCTTCACCACATCTCTACTATTCATTATGTCGCCCGCTTTTTAAGGTGGCGGGTTCTCCCCACCGTCTGTCCCTCTGACACCACCTATCCGTGAAAAACCGCTTCCTCCACTCAGCATAGGAATTGGTTAAGCCCAACAGCTTCGAAGCAAAGTAGTGTGTGAGCGTCATTCCCACTGTCGCCTTTCCCACCGTCGTCACTCCCACCATCTCAACTACTCCACCCACCCACCCGTCCTCCTCCTCCTCCTCCTCCTCCTCCTCCTCCTCCTCCTCCTCCTCCTCCTCCTCCTCCTCCTCCTCCTCCTCCTCCTCCTCCTCCTCCTCCTCCTCCTCCTCCTCCTCCTCCTCCTCCTCCTCCTCCTCCTCCTTGTCCAGTGGTAACGAGGCAGTGAACAAAGAAGCCCGTCGGCTGCTGCCCGCTCTGTCTCGGTCGTTCTTTTCGGCCTCGTTCAACCCGGACGACGCGGCCGCCGCGGAAGTGCGGGCTCTTTTCGACAAGGCGTGGCTCACTCGCGTCTCCGAGATGTTCGACGACCCCGCCAAGGAACTGGCGATGGAAAGAGATTCAGCGAATCTAGAATTGCTGGGGGCTGCGGACGTTTCGACGGGCTCGCCTGGTGTAGTTGCTCAGGACAGCGGTGCTGCTGCCGATGCTGCTGCTCAAGGAGGAGATAGGGCAGTGGCTGCTGCTGCTGCTGCTGCTGCTGCTGCTGGGAGAACGAAAATCAATCCCTGGCACTTGGCGAACGCCTTGCTCAGGATGCATGTTCTGGGTTGTACGGTGAGAAAAGAGAGGAATTATTTGCAAGATGGAAGAGAAAAGAGGGAATCATGAGAGGGTTGACAAGGGGTGTTTGTGACAGCAGAAAAACTGTATTTGGCATGCAACAGAAGACATATAGATTGAATAGTTGGTTTGGTTCTAGCGCGAGGCACCTGATACTTGATAATGTTGAGGTTTGCCGTACGGAAAACTGGGAAGTGCGGAACTTTGTCGTCAACAACGTCCTCGGGGTTGTTTTGTATGGGGAAATGTTAGACAGCACTTGGAGCGTTCAAACACGATTGGCAACCACTTTATTTGGGGCTCGAATGATGAGCCGAAGCTGCGTGTAGTGAAGCACGGAGAGGCCTCGGTTTGTACGTACGCAAGTACCGCTCTAAGAGTCACAGGTTCTTGGCCTACTCACTTTCGAGAGAAAGTTCCACATACAAGTAGTAAGAAAATACCCCAGATCAGACATTCTCAGACCCTACCCCTCCGATGCAAAACCCTACTGCGGCGGAAATCACTGTATTTTGTGATGCGTCCGGAGCAGATCCCGGGGCCGGCGTGTCCTGTGCCGTGCTGCCACCAGAGTCGGGCAAGAGCCTCTGTTGAGCTCGCGGATCATGACGATAGCGGTGCTGCTGCGTCTCTATCGACGTCGATATCAACTCGGCCCGGTCCTGGTGCTGATTCTGACGCCGTCCTTCTCCGAGAACTAGACCGGTATGAGACAGAGACAGGTCTGGAAATCATGTCGCTTTGTCGACACTCACCGCTCTCGGATCAACCTTGTTTTCTGTGAATGTTTTGCGAGCCATTCCTTTGATATACGTACCAAAAGTGGTGAAACTTTGGTTGGCGCAAACAGTATGAGATATGAACAGGGCATCTGCGCTGGTTGTTTGGACCAGAAACGTATGCCAGATGGCAAAACCTGCACGTATATTTTATCGTTGAGCAAGCTTGTGCAAGTATTGTTTGTTTTAATGCACTCCACCAAGGCCAATCAGGTTGCACTTATCAGTGAGCAGGAGTAGGTAAAGCCGAACATGACTCGGCAACCCAACACCATGGGCTAGTCTACTACTAGGCTTCATCCGAACGGAACTCGTGATAAATGGTTGCATGCGGCCAGTTCATCCCCACGGAACTAGTGATGCATCAGGAGGGGCACCCCTTCCAGAAGAACACTCCACCCTAAAATAACGATGTGGTTCGGAAGTGCTACGGGTTTCTCCTCGAAGTGAAAGTTCTGGGATAAACATTAAACTTCCCAGAGGAGTCACAGCAGCATGCAGAAGGACCGATGGGTGAACCGCATCAGGTCAACCCAGGCGCTTCTAACATGAAGAAATAGAGGTCAACGAGTGGATCGTTTTCACGCAGAAGCAGGAACAACAATGACGCTTGCGTCGTACAACCACACCCAGGTGCATCATGTGGCACTGGGAGTCGAAGGAGCACGAGAGGCGAGAAGCGCGGAACATCGAAGGAAGAGGACGAGAGCACAAAATAGCAGGTGTGTTGGTCGCCTGAGCAACCCCAAGGCACAGGTGTCGGTTCTTTGCGTTAAGTCAACCAAATTTCAAAATATGGTAAGGAGAACATCATGTACACGGATGAAGCGCACTGTCCAATAGGCTTAGATGATCACACACGTTACATTCCTGACGACAATCCCCCCCCAACGTTCTCACCAAACCTTTCCATGCCAGTACTGGTGCCAGTTTCTACCGCCGATGAATTCCAACTCCAGGAAACAGTGACCTAGACCTGCCGAATCCCCGCACGCTTCTTGCTCGCTGCCAGCAGACCAAGCCGGAGAAGTGAAAACGACTGCGGTCGCCTCCGATGGGGATGGCGACGAGGATGACCGCAAGCAGCCGCAAGAGCGGCCTGCCTCTTCATCAGTCGCGACTGCCAGTTCTGTTACGCGAGGAGGAGGCGGGGCCGGAGGCGGAGGCGCAAGTTATCGCAGCAATGAGTCTCGAGTTCATCGACCGCCGCTCTCTCCACCTTCATCTAAACGCCCGTTCGTGCAAGCCCTTGAGACCCTCGAGCGCCTCACCCATGCAGCTGGGAAACCCCACGGCGGCGTTTCTGCTGGACTTGCTTCAGCTTCCTTGCCCTCCTCTTCCTCGTCCTCCCGTGCGTCCACCGCCACTGCGGCCGACATAACCTCGTCGTTAGTTTCTCCTTCACCCTCTTCTCTTGGCTCCACCAGGGAAGAGGGTGCCTCAAGCGGGAAAAGGAAACGAAAACAGGCCCAGGAACGACAGAGCGCAGCAGCTGCAGCAATTGCTCTGAGTGCCAACGATGGTGAGGGAGGCGGGGGGGAGGGCGGGAGGGAAGGAGGGGAGACGTCGTCGCCGTCGTCATTGCCGGGAGGGGCGGCGAAGTGTCGAGTAGGCTTCGGCATGATTCGTTTGCTCACAGGGCCGGAGGGCAACGACGCCGGTGGAAGGCCAGTCGGAGTGAAGCCGGGGGAGGACGTGGAGACTGCCGTGCTTGGCAGTGGCGGGTCAAAGGTGATACTTATTTGTGGATGAAAATGGCATATTTTTTGCTGGGATGTCGTGGCCAGGGTGGCGTTGCTTTCGTTGTGCTTCTCGGTGTATTGAGCAGCAAACCATGTTGTAATCGGTCTGGGTACCATTGGACCTTTACGCATGCACGGCACTTTTCGTCGAACACGACCGGCAACGATGAGAGGGAAACAGGGTTGCCGTTTGAACAATTTCAAGAAACCAAATGTCCTCCAACCAAATGCCCCCCTCTTGATCTTGCGACCGATGTCTCTCTCGTGACCACTAATCTTGCAACCACGCAAACGACAACCCTTCGGAACGAAAGGTGTCACAGTGGGTGATGGGCCGTCTGAAAATAGACACCAGGGGAGGAGAAAGACAAGAAAACGGTCGAGACAACGCCGATGGGAATCAACAGTATCTCTGCCTAGACGAAACGCACGTCTCCGGCGCGGTCTGCATATCAGGAACAAGGTGAAACCAACGGCAACGGACCGCTCTCTGCCGACTCACAACGTGGTGGTCGGGGGGCAAAAGTATGTCATCGCCATGCCATTGACCGTCACGTGTGCTGCGAAATATGGTCCCACCGTTTGTTCACGGGGTTTCTGGTGCTAGCTATGCTGGTTGCGAATACCGTTCTGCCGTTTCGTTCGCATATGGTCGTCTTTCCGATGACATTCTTGTGGTAGCGACAGACGCCAGAACATGTACTCCGTCCATCATCAACCAGCCAGTCATGCACATCACGCAGATTCCTGCTGACCATCGCACTGCTCGATCCGCAAAATTCTGACGTGTGCATCACGCAGATTCCTGCTGACCATCGCACAGCTCGTGAATGGGTCTATTTCCGTGTCGGGTCACGACCCGCTCACGTGCCAGACAGCCGCTCTCACGCTTGACCTGCGCGCGTTGAAGACCCTATGCCTGTCGGAAGGACTGCAGACGGCATCTACAGGAAACCCGATTGGGTCCGTCGTCGCCAAGTGAGCCATCCCAGGACGCCTCTCCGCTTCATTTCTTGATATTTCGGAGATTAGTGGCGAAAGCGTAGAGGCTTAGCAAACGTCTGAATCCAAGCGTGCGACGGCCGTCTTTCGCTGCGCAAAGCAAACTGTAGCCCGCATCGACTAAAACCGGTTTGTTATCTTAGATCTCGATGAAGCACCTGCATGAATGCAATGGTATGCGGTCTTGCATATGTCCATCTCTTGTGTTGTGCCGTACCCTGCATACCATGCTACCCCCGTCTCGGTTTCCACCCTCTGTGCTGTCTAAGCCCTGTTCATGCACGGGTGCTCACGCACCGGGTGCTTGTCTCGAACCGCTCGAGGTCTCCGCTTGTCCGTAGCAGTCTCATGGCTGATACTAGCGTACAGATGTGCATGGTGTCCAAGGCGAGTTAGAGGCCGAAGTATGACAGACGACGACGCTTTGCTGCACCACAGGCGTCAGGTTCCGTTTGGTAATGTAAAGATCTGTGTGCCGTTCTGGAGAGGACTACTGTTGAAGCGGTTGTAACCACCATGACTTCCTCCTCCCACACACACCCAGCCCCTCACCTTCGGACACTTACGTTAAGTATCGAGAAGCACCTTACCCCTGGATATTGTTTACCCTATTCGAAGAGCGCCGGAATGTCCTGAAGAACGGGTAAACAGCTGCTGGAGGCGATGCGCGCGTCCCTACGGGCTGCAAAGAGCGTGCAACCCAATCAGCAGGTTGCTTGACATAATCCCCCGTCCCCCCTTTCCCTTTTTGATGCCACATCACAGGCACCTCATGAGAAACGCGCCTCGTCTCCTCGAGGTCCAGAGTGTAGGCGGCATCGACACCATGGCAGTTGCTGGCCAGAACCAAGGAGACGACGAGTCCATCGCCTCTTCCACATCTTCGGGCATCGCCCTGCCAGACGGTTACAGGCTGGAATCGACCGGAGGCTCGCCACGGCAACAACAAGTGGGCCATACCGACGACAGGAGCAATCGACCTGCCAAAGTCGCCGGGAGAACAAGTAACAGGGCGACCCTGGACCCGAAAACGACTTCGATTGTGACTGCTGGTAGTGAACCCGGGCTTGTGGCTTGCCGGATACGCCGACTGGAGGTGGGCAGGAGGCGGGCGGAGGGGATCAGGAGGGCCGCATCCGTGCGCAAGCTCGCGACGGTCGCGAGGTTGCAGCGGGAGATGCTTCTGACGTGCGACCGTCAAGCCCTCGCCTTGGCGAAATCCTCCTTCGAAGCGCTGTTGCGTTCCTTGTCAGTGCAAGGAGCAAGAACAGCGGCGGGAGACGGGGGATCGACGCAAGAAACGGCGCCCGCGGTGGCCACCTGCCTAGACAAGGACGGGGTTCTCGTGCTTAGAGAGAGGGTGGTGCAAGAGTTGTCTGCGGGCTCAGGTGGTTCCCGGAACCGGAGGGGGAGCGTTCAGGTAGTTGTCGAAGCTGTCCGGAGAGGAAGTGTCCAGCTTCGGAGAGGGAGCGTCCAGATGATGGCCGAGGTCAACAGAAGGGCGTTCAACCGTTCGCCCGTCTCACCGCCCGGTGGTAGTAGAGTCGGCAACGGCACACATGGCACCGCCGCCGACGCGTTCTCTCCCGTTGACGCTGTCGTTGTCGCTGGCGGTGGCGACAGGAAGGGAGAAGACAACCAAGACGAGAGTCTTGCCGCTGCCAAAACCGAGGACCAGAGTGCGATTGCGTCTCCTCCTCTCCGCACTTGCTCCGAAGGTCCATCTATTGATGATGCAGGCATTTTGTCTCCTCCGGGCAGCAACAACGAAGAGGGCGTCGTTCTCGACGAAACTGAACGTGTGTCGAGTAGCGGTGAGGATGGAGGTGCGGGGATTGGCGTCACGGAAGTCCAGCAACTCCCCGAAGAAACACCGCCTCAGCCAGGAACGGCGACCGAGGAGCGGTTATCACCAAAGCGACAAGGATCGGAAAAGACGCCTTCCCCCATGAAACGGGGCGGTGAAGGGGAGAGTGAGGGAAAAACTCGTGCGGTTAAGTTAGAAGAATTGCTCGTGGCTGTAGACGGTTTTTCCAAGAAAGTAGAAGGGGGGGGGGGGGGGGGCATCGGAATGACGGCATACGCGGCGTGGTGGGTGGGCGCGGTGTCGGACGCCGAGTTAGAGCTCAAGAGGAGGTTCTTGGTGCCTTAGCCCTGAGGAAAGGGGAATCGTGGTGGACTGTCGTGAAAAGAATCGCCTGCTGAAACCCTTCGTGCATTGCATGTTGTGATGTTTGCCCGGTGGTGCTGAAGCGCGCGTTCCGAAAGAAGTGCGTTTGGTGGTGACTCGTGTCGTCCTGATACACTATGAAAACAGGAGCCGTTGGCTCGTTCCTTCGTTCCTGCATTGTCATCCTCCCCCGAAAGAAATGGCACAACAACCTCCATGTGATCGTGAGGCTGCTTGCCGATGAAACGTATGCTACGTTGTTTTAGCAACAGCGCGTCGTCTCAGAACATGGCACGACGCAACTTTGCATCGTGGACGTGCATCTTTGTTGAGGATATGGTATCGACACTCTTTTCTGAGCTCGTCAACTTCGATCGCGTCTAAAAATGAACGCAACAACATGCATCATTCTGAAAAAAAATTGCGTCTACTTCATCAGGAGTGCAATGTGAAACATGCGTTCCCCCTTCACCAGCGCTGGCCTGGGATATTCCCAATGTGGCTGACAACACTCCTTCGTTTCTCCAATAAACACACAAAAACTGGGACGGAAAATGATACCGATAGTTCGATCAGCGCCCCGATAGGTTTGCTACACCCGCCACAACAAGGGCAGGGACACACTCATGCTACAAGTGCCACCACAATGTCTTCGACAAACTGCTCGACGTGTAGGTCTGTTCCTATTCCAAGAGAAGCTCAACCGCCACACACACGACTGAAGGAGGAAATGTTTCCATGCCTCTCCCTGCGCTGGCTACCATACCAACCACAACCCGTGGCTCTTGTCGCGAGGTGTCCACAACTCGTCTGTAACTACGATGATCCAAGGAAGAGCGAGCACGGTATGGTATCACGGGAAACATGAGCCGCCATATCTGCACAACGCGAAACACAGCACACCAGTTATTTGGCGTAGGCTACTTGACCACCCTGACGGCGCCAAAACCCGCCTCGAAGAGTCCTCCCAGGGATCGTTAGGACGTGCGAGGGTGCTGTTTGGACAACAAGGGACTGGAACGATGTCGTTAACCTCATGTAAAACCAGTCTAGTGACCCCTTGTGGTACGGAATGCTGGTCGGCCAGATTTTTTCAAACGAAACCGAGTGACTCAAGGGGAGCAGATATTTTCTCTACAGCAACGCTAATGATAACCGCTTGCAACACAACGGTTTCATTAAACCGTAATATCTGTTCGTGTAGTGACAAATTTCGGTTGTAAGCGTTTGCCCCCGAGGTGGTCCTTGGTATTTGTCCGGCTCCAACTGCTACGACGACTCCAGTTGCGAAGCGTCCGCGAGTTCTCTGCACGCATGGGTCAGGTCACAGCAGACATTTGGGCAGACAACATCGATTTTCACAGGGGGGTAATAAAGACAGCACGGAAAAATTGCGGTCAGCAGACAGGTCGGCATGGAGGCAGGTAGTCAGGTGGGTAGGCAGGGAGGAGCGGTACCGTAGGGTTCTACAGATCTCGCTCGGGTTGCACAGTGGACCCGGTGATTCTGAAAACTGCCACGGTGACGAGGCCGCATTGACGCGACAAGGGGCAATCTATTGTACTTCACGGGCAATTTGGAGAAGTATGACACGACCGCAGACTGCCTGACCTTGGTCGCTTCTGAAACGTCGACAGCACGACAACTCCAGCCGCTAGACACGCTCCCCCGACAGCCATGAAGGCGCCTCCGAGGACACCGTTGCCGTTACCAACGGGAGACAGCGTCGTCAAGACGAGACTCTTGGTGCCCCCAAATCCGGCGACATGGAAATCTTTCTCGTCGTCGCGATGCATGCGCACAACAGGAAAGTTGTTCGTCAGAAGGCGTCGGCTAGTTTCTCACGACGTGTATTGCTGGGGCATACTCAATGGGAGAAGGTTTAACTATTGGTTCGAGCAAGATGCTTCGAGTTTTATATGGTTGCTGTTCTGTTTTCGCATATGAATACGATCCTTCGGAGCCATCACAACCGGGGCTACCTCAGTTTTTTCTGCCGTGGAGCTTGCGGTACACACCATGTAACCTAATTCCCCGCCTCTTTTCGAGATCATCTTGCTGTGTACCACGCTGTTTGTACAGGGCAAGGGATTTGTGAAGATGCAACTTCTACGTCTAAGAGAAGTAGTAGATTTGCGTCGTAATGCAAGAGGGCATGAAGCAGTTTCGCGCATGTACATCAACGACTGGTTCAAATCGAAACCAGCAAATACACACACCCATACAATCAAGTTCCACACGAACAAAGAGAAACGAACGAAAACAACGGCGTACCACATCAAGGGCCGCTGCCATGTGTCGGCCAGTCAGCGTCATTTGCGCTAGTGAGAGAGGCACACACGAAAGCACACAGATTCTCACTCGCGGTCACGTTGAACGTGATCTCGGCGGGGGCTACCAAGTCGTGCTCGATTCGACCGTACAGGTTTCGAAACGTCGACAGGGCGGCGGTCCGCATCCACACCACGAAGTGCTCGTCGGTGACACCATCGACGGGGCTTATCACCTGCAAAATTGATGCAAAATTGACGGACCAAACAGAGATGAGGATAGGGGAAAAAGAAGACCGTTGGTTTAAACTAACACGACGAAAGCAAAAGAATCAACGACTGAACAAGGATCGAGGGAAAGAAGGAACGACACGAAGAAACGCAATTATAACACCAACCGATTTCCTGCAACAAACAACGTGTGTTGTGTATTTATGGTATGCTGAACAGGAATGCATAACAATTTCAAGGAAGTAACGACAGATAGTTCGTTACCACTATTTGGCAATAGCAAAGAGCGCGAAGGGAAGGCCTATGATTCTGTCGTGCTAGGTTGATACCCCTCATGAGGGTGCTCACATTCGGGTACGTCTCGTAGAGGTACTGCGTTGACGCCTCATCTGGGTACCAGTATTTGTAGCTTGTGCCTGTTGTTGTTGTTGTTGTTGTTGTTTGCACAATGAGGCGAGGAGAGGGTTGTAGCGGCATCCGGGGCACGGGCGGCGCAGAACACGCGAAAGGGAGGTGTTGCCCGGTGGGCTGTTCACAATGTATTTCGGTGCATAGTACCTCATAGCACAACCAGCAACTTAGAATGGGGTTTCCAATAACGCCGTGGAAGGCCACTATTTACAACAACTAAAAGAGACTCTCCCATGTGACGAGCTCGTCGCGCATCTGTTTGTGGCTGCGGAAGGAAGGCACGACATCTTCGTTCTTGGCTGGGACAGAAACACTGTTCGATCCGCTCGAAACAGCAGCACAGCTGTAAAGCTAGGTCGCTGTATCTACAAGCTGCTACAACAGTCTGCACCTGTGCGGTCTGTGAAGCTACCACAATCACTGTACGCCGCGGACCCTAAGCAGTCCTCGCAGCTTACGCTCGGAGCGCACTCTGCCCTCACGAAGCCGTCGGGCTGCGAGAAGTCCCCATCTCGGTCTGGCAATTACGCAACGAGGTCATGAAACGCGGGGCCAAGAACGAGTTGGCACGTTGGTCTGCAATCAAAGCGTTGTTCTGGCTACTGCCGTGGTAAGGTTACAATCATATACGCATGGTAGCGTTCGTCCGTTCCCTGCATCGACCTGCGGACCAGCTTTCGACACGAAACGAACATCGGTCACCGTTAACATGTTTGCCAAGACATTCGAATGGAGCGTCCCGCAGCCACCAGACCTAGCTAGGATCGAGACAGCACGGTAGTGAGTAGTCCAACGCCTTAGCTACAGAACGGGATACCATATGCCGTGCCGATACAACGCCCCTAATACACGGTGGGGCGTAATCCGCTGCATACCGTGCGCGACGTACGATAACATTCCACCCCTGGGAATACCCATTCTGGTTGATATCTCTACGAGGTGAAGAAACGGTGTCCAGAACGGGGAAGCCCGACAAGCCGAGCCATTACCATCGTACCCAAGTACACGCACCGCTTGCGGCTGCATCTTTGTTCGCTCATTACCTTCAGCCCAATCTCACCCGTGACCCACGATATTCCGCCCTCGTCCATGTACTCGTACGGGGAGAGGGACTCGTACGGCTCCGGCGCGCTATCCACAACAATCACATCGTTGAACATGCTATTCGCCACCAAACCACACGGGTTCAAATCGAGGGTGTCGATGCTCTCTAGGGGGCTGCAGATGCCGGCTCCAGGAACCTTTCGGCGCCACGCGTTTGTATGCCAAAGGGAACACGTACGACGGAAGGACGGGGCGGGGGGCGTGTGCGGTGTAGCTCATACCGTGCCGTCGGGTAAGTCAGAATATTATCCGGTGCTGGTCGAGCCGCTGTTGTATGGCATGTCGAAAATGGAGCGATGCTGCACCTTCCATCGCCTTTGTTGCCAACGGTGATACGCCGTATCAGGCGTGTGAATTGCCTCGGCCTTTGTTTTCGAATGCATGATTGCCTTGAAACGAAGAGAAAGAGTGAAAAACAAAAGGGACCTCAGCAGACAATACTCGAACTCTCTCAGCAGACGCATGGCTGGAGGAACCTAAGGTCGAGGCAGCGTTTTTCTGTTGCCGACGGCAGCACACTTCATTCTCGCAACATTTAACGAAGGAGACGCCCTCAAGAAGACTGGGCACGGCACCGCATCAACGGAGAAACATCGAGCGTTTGGCTTGTACTTGTTTTGTGTCCGTAAGATATTTCCTCAGCTCGTCGATTGCGTTGGTTATCGAAACACGATGTCGTGGTCGTGACTTCCTCCGGTGGACGTGTATGTACAGGGATACCCCGCTTTGTGTATATATGTCATCAGCATGTTTCCAAAGTCGACCTCATCTGTTTTACGGCTACTCGCGTTCTAACCATAGAGGTAGCCCATCGTGGAACACAAGCGGCGGCGCGGTACGCTAAAGCACACGATTTGCCGATACAAGTGACAAGCGTTGATCGGACTCAACCTGCATCGCCGAAAGAAATTCACCATGTGATTCAACCCCAGCACAACGCAGCCCGCAACGAACAGTCCTAATCAACAAGCTTGCTCACCCCTCCCTTGAGCTGATCGAAGCTCCGCGACTTGACGTAGCTCCGGTGGTTTTGGTAAAACTTCCGGAGCTCAAAATAGACATAGATGGGACCCTTCATATCTTTGTCGATGCTGAATTTCACCTGGCACTAGAATCGCACGCGACCGAGAGAACGATCAAGAGAAACAACCGCGCCCACAACCGCAAACGTCAGTGTCCGACATCCACACGACGACTCTACAAAACAAGGCACCGTTATGCAGGGAAGATCAATGGGTATTGCGGGTCTATGTACATAGCGCACGGAAATAATGTGTCAGTTGTTTTTATCCAAGCGTGGCCTACGATCTAACCTGCAGCTACGAAATAACAGGGTTTGACTGAAGTGGAATGGGTACAACGAAGACGATTCGCACGATATGGTTAGACACTACCTAATGTAGTTCCCCCCCAAAAAACAACTTCATAGAGAAATACTTCGAAGTATATCTTGTGAATGACAGGTTCCACGAAGGTCACTCCATTGAGGCCGTAAAAACCTTCAGCAAGGATGGATTTGTGGCACGTAGGCGGGACGGGGGTGACGTGGACGACAGGTGTAGAGGATGACGTAAAGCAAGAAACGATCTGGCGGAATATCTTGTGAATCGTTGGACAGCATGAAATTCCGCCCTAGATTCGACTCTTCCGAGGCCGCCTGCTGAAGCCAGGAACAACAAGTCTTCCTACTTCCCGTTCCTGTTTCTTCGGTGTCATTCTCTCTCTCTCTTCTGAGACGTCCTCCTTGCTAAACCTCACGAAACAACAGTGCCTGCCTCCGTCAGTGGGTGAATACCACCGCCACCTGGGTCTCTCCCTAACAAGGGTAGTCTGTGTCCTCGATTTTGATGCGTGCTGTGCACTCTATTGGTCTAGACAGTATGTTTCTGCCGTAGCGCTTATATGTCAAACAGTTGTGTACGGTAGCCTGTGGTATCTAGACCACACCACTTACACTGCATCAGACTACATACGTCGTAATCGTAGAGTTGGTAAGTATTGGGGAGTTGTCGCCACCAAGCCACAACAAAAACAAGAATGAGACGATTGATTTGCTTTTTCACACGGATAGCGGAGAGATCGAACGGGGTCGCGTCATTCCTGATGCCTCGCTCCGGTACGCCCACCTACGGCGTGAAAATAACTATTGTAAGTGCGCGAAACGCACGCGAAGCCCATGAACCATACGGCCACCGTACATATATTGAGCGTCGCACTGATCGGAGAAATGTCGGGGTGCTTACAGAAGAAAGATGTATCAGTTGCATGCCCGCTACAGAGAATCGGAGAGGTGGCACGGACCGGAGCGTTGACACAGGAGGCGTAACAAAATTCAAGAACGAGGAGTTCAAACAACGATCGCACGCTGGTGCCAACCATCTGCTGCTGTAAGTTGTGCTACCTACCTCTTTCCCTTCGTTCGCCTCGGATATCGAGCAGTCGTCGACGGTCGTGCCCGAGCCCTCGTACTGCTGGGTCAGCTCCACGACGTCGGCATACTTGAGCTTGAGCCAGGTTCCGAGCGGTACGAAGAGCACGCCGACCGTCATAAACAAGCCTACCACCCACGCCGGCGTGACGACCGGCTGTACGGCCGCCATTCGCTGCTGCCTGAACGCCGTGTCTGGTGATGCAGTATAATAGTACCAAGTATGCGGCAGTCGCAGCAGAGTAGCAGCCGCGTTAGCCTAAATATACAGGAGCACCTAGTCCACGCACAGGATCCCTGCGTAGACAAGATATGCAGCAAGTCGTTGCAGGTCTTTGACATGTATCAACTTGAGACCCTCTCCCCGGAGCTCTCCCCAAACCGCGGAATCGCCGAGAAATGCAGCCCATCAACACCCTCCTCTCAAAATCTACAGGACGGTATGTACATGCACAGCCTGAGACTTTACGAACCCAAACCCTACCCTGCGCAGTACAAGAATAATGCAGCTAGAGACACACAAGCAACGCTGCTGTAAGCACTGCATTCAACCAATAGGTGGTAGTCTAGAGGATCGTGGGGCCTTCAGTAGTAACCCGATCGCACGACGCCGACATTGAAAACCATGGATTTCACGAGAGAACCAACGGTTCCCCGTGGAACTCTACAGGCGTTTCGAACGAGCAACTTTCTTACCGATCGGATCGTCCTTAAGAGCACCATTGTTCTCATCGTTCCCTTCCATCGGTCGCGCGGCACCTTCTGCTATGTAGTGTCAAAGACACAGGAAGACATACAAGCACGGGGACCTAGCAGTGCGAGGCAACGAAACGCGGCGTTAGTACAGACTCCCCGAAACGGCACATGATACCGCTTGTATTTTCGTTTATTGGCTCTTTACAGGGCTTCTATGCCAATTTTCTTTGTCTAAAATAGCGCGTGCCCAGCGTGCCCTAGCGTGCACCCCCACGGCTGACCTCCAAAAAGGAGGTAAACCACGCGGTGTGATGAAGTTCTGCGACACCCTTGAACAGCAGCGGAAGCTGAGCCCCGTTGAATGGAGTGCATCCTTCTTGAACTACAAATTGCTCAAGGTTCGTGGTCGTTGTGAAAGATTTTATTATTCCTGTTCTCTACTGTAGCGGCCAGCTGCCAGCTACCCTTTTACCTACTACTGAGAGGTGTGTGAGCGCGCTGCAGCCTCAACATCCTGCAGCTGGTAACTGATGCTTCACAGCGTTCACTGGGGTTCCAGAGAGTATTGCTTTGGAGCTATCTCTCACATTACCGTGCGGCAGCTCTTGTTTGTAGGTTGACAACGACTGTGAAGACTGCACTGCTGTACCATCCCACTGCAGCTGTCGATTGTAGACCACGCAGTAGTAGGCGCTGGCTAACCAATGCGCATACCACACCTGCTGTGAAACCCGCTTCGTGCGACCACCTCAAAGGAAAGGGGTTAATCCCTTCGACCACTCAATACGCCCTAACCAATCTAACAAATTGTGAACGAAGCGTACTTTGTACATATATCGCCGCCCGATACAGTACTAAGATCAACAGATGGCCCTGTCTCTTGTGAGCCTTCTGTTTGTACCCATAGCTGCTTCTGTGTTTTGCTCGAATTTATCGCCATTTTGTCCTGGACTCTTGTCGATGGAGAGACGGGTTTGTTTCTGTTAGAAACTTGTGAAGGGGGGAGTTCAATGGAAACGGGAAAAAGTGTCAACGTCACCTGACACCGGACCAAGGATCCTCGAAAACGAGAACACCTGCTGCCTGTTGCGATCGATGTTTGCTAAAATAACGTCCCCGACTCTTGTATTATTGTAGAAGTACCTCCAAAGACGCCGACGTGGACTTTGACGCCCACGTGTATGCACCGAGAGGTAGAAGAAAGCTCGACTCTGCTCGGTCGAAGGCGAAAATGCCGACAGAGAAAGAAGGCCTCTAGAATACGTACCGCAACGTGTCCCTCCCCCGTGTGTCCTTCATCATTTCATCGCCTTCAGTCGATTCCTGGAAAACTTCGTTCAACCTTTGACGTTTGTTTTTTCTACAGTTTTGTGTGGGTCCGGAAAGTGTCCACGGCCCTGCCTGTCGTATAGGGTATTCTTCGGAGTACACTCGAAAGAAAGCCTGTCCATCCGAGGCAATCTTTGCAGGCAAGCTTCGAGAGCATGCGTCGAAGAAGTCCTTCGTGTCCCTGCAGCCGCACCTCGTTGAACTTTTGGTGGCAACGTGCGGGCGGAGCGACAGTGCCCGAAACAAATACGAAGAAGGCACAGCAGTAGTAACCGTTCGTTGGAACACTGCTTGTGCTCCTTTTAGCATGTATCTTTTGGTATCGTATCAACAGGTAACCGAGATAATTCGAGGAAAATCTCCGGTGTATCGTTTGCCAGCTACATGTAGCAACGCTTTTGAGATCAACAACTTGTTTGAGGTGCGTTCTAGAGTACACACTTGTCTTACGAGTCTACGCACGTGCGCTGAGTCGTACTCCTTCTTGTCGAACGTTTATCTTTCACAAGTTTTACGTAGTCCGTCTGCCTTTGGTGGCATTATAATCCGCACCTCCTGGTCCGATTTTCAATGCTTGTTACTCCGCAGAGAACATAGTGACGGGTGCCGAAAATGTCGGCTTTAGAACTGCCGCGTCGAGATCTTTCCGTCATCTATTATTTGTTTAATTTGGCTCCCTCTCAGTGTTGTGGTATTAGTCTTGCATGTGTGATGTCGGGTATGTGTAAAAACGTTCACACCGTTCGCAGAGTTTCCGAGCGTGCAAAAACAAGGAGAGAAACTACAGCAGTACCTCGAGCCAAGCGAGTCTGACCGAAAAATCGTGACGCTCGCCCTGCCTTTGGTGTTGCCGGTGCCGCTTGTTTTAACTCGCACACATACAGAAAAAGATCAAGATGATGGCCAACACCCAGCCTGAAGGTCACGACACGCCATCAGCCACGACGCCCGAAGCTTTGGCCAGGTGTGGACCGTCTACTGACTCTCTCTAGCTCTGGACCCGCGTGTCCCAGGTTTCTTTGCGTGCTTAGAAAGCAAGAGAGTAGGTCGCCGCTTTGTCACGCGTGGCGCGAGCCTGTTGTTGGTGTAGGCTGTCCGGTCCCCTTGTTTCTTGTTCCTGGCGTATTATTTTGATTCGCTCGAGGCTAGCACCGGCTGTGGTGCTCTGGCGGTGGTGGGACGGCGGCGGGAGGAGGGATCGTCCACAGGGAGACCGTTCGCATGTCTGGTTTCGACCCCTAGGTGGGGTGCCTCTTGCAACGAAGACGCTGGAGATTGTGGGCACCACATCAGACGTGGAGAACAGGGGGGGAGGGGACGTGCTCATGCTTTTGCATGCGCTGGCTGTCAGACCATTGACGAACGTGTCCTCGAGAGGGCCAACGCGTCCTGGAGAGGGGGGACCATTTTTCTTTCCCCCAGGACGAGAGGGCGGTGGCGGGGGGGGGGGGGTGTACTCATAGTCGTGCATGCCGTAGTCGTTAGACCATTGACCTCGCATCCCTACAAAGCCGGGACGGATCACGCCGGCTTCTCACTGGAGCAGGCTCTCACATCACCAAGCGCGAAGCGCCGTGAGGTATTCGGCGAGTCACATGGATGCGCTGCATCCTGCTAAGGGTGTTCGGCGTCTTGTGCTTACTTCCTTTTGCATGCGGAGGACAGCTGCGAATGACTTTATTTATTTTCAGGGCCGAGGGGGGGGGCTGGTACTTTTGGGCCTCGAAAGGAAACAGGCCGTCAGATGACAGCCAGACCTCGAGAGTGGGGCGACCCTCTCCCACGGCACGATTTGTAACGTCGCGCACGATACGTGCGTAGATCTCCGTAGATCTCCGCAACACCTGAAGGTACACACGTATTCACAAGAGGCACCGGAGGAATCTTCTTTCGAGCGGTACGGTACACGGGTTTACAAAAGATGCGGTCGCCGGCGTGTGCTGATCAGCCAGCGGGGGAGTAGGGAGCAGGAGAAGACTGGCAAAGGGGTTGTGGTTGAGGGAAGCGGAGGAGGAAGTCCTTTAAGCTACCGTGCGTCATTCGTCTCGGTGGCCGTGAAAAAACGCCCTTGCACATCGCCGTGTGCATACATAGTTAATGCCACAAGCAAAGTGTACCAGTAGCTGCAGCTCTCCTCTTCTGCGTGAACCACATCGACAATAGGTTGGTTCACCAACAACAAATCAGAGAACCAGAAACAAATCGCACCATCTGTTCGGAATGCCTTGTGGGGCCTATATATATATATGCCAAGATTGAGACATGTTTCTTCATCACTTGTTGTTCTGCTTGGCGGTCGAACCGCATCGAACCGAACCGAAAAAAAAAAACAGTTCACAGCAAGAAGTCGAGTTCTTCCGCATGATGGACCACGAGATACGGAGAGGCGCGCAATTTCTGGCGCTCTCGGAGGGCCAGTATGTCATCAAGACCAGGATTGTCCTTGACGGCTACCAGTCGACGCAGCACCTCCTGCAGAGCCCGAGGCTGGGCCTGGAAGGCATGATCTCCGACGAGACGGCGACGGAGATGTGGATCCGCCTCATGGACGCCTGCACCAGCGTGAGTCACGTCGGCGTTACATTTTTTTTGTCGATGTGAATGTTTCTCCGGATGATGTTAACAAGTAGAAAAAACGGGTTCGTGGCTCCCTCTCAACTTCCCGCGGAAACAAAATAATTTCTCTTCGTCCTGGTTGCTACGATAGCTGGTTTCCGTGGTGTGGCAGGCTTTTCCGATGCGGGTTATATGACACCCCGTCCCCCCCGCCCCTCACTTGTGCCGACCGACCTGCCCTCCCTCGGCGGTAAAGGTCGTTCACGTACTGTAACCTTTGGCATCTCTACTATGTTTGTAGTCACACACGCAATCCCCATCGTTTCCGTTGCTTGTTTGTTGCCTTTGAGCAGCAATTCTTAGGGCCTCTTGCTCGCTCACGTTGTTCACGTATGTATATGCAAACCTACCGGCCTGTTAGGTTTACCGGGAGCTGCTCCTGCTCAACCACTGGGTGATCGTGAGCTACTGCGGGTTTAGCAAGATTCTCAAGAAGCACGACCGCTGGACCCACTTCAACACCAAGGAAAAGGTATCTATTTTTTATTTTTTGTTGTATGCATAGCACAAAGATTGGGGGTGTTTTCTTGTTGCCTTTAACATTTTTTTTGTACGGTGGAGTGGTGTCCACCGTGTCCAGCGTGCACAGAGAGACAAGCCGCGCTCCTCTGCGCCAACGGAAGCGCAACAGGGCCACTCACTGTTGCTTTTCGGCTCGGTCGCACTGTTTGCCGGTGCTACATCGCTGGGATGCGGGCTCGCATATGCGGTAGGGTGAGTCGGGGCGCCATCGAAGAGCAAACGAAACGGCGGACGAGACCTCGGGGTTATTGTAGCTCGATCGAGCGATCAGGATCCCGTGCTCCTCGTCGTGGTCGTTGTTGACGCTCGCTGCCTTGTTGCGATTCCGAAACCAACATCCACCTTTCACGCCACCGCGTCCGTCTCATTTGTGGGAAAAGGCGGTTGCTTGGCATCGCAAGTGTGTGATGTGGGGATTGGGAGGGAAAGAAGAGATCGCGTTGCTAGGTATCACACGTGTTTGATGTGGTGGGTTGCGGAGGGCAGAAAGGGATGGTCAACACTTCGTTTGGTTGTTTTCAACAGACTTCTTTGGGTCCAGGGATACTCTGTTGTCTGTCTTTCTGGTACGACAGGCAGGCGTGCCACGCCCCAATGCTGGGCAGGCTACGGTGTGTTGATGATATCCCCCTGCCTAGCGCGCGTTCTATCTCTACTATCGCACCTAGACAACGGCGGAACTCTTGCTCTCGACGGCAACTCGGCTAATGCACTCCCTCCCCTCCTCGTCGTCCCTGCCCCCAACGATACTTGTAGTACATGCGGCTTGTGGTGGCAAAGCAGCACTTCACCAGCTACCCCAAGCTGCACGCGATGCTGCGCGACATGGAGGCGCTGTACACTCATATTTCTAACGTGAGAGACGAGCGGAAGGACCAACACCATGTTGTTGTTGTTTTTTTTACCCCTCCGCTCTCGCTAGGCACACGCCTGCGATGCTGATCATATTGGTCTGGTTTCATTCATACGTTGTTCTTGCTGTCGCTGCCGTTGTTACTGTCTTCGTCGTTGTTACCGTCGACGTCATCGCTGTTTGATTTTATTTCTTCGGTTAAAGCAACCGGAAGGATAACAGCAACGTTCATCGTTCTAACGATCGTCATCTATCTTTTGTTGTTGTTGTTGTTGTTGTTGTTGTTGTTGTTGTTTTCAGCGGCTCCCGGAGTGCGCCGAGCGGGCCGAAGCCGAGGCGAGGATGAATGCGATCAAGCAAGTGGTAGCCCTCGCGGCGGCGGAGTTTTCCCCCCACGCGGAGGAACTCACGCGCTGCATTCAAGGTTAGATGCCCTCCTACGCCACTTACATATTGTGGACCGTTGTTCCCGTTGTGGTGATGTGACTTCTCCTCCGCGTGTGGGAATGATTGTGAACGAGGAGGCTTTTTTTGTCGGGCACGGCCGTAGCGGAAGCGGGGAGCGAACAGGGGCAATATTCCGCGAGTGTTTGTTTTTTAGGTTTGGGACGTTGTTTCCGTCCCTGCACGATAATTTGGCCATTATTTGTGTTTCGCCTCTCCTCGCCATCCTTCAGGGTGGGTCCCTGAGTGTCAGCCGTTGGACACACAACTCAAGTTGTTGCAATGGATGGGAAAGTAGCAAAAGAACGATGTTATTGCAGAGAGGGCGTAGATGGACCGTCAAGTCGGTCACTCACGCCGTCTTTTTTCCCTTTTTTGTTTTTTGGGTCCCAAGCCTGCGGAAGGTCTGCGGGACATGTCGATGTCTGTAGCGCGATTGTATACCTCGATTGCACCAATTCTAACGTCACCCTTGGGTGAAGACATTCGATGTATGTAACATCGCATGCAGACATTTGACGGGCACGACGTCCCCGTCAAACTCTGCTTTTGTGTGGTACGATTTTTCGCCCGAACCGATGACGGCAAGAAAACACCACGCCACCACCATCCATCAAGGCGAGAGTTACTCCGCCTCTCCTCATCGTTTTCCTCCGCAGCCTAGCCACGAATCCACACGTTTTTGCAACCCGTTCTCACGAACCGATCGCCCGCCAACCCTTCTTAACCCCTACGCCGGCGTCGACGACCACACAACACACAACAACAGAGGACCACGACCGCCGCGATAGTTCAGCGCGGAGCGAGACCGACAACGAGTCCCTCCCCGCCGCCGCCGCCGCCGCCGCGGCCCAAGAACCGCGGGAGGCCTCCCCCTCCCTCCCGCTCCCCCGACAAGGGCCAGACCACCACGACAACAAGGGCAGCGCGTTTGCGAGAGGCGAGAAAGATCTTAGAGCCGGGCCCGGTCTCCTTCCCGGCCCTTACTCACCCGGCGGCGGCGGCGGCGGAGGCGGCGGCGGCGGCGGCGATGCCAGCAACGAGGGGGGGCCTTTCGGCCAAGCGGCGGTTCAGCAGTCGAGGGCAGCGGTGGCAGCAGCAGAACGCTCTGCCGCCCGGAACAACGGAGGCGGTAGCGCGGCGGAGGCGTCGCCGTCGCCACCACCGGCCGCCGGCAAGCGGCGGAGGGTGCTATCGATCGAGGAGGAAAACCGCGCCGAGATCGGGCGGCATCAGGCGGGAGCCTTCCTGCTGGCTGCTGCAGCGGCCACCACCACTGCGGCCATCGACCCCCCTGCTGGCGTCGCTGCTGCTGACGGCACGTGGCTTTCACACATTCACAGCAACAGCAGCCGCGGTGGAAGCAGCAGCAGTGCAGGATTTTTCGGCGGCGAGGGGGTCAGCAGCAGCTCCCGGAAGATGGTCATCACAACCACTATCAGCAGCAGAAGCGGCAGCCGCGGCGGTGGCGGAGGAGTTCCTTTGGCGCGAAGCAATGGCGACGCGTCGTCGGCGATCAAGGTTGCCGCCGGGGTGGCGGCGGCGGCGAGGGGCGGCATGAAGGTCGGGGTGACGGCAAGGTTGCGGAGCCCGTGGCGGCCCGGCGCGGGAGAAGGCCCGTTACTGGCTGTTGTAGGAGGGAAAGGACAAGGAGCAGGAGGAAGGGGAGGAGGAGGAGGAAGCCCGCTACTGCCTGGAGAGGGAAAGGGACAAGAGAAAGGAGGAGGGGGAGGAGGCCCTGCTCCTGCAGCCGCTGATGTGGCAGCGGGCCATCAGAACCCCGGTACGGGTCCGGCAGCGGAGACGTCACCTAGTGCGGTGCACCCGTCGTTCTGAAGGGCTGTATACTGCTGTACTGCTGTAGCAACTAGGGGGGAGTTGAGTTCCCGTTGCTACTTCGTTTTGGAAGCAGCATGCACATCACCTTGCTAAGACCAATGTACGACGTTAGACGCTTGATTGAGTGGGCGCGCATGCTTGAGAGGCTACCGCCCCCCTGCCCCGAGCGCGCCGCACGCCCGCGCGCCCTGCCAAGTAGGCGAGGAGAGCATCTGGGGAATAGAGAATGTCTCGTGTTGTTTGTGATGAAATGTGCACTGCGGTGCAGCGGTCGCTCCTCGACCCTGCTGTTAGAAAGTGCACGTAGTCTCAAAGACGCGTGGTGGCATTGAGGAAGGAGTTTGATTTGTGGTTTCATGACCTTGATTTCGTTTTGAATGTAGTTCGGCGTGCGCCGGCGAGAGAAAAAGAGAACCATTTGCTCGGCTTGACAGATCTCCTTTCCGTCATGGATTCTCTGCCGTTTTTTGTTGCGTGCCCTTTCGTTGCTTTCGGTCCCAGTAGACTAGATGTTTAGTCGGAGAAACTCGCAATCTCCGTAAATGCGTTCAAATTCCAACACTCTCAGTGATGGTTTTTCCTGTATTCAGCAGCATTAGAGCTTCCCTCGAGGTGTGGGCGAGAGAGTGCTTGAACTGCGTGTGCGAGCGCGTGTTATGGGAGGAGCGTGTAACATAAACGTCGTGATCAGCTGCTCCCCGTAGACATAAATAAAATAATAGAACCATAAATGGTGGCGTTAACGTAGTTGGATCATCTCACCTTGCGTGCACCTGGCGTGTGCAGGTGAAAATAGAAGCGCTACCGTGGCGTCAGTTGTGCGAGTGACAGTTGTCCGGAGTTCCATTATTTCAAACGTTACATCACCGGGGGTTAGAACGATTCTGTACGGTAAATACCATGTTGAAGAAGTAGACAACTGGGCATGGCCCACGTTTGGGGGTGGGTGGTGCGGTCGGTGAGTTTAGCAAGGCGCGTTTCCAGTCGACATTATTCTTGTTTTGTATCGCACATGAGAAAGACAATCGGACTGCGGCATGGTCCAAGCGCACCAAGTGTCGCCCGTGGTTTGCGAGGTCGATTTCCAGGTAGTGTACCAGGGCGAGCTATGTATGTAACGATCGCCAGGACAGGGCACATCAATGGCTGGCTGTAGATCGTAAGCTGTATTCAATTGAAAAAGAGTTCAATATCAGCATCACGTTCGAGTCCACCACGTGCTTTGGACCAGAAAAACGGGTAGAATCAGTCTGTGCCAAGGACCAAAAAACATTGAGCGTTGTGGTTGCGGAGGTCGGAGCAAACACCCCGTAACACCTTGCTTGCTGGCTGTAGATCATGGTGACACAAGCGTCCTTGCATGACGATGTAGTGGCTTGTTTTGTAGGGAAGGAGACGGGGGGGGGGGGGGGGGGGGTAGGTACAGTCGTCCGCACGTTTCGAAAGAACACCCGCCCGTGTATTCCAGCGGTTGGTTCACCGCAGAATGCAAAAAAAACAACCGCGCTTGGCGCGGGTAGGGAAAAATTGTTGGAGAAAACCCCATGAGCTCATGAGCGAGCGCCTGCAGCGGGGACGACTGTAGTACCAGTAGAGGTCTTACAAGCGTGGGCTGAATACGTGTTAACCCAACCCCTCCTTCACCCAGCGTACAGGCTCAACGGGTGGGTGTAAGCGTTGTTGGTCCTTTTTTTCTCGTAAAAAACGGTCGAACAGGTGAAACGGTGCCTCCCTCAGCACCGTTTTTTTAGCAGGATTGATTTAGCCGGAGAGGTCTTCATCGGGCATGCACCACCAACGTGTGATACGACAGTAAGGGAAGGGCTCGTAGTAAGATGTTTTGCGACAGAAACCTGTCCAAGCCGAATCGAGAAGAACATCGTGGGGAAAACAAAACTACAGTACCAACACGGTTTGTAACCACAAGCCACACCGGTTTATCCGCCTCATCCTGCAAAGCAGCCCATCGGTCACGGCGAGGAAATCAGGAGGGGACACTGAGCGTCCACCCCAATAATGGCGTGCCGTTCACTGCCGGCCCCAACTGCACTCTCTTCGGAAGATGCTGCCGATAATGCGAATTAACGAGCTCTTGACCATCACGAGTCCGTAGTGGCAACGCTGAATCGTCACGTCGTAGACTGAGGGCTGTCCATCTTGTGGTTGCCTTCGCGTCGAAAACCTTTTCTAACCTCAGCCCTGTATTCTTCCTAACTTGAACAGGACCAAAGAACACAAGAAAAGAAACAACCAAACGGCATCGTGACAAACATGTCCACCGCCGGAATTGATTCTCGACGATTGTTCCATGTGTTTGCACCGCTTGACTTGACAACACATACACAGAGCAGCCGCAACGGCAGCAGCAGCAGCAGCCCAAAAGAGCAAGGAAAACACGCAGAACCCAAGGAGCTAAAGCGAACAACAACACAAGAACGAAAAAGACAAGAGCTCGGCAAAATTCGCTCGGCACGATTCGATCCCCCCGCCCTGAAGTCTCACATACGTCTATCCTTCAGCCTATCTCCAGAGCTGGTCTGGTGGCTCCTCTTCTCCTTCGCCAGCCCCCCATTTTCTCCTGCTTTTCACTATTTCTTCATCATGGCTACAACCGAAATTCTGCAGGGTACGGTAGTCACGCACAGGGGTAGGGTATTCCTACCTGCATCGGCACGGGCCCCCAAAAAAGTGCCGCAACGTTAAATGTAAGTCTACCTCGTACAGCCTTCGGCAACCGACGCCGACGGTCGCCGCCGCCACCTCACCTCAAAGCCAACAGTCCGTCCGGGCGGTGAGACCTGCGGGAAAACAGGTGCATCCAATATTCATGCAGCAGACGAAAACCGCCCCCCCGTCCCTCCGTCCAACGTCCCTCCCCGTCCCCCATCGTCCTTTCCCCGCACTTGGCTGTTCCTCCGTCCTCTGTCCAACTTTGGAACGCTTGCTAGTTGGCGCTTCGCCACACACCGGTGTACCAGCGTGGCCCTAAGACGGTTCAAAAAATCGCCCGAGAGGGGCGAGCCGTCTATTTAACCCCGCTACATTCTGCCTACCGCAGCGCACACCACGGCGGCGATGGCGTAAAAAATCGCTCCACTTGTAGTAGCTAGTCCTTGTGTGTTCAACCATCCATGCCATGTGAAGTAGATCCCACCGACAGCCACCATCGCACCATGCACCACGTTGGTGAACAACCATGACGGTGGCGGCGGAACGGCTGTGAGGCAGGTGTCCATCCCATTTGAGTCGCCCTAAACCTCGAGGCCGTCCCCCAAGCTCCGGTTTTGCTACTCCGAACCGTCGCCCCACACCCCAACACAAGGAGATGGATGGTACATCACAACCACCGGACCATGATAGCGGAGTTGCTGAGGTTCGCGGCCTCCAGGGTGGAGACCTTGCTGCCGAGGAGGGAAGACGGGGGGTGGCCCGAGAGCAGGTCGAAGGGCCTCGTGGCCGCTTCCTCTCCCTGGGTGCGTCGCGGTGTTACATTCATTTTTTAGCCCGCCCGGGTCCCCCACCCACCCCGAGCGAGGACCACAAAGACACCACACCGGAAGATACGTGAGTGAGAGACACAGCAGAGTAACGGCGAGAGACAGAGAGCGAGAGAGCCGAAGAGGGAGACACACACAGAGAGAAGGAGACGGGGACACACACAGAGCCAAGGGGCAGAGATAGAGGGACATTCAGAAAGAGGTGGGGAGAGTCACACAGTAGGAAGAGACAGGCAACCCATGCCAGAGGGACAAGAACAACAAAAAAAATAACGTGTCGAAGCGTCCAAAATCGCAGCGCGGTTCGCAAGTTGTGTGAGATTGGGCTCTCGGTAACCACGGCTTGAAGGCAACGAGATCGTTGCAAGGTGCTCGGTCGTTGAGCCCTTGCAGGTGCTTCACAGCAGTGACAGATTGCATACTGAGACAAAAGCGACAGCCAAACCAACCGAAGAGCAAAAAACAGGCGCCGAGGCACAACGACAAGGGGAAGGCAAGGGTACGGCACCGGCCAGTGAACTAAATAACTAGAGACATTTTGAAAATGAAGCCCTGCATGTTGTCTTGTCGTCAAGGTGTGCATAGCCGTAAACCCAAAAATAAACGCCGCCTTCCAACTACGTGATGCGCGTGAATGGAACGGAGAAGAAAACAAAAGCAATTTCCGTCTCCACAGCCGCCTGGCAACACACACACGAAACAAAAGAAAAGGAGAACGGGGCAAAAAAACAACACAGCCTCAACACGATGCCTTCGACAAACACGGGTTCGGCGTGCGAACGTCATTCCTTGCCAGTCGTGGTTGAAAACGTCAAAGACCAAGCTCTACACGCAGCACCGCAGCATCTACCCCGACGGACTTCGCAACGCTTCCCCCACCTCCCCATCGTCGCGGACCCCCCCCCCCGCCACTTACCGTCGTCCTGACGAACTGGAAGAGCAAGGACACCCTGTCCTTTAGCCAGAAGCGGCGCGCGATGGTACCACCTCCCGCCAGCCGGAATTGCACCTGGGTCACCTTGCTCCCGTTAGCGGCAGCATACAAAAGAAAAGAGAGAGAGAAAAAAAACAAGTGCAAGACACGAGAGGAAGAGAGAGAGAGAGGGAGAGAGGAAGAGAGAGAGTATCAACGGAAAGGTCGTGGTGAAAAAGTTCCTGGCGCGCGAGGCACACCTATTTGATTAGTGGATGTGTAGTTGACCTTGAAAAGCGTAATCAACCCAACGTCCATCGACGAACGCTACCTCCTCTTCGGTGCCCCAACACCCTCGCGTGCCACGGTACACAGCAGCAACCACATCAGCAACACATCAAGCACACGGGCAATCGGCCCGCCTTTTCTCTCGAAACGAAATCATCCTCTTCTTCTCCCTCCTCCCGCCCCGCCCCGCAAGTCCCCCTCGACTGCATTCAACCCGAAACAACCACACGCTTGGTCAGCCGGCTAGCGCGGTCGATGCTAAAAAAGACACACGAGCAGTCGACTCACCCCGTTCCCTGCATCAGGCTCCTGCAGGACCTCTACAGACTCGCCCAAGACCCCCTCCCCCGCCCCCGCAGCCCGCAGCTCGTCCTCCGGCGTCCCTCGCCCCCAAGGCCCGACCAACCCGGCTCCAGCAGCCGCACTAATCGCACCCGCCCCTCCGGGGGGGGGGAGCTCCGCCTTTGCTGATTTGCCGTCACCCCCTCCTCCCGTTGCCGCCGCCGAGGGCCGGCTCGGGGTGGATCGCCCCGATCCCGCGACGGTGAGGGGCGAGGGGGAGGAGGAGCGGGTGGTGGCGGGGGGCGACGGCTTGGCGTTGGGCGTGGTCTGGGGGTGGTACCCGGGAGAGGCGTGGGAGTTGGCGGTGCTGTTGTCGTCCCCATCGAAGCTTGACCCCTGGCGGCGTTGAGGGAGGAGCGACAGGTTCGTGTCTTCGTCGATGTCGCGGGAGCAAAATATATACAAATCTGTCATTGTATATCCACGGTGGGGCCCAACACATACATCTAAGCCACACAGCTCCTGTTCTACCCCGGCTGATCCGTGAAAACGTACATACATCCGAGAGTTGGTTAGACCTCTCGTCAAAACAAGTGTGACGCACGCACACATGTACTGCTTTTGCACCAAAACCCGGCACGCAAAAGCACCACTACTTCTTTGTAGTCTGAAGATAACAACAACTACACCTTCCCCATTTTCCACACAACAACAACACTCCAACACTCTATTATAGTGCGTCGACCGCCTTCGAGATTCATTATTCTTAATAGGAAAGAGAACAGGGAGGGGGTACGCAGACCCTATAACCCTAACCAAACTTCACCGACTGCATGCTCTATCCAACATGTTTCCTCAGTAGACAAGCTACGAGGGCTACTGGGCTGCGTGGTAAAGGTACAGGTTGTTGCTTTTACCTGACCGAGGTCGTCATCGTCTTCGTACACGTACTCCTCGCTGCCGAAAGACTCGTACGCCGAGTCTCTCGAGAGCGAGGCGTCGCCCCTCCCCCCCCGGCCGCCGCTGTACATGCCGACACTGTTGTCGGGGCTCGTCCTCTCCGACACGCCTCCTCCGTCCTTCCCAGGCGTTTGGTTGTACCCCTGAACAACAAGTTTGGTGCGTAAAGTAAAGGTGATTAGTGGGGGGGGGGGCAGGAAGCCACAAGCTGTGCTGCGACAACCCGAAGCAAATGCTGTTTTTTTTTTGTGCGGACAGACGTCATATGCGTACGTGAAAAATAGCTGCTCTCTTCTCCGGCATGAGGAGGACAAAAACACATCGTCAACAGCAAAATGACAACCTATAAGGGCGAGAGAGGGGAGGAGGAAGAGAGAGAAAGAGAGAGAAAGAGAGAGAGAGAGAGAGCGGGAAAGCGAAAACATGGCTGGCTGTCGCTGATGAAGATCACGACTCTCCCGGACCACCCCCTGCCCCAAGACCGCGCACAGTACAGCATACTCTCAACCCCCTCCCCCCACTCTGCTTGCCGGATCAACTCACATGATGTGCGATGTTACCCATACCGATCGTCCTGACCGCCGGCGCTTTGACCTGGTGAGGGCGGACGGCGAAAACAAAAACGCCAACATATATCAGCACTAGACACCAAAACACGCGCAACCGTCCCAACAACTCGGCATGTCAAACCCACAAGACTCGTATCGCCACCGACGACCACCGCCGTGGGCGACCAGATGCCTCCGCCGCTGTACGTACGCATCCAGCCAATCAGTGTTGTTTGCCGTTGTCGATTTACTCGCTCACTCCATCAGAGTCACGCTACTGAATGCCCGTCTCCTCGATAATTTAGGTATCTACACAAGAACAAAGTACAGAACCCAGCCGCCATGACGCCCCAGGGTCATCTTGCTATGATAAGCATCACACCCACAAGAGTACCAAAAGACTTCCACCTCCAACGACGGCGGAGCGTTTACCGCACGACCGTTTCACCTGGTCGATGCTGTTGTTCTCTAAGAACTCCACGAGGGCCATGCTCAGGTCCTCCGGCTCAACGAATCCCACGACCCTAAGGAGCTGGGCTCCCGTGCGGGGGTCGAGGATAGCAGTGTGCGGCAGCACCTGACCTTCCAGGTTATACTTGTCGACGTAATACCTGCTTGTTTGTTTTTTTATTTGGACAAAAGTAATCGTGTAGCAGCAGGACGGCACGCACTCGTATGAGCACCATTGTCCTAAAATTATGCTACCGTTTCTGAGGGAAAATGTCGGGAGGTAGACTACTGCTGCTGATAAAGATAACCTCTGAATCGAAAGTGGTCTAGCCCGTGTCAGGCTTCTGCTTCTGCTGCAACCGGTTGTAGGCGAGTTTGAAAGGCTTGCCGGGATGCCCGTGAGGACGCATGTACGCCCCTTTTCTTCCAGCTTAATACGCGGAAACGCTACCTATCAATTATCAATTACTAATAGACTGATTCCCCAGACAAAGAGACAGCCACAAACCTGGCCTGTCTGAGAGCCTTGTTCCGCTGCCAGAAGATGAAGTTGCCCCGCAGCAGCGTGAGAATGGTCTCGTTCGACCACACGTCCTTGTTCAAGCGATGACTCGCAAACTCTTGGTGGTCCTGCACGGTCGAAGGTCAGATCGGGGAACACACGTGCCAAAACCACAACAACACACGACGTTCCTGAAACAACACATACACACGCAATGTACGTTGCATGCAGGCCTCTGCTCTACTGGACAGACGACGCGGTCGAGCTGCTTGACAACGGTCGAAGAAGCAGAACGACTGCTCTCGGTTCGTCAATGGCGCGTTTGTTACCTGGCTCGTCGGCAATCTGATAGTCAGGACAACCGGATGGGCGGACCAACCGCTGCCGCCCACCGGGTATATGTACAGTACGCCACAAACGTTTTAATGGCAGTGGCGACGATATCGACACATACGCGGCAGAGTGAAGCGACGGTAGGGAGGGGCCAACAGGACCGTGTGGAGAAGGCGTCTCGAGCGGGGGGACAACAAAAGGGGCCCCGGAATCACATGTGGGGGGTCTTGGGAGAAGTGGATAACCCCCTTTTTGGGTGCTGCTGCGCGTTGGCCAAGGCCTTCTGCGCCACAACGTGGCCGAGAAAGACATGGATAGGAAATAGGAAGGGGGTATGCATAGGGGTTTACAAGGGTGTCGAAACGAACCGACCAAACACGTGGTACGGTGAGAGACACAAAAAAAATAAAAACAGACCAATCAACCGCCGACACTAGCGCGACATGCATGCAATCAGGGAACGACAGCAGCAGGTATTACTACTTCCTCCGTCTGTTGCTGCTCGCTTGGTGGTCCTCTCTCTCAAGAATCGCAGCTTGCCTGAATGTTCACCATGAGCCACTTCTTCTGCTCCTTGCAGATCTGACGCGTCTCCAGGAAGTCAGACGGGAACGATAGACCCTGTTGTTGCGGCAAGGCGGCAGCGACCAACAGCCCAGTTTGGTTCATTCGTTCGCCCGTACGTTCGTTGGCGAGGATTTCGTTGCACTAGCACGGTAGTAAGGGGATTGGGGATGGGACAAGGGCCAAGAGACAATAAACAGCTGACAGATCGATACCTCTCGTTAACTTCATACTGGCACTGCCTTGAATCCAGAGACAACAAAACAAAAATCGTGCCGGGCGCAAGCAGCTCCTTTGCGCAACTCAAGAGATATGCTTCAGGAAAATAAAATGAATCAAATCTACTTTTCACGTAGCCGGATCTTGTGTCAAAAAAAGACAAAAGTAAAACCGTTGCTCCCATGTGGATACAAGACCCAACACACCCACCCATCACCACCCAAAAAAAAAAAACTTGCCTCCGGCGCCTTAAATATCCAGTCCGTGTTGTCCTTCTCCTCCACGCTGCTGCGCCCAGCTCCGGCCATCGCCCCACCCAACATCCCCCCAAGCATCATACCGGCGCCCCCGCCTCCCCCGCCCCCCCCCGCAACCCCCCCGAGCACCCCCCTGCCCCCGATAAGACGGTCCGTTCTCGCCGGGATGGGGGCACGAACGCCATCCTCGCTGAAACCCCCGGGGTACAGGTGGTCCTGCTCTCCGGGGCTCCCGCCCCCGCCGCCGGCGGCCCCGCCTCCGCCGCCCCCGCCGCCCCCCTGCTGCTGCTGCGGCGGCGGCGGCCGCCCAGCCGCCGCTCCCGCGGGGGGCGGGGGGATCACGAGGCCCGGGAGTTCGCCGAGAGCGGAGAAGGGGTTCGCGCCTACGTCGTCGCGGTCGTCGGCACCCTCCTCGTTGTCGTCGTCATCGCTCTACGCAAAAGAGAGAGGCAGCAGAAAGCAGACAAAAAAAGAGAGGGGACGTGTCTCATGTTTCATTGGTTGGCACGCCTTAGTCTTGACCCACGCGTCCTCGAGAGGTCGAGAGAGGGAATGCAGTCATGTTTGTGCATGCCTTGGTTGCTAAGACCGTTCACCCACGCGTCCTCGAGAGGACGGAGCATTATTCCCCACAGGATTGATCACCGACGTAGAGAACAGAGATTGCTCAGGCGAGGACCTCCCGATGCTATATGTAAATAACGAGCATTTATCCCCGACAAAATCGAAGCTACCATGGCACCCATTCATGCGTAATATCTTCGACCAAGCCAGCCAGTCGGTTGCCGTTGCTTGTCTTTAACTCAGGCGACCGTCGAGCAAGGACAATCCCTTTCGAGACTGAGCGTCGTTCATTCTCTCAGTCTCTGTTCCGAAGACAACACCAATCCGGATGGGTAGTCGGGGAGCGGCGGAGGGCTGGACAACGAGAGGCACTCTATTGGGTGGGTGGACTACGACGACCATACTGCTTAAATAGCGGGGTTACGCAACCGGCGGCACACACGGCTCCCCCTGCTAAACACACCCTCCCAATGCATGACGCCAACAAACACGGCGCTTCTTTCGGTCTCTTTTGCTCTGCGGCAAGAAATCCACAAAAACGTGGATGACAGGTCTACTGGAAAAAAGAGTAGGACCCACGTGGACATCATCCAAAGTGTAGAAATAACCGATCCTTGGAAAAATCCCGACAACACAATGGGGGGTTATTCTCAATCAGACACGTGCCCTTCTTCTTCGTGCCTCGCCATCTCACCTGGCCATCGCCGTAGCCCGCCGCCGCCCCTCCAACGTTCGGCCACCCCCGCGCGCCGCCGCTCCTTGCTGCCGCACCATACCCAGCTCCTCCCGCCGCCGCCGCCGCCGCCGCCGCCGCTGCGGCAGCCAACCCCCGTTGCGGCGGGGGCGGCGCAGCGGCCGCTGCCACCGCCGCAGCGTCGCCCCCGGATTCGAGGAAGAGGTTGATGGCGGCGTCGGGGCTCCAGTCCGTGGCGTCGAGGAACTGGGCGGCGGAGACGCTCGAGCCCACCTGGGT